CAGCGCTGACAGAAGTTCATGAAACAAAAAGAATGGAAGGGTTGGAAGGGTTTATAGGTACCCCCACTTGTAGGTGGATATGTTACCGGGCCTATCTTATCAGCTTGTGGAGGGATACCAACTATGTACCTTACCAGGGATCACCCCGCCTGCTTAAATCGACCCATAGGTGGACGCAAATGTACTAAAAGTGGGTGCTGCCCGGCGAGGGTAACAATAGGTACCGGCCTGTGACGTGCGTTGCTGGCGCTGGGAATCACCTAAAGCTCACCAGCGTTTGGAAGACAACAGAACGGAAACTCAATTCTATGCATCACCAAACGGCTGACCGATCAAATCAACATCCGGTACAACATACCGGTTCGGCATACCGATACCTACATCCTACCTAACCTTATTAAGCTGTTGAAGTGCATATCCATCTTGCATCTTTTTCATCCCACGATCTACGCAAATGCGCATACTGATTTTGCGCATATTCGGACGCCGGCACAACTTACGCAGGCCATCTCGCTTACATTGTTTCCGTTAATTTTTCTCTCTTGCTATCTAGGAATCTGAACAGTTAACTACAGTTGTCCTAACTTAGCTATTACGACAAACACGACAAACCAACCCCTAAACTCCCACGACAGCCACCATAGTCACGATAGCCAAGCCATGTCGATTCACGCAACTTAGTAGATAGAGCACCATCTACTATATTTCTCTCTACTTCTCCTGGCCTGTTTTACGAAGAAAAGATAAAACCCAAGCTTCATTCAGACGTCTAGGCAGCTCCTGCACATTCATCATGTTCCCAACATTTACCGGCACTTCCAGGCGACCGCGAAACGTCAACTTGAGCGGTCAGCGGAATACAAACCCTTGGGCTGCACCGAGCTGGTCGCCTTCTGGCTCTGGCGCCTCCAAAACAGTAGCACAAGCACAGGTCGAACGTGAAAGGAGACAGAGAGATCGTGACGAGTTGAATGCTGCTAAGAGATTGCAAAGGGTATGGAGAGGCTATAAAGACCGACAAAGCTTTAAACAAACATGTCGAGAAGAGTTTGATGCTCTATACAACCAACCTCTGAATCATGACATTCCAACCAGAGTGATCAGTGCCCTGCCCCTTATCCATATCCTATTCGATCCAGTACGAGCAGACGATCAGAAACGTTTAGATCTACTAGTTCAGGATTTGACTAGCCTGAACTCCGCTTCAAATTTGGATCTCTTCAGTCCTAATTCTTGGGATAGATTAGCAGTTCTCATCGTAAGAGCTCTAGAAGGGTATGTGCATGCTCAAACCATGGCTATATATTACTCACTTACACTTCGCGATATAGCCGACCAGCTAGTTCATCGTTAGATCTTCTCCAGATTCTGGTTCTTATTGTCAGAAAAAGACCACATTCTATTACTCCCATCCTACACCGATATTATAAGCTCATCTCCACGTACTCTCAGCGTAGCGGCCAGGAGGACTCCAACTCGACGGTAGAACTGGATATCGTTGCTAAAGCAGTTACGGCCCCTCTTATACCATCTACACAAGGTACGTAGGTAGACGGTCGAGCAAAGCTATATTCTTGATCTTAATTGTTTCGGTATATTCCATTCTTGGCGTAATCTGACTGCTATTAGGAGTATCCGTATTACCAGCCTACCAGGCATTTGCGTTCTCCTTCCTCACTTCATCAAATCTTCTATCCTTTCAACGGGACCCTACACGGATAGCAAGCTATGTAGATCTTCAACTTTTATCACAGAGTATCATAGATACTATCTCGGGGCGTGAGCATGTTGGTACCCTGTCAAAGAATGGTGCTCTCTGTCTCCTAGCCCACTTCATCGCTTTAAATAGGGCAGCTTCCTCCTCCTATGGGGTCAACTACCTTGAGGCCCTCTATCTCCAGCTATCCATCCTTGTGGATGATATTCGGGTACGATATGATCGGCACGATACCCGCAATGAGGCCGAAGGTGGTAATGGCGATACCTCCGAACATGACGATGATACCGAAGACTCTGCCCCATTATCTACTTGGGTGCTAAATCAACTAGACTTCCTCGTAGATGAAGACGGTATCTCAGATCTGCTGAGCAGATTTACTTCGTTCGTGGCCAAGATTTGAATTATGCGTGAGTCATATGCTAACGCAACTTAGGACCGCAGTATCTCCTGATCGCCTTTCCGAAGATGCGAGTCTTCTTGCTGGCTATACATTAGTCTTGCTTAGATGTTTTCCGAGCCATAGCGATGACATAAAAATGCGACTCTTCCAGGGCGACATCTCCACAGTCAGCTCGGCTACTCCCATATCAACGCCTTCAGTTAAGTATTTCTGGCAGGCAGCCTCGAATACAAGCATATTTAAGATTATTACACAGCCTAGGACTCAGCAGCAGTCTGCAGCAATCGTTACGCTTCTCCAGCCAGACCATGTGCGTGATAGAGAATGGAGGACTATATTGCTATTTCTAGAATTATATAACTTCCTTCTCCGGGTCACCGATGACGAAGACTTTCTACCCCCCGGAAATCAGATATTATCGCACCAGAGTCCCGCAACCTCGAGAATACGTTCAAGCGGTCTCAGTCTGGATGAGCTGAAGCAACTTATCAATTTCCTCAAGAGCCTCTCCTTTCCACTCTATTATAACCTAGCCGACATTATGCCGTCTACCGCAAGGCCGACTCGACTAAATAGTCTCATGGGCATTAGTTCTGGCAAATCGACTGCGCAAGAGGAAGAGCCCAAGGATACCCAATCCTCATTTGCCGGTATTATTGGGATGGATGTTTTGAGTCTGAGAGCTGCATCTACGACAACCATGCGTTCGTTATACGAAAGAGATTCTCGCCGGCGTTTTCTTCCTTCAGACTTCTGGTTGATGACCTCAAAATTCGACATGGACGGGTTTATATCGGCTGTCGTTTTAGAAGAACAGCAAAAAGACCAGATGGCTGAAGATGATGACGACTCGGACGACTCTGACGAAGATGCGCTTGATACCTTTCACACATTTACAGGACAGCGCCTTTCGCGAGCAGCACAGCTTGAGAGGCGCCGTCGATTACGAAGGGTCCAACGAGAGCAACTGCTGGCCCAGGTTGGACCCAAGCTCGAAATTCTTCGCAACATGCCATTCGTTATCCCGTTTGAAGTTAGGGTTCAAATATTTCGCCAATTCGTATATCTTGATAAGTCGAAGCGCAGGGGTGGTCATGTTGACCCCGATCGGTGGCGTTTGTCAGTAATCTCAGGAGAAGGCGGGTTCAATGGTCCTTCTGCTAGAGGCAGGGACATTCTCGGCCGCCACTCGGCTAGGGTTAAGCGTGGGCAGGTGTTTGATGACGCATACGAGCAATTCTACGCTCTCGGCGATGGATTAAAGGAACCTATCCAAATAACATTTGTTGACCAGTTTGATCAGGCCGAAGCTGGTATTGACGGCGGCGGTGTTACAAAGGAGTTCTTGATTAGCATCACCGACGAGGCCTTCAACCCCGGTTCCGGCCGTGGCCTCTTCGCTACTAACAGTCAAAATCTGTTGTACCCGAATCCGAGTACATTTGACAATCATGCACAGCTCCTTCGTAGTCATGGGTATACAGAAAGTGATGTGAGGTGGAAGGAGGCCATGGTCAATCTCGCTAGACGTTATGAATTCCTCGGTCGGGTGGTTGGAAAATGCATGTACGAAGGCATCCTTATCGACAAAGCTTTTGCTGGCTTCTTTCTTCTTAAGTGGTCAGCATCAGGGCAGGGTTCACTCAATGATTACCGTGCCAACCTAAACGATCTACGAGATCTAGATCCAGAGCTGTATCAAGGGCTTATCAGTCTCAAAAACTTTTCCGGCCAGGTGGTCGACCTTGCACTAGACTTTACCATTACGGATCAAGTCACAACAATCGATGGTAACACACTCACCATTACGCGTCCGCTCTGCAAAAATGGCGAGAATATTCCCGTCACAAACACGAACCGCCCTCTCTACATATCTTACGTTGTAAACCACCGGCTCGTAGCGCAACCCTATCGACAAACTAGAGCTTTCCTTAAGGGCCTAGGATCTATCATCAACCCCTCGTGGTTGTCCATGTTCAATCAATCAGAACTTCAACGACTTGTTGGCGGAGACAGCTCAGAGATTGATGTCGAAGATCTTCGACGTAATACTCAGTACTCTGGTCTCTACGCAGTAGGTGACGATGGGATGGAACACCCGACCGTACAGATGTTCTGGCAGGTAATGCGCGAGTTTCAGGATTCCCAGCGACGCGAGGTGCTCAAGTACGTCACATCGACGCCAAGAGCACCATTACTAGGTTTCTCTCAACTAAGTCCCCATTTTAGCATTAGAGATGGTGGCACTGATGAGGAGAGATTGCCTAGTACGAGCACCTGCGTCAATCTCCTAAAGTTACCGCGGTATAGTTCAAAGGAGACTCTAAGAAGAAAACTGCTCTACGCTATCCAGTCTGGAGCTGGTTTTGATTTGAGCTAATCAAATATTAGGACTGGTGAAGTCAACGGCCTCACGGCGCTTGAGGAAGATGGAATGTTTGGCATGGTACTCTTTGCAGAAATGTTAGCTCAATGAACGGAATAGCTCGATACAAAATAAATAAAAACCTAAATATACATGTCTAAGCTAGCTTTCGAGTAACAATGCCTCTTTTAGGATATTGAATCAGTTCTTGTATGGTGTAAAGCTTCCTAGGGAATGTTATCCGATCCTTTTCATATAATCCCATCAAATTCGCGTCTCCGTAGTGCCAGTATGATCAGTCTACCGCCCTATACCACATCAATAATACACCTACGTAAAACGATGGTGTGTCACCACAGCACACAAGACGGCGGATGGACCGTATAGCAAGAGTATGAGCTGTCGAATAAGAGTTATCTCCAAATGCATGCAAATAGAGGAGCATTGAACATGGTGTAGACCCCGCTTCTTGATACCCCCCTTTAGTTGATATGGAGGAAGCTTGTCTCTATTCACTTCTTATACTTTCAAGTTCGACTATAGATATAATTTAGAGAAAACATATCGCCAGTGCTACTAAAATTCACCTCCTTATCCTTAACCCTTGCCAATCTTGTTTTCTTTGCAACCTAGGCTCTATAGTGATATTGAGTAGAATAAGCACACCTTCTTTTCAAATCAATCCAACCAAGGTTAGTCGCGATTTATTATGGCAACCATAATCATCGGCGCCGGATGTTTCGGGGCATCGACGGCAAAATTCCTAAAAGAGGCGGACCCTGGCACCGACGTGATCTTACTCGACCAGGCGCCGTTCCCGGACCCGGCTGCGGCTGCGCACGATTTAAACAAGATCATAAGGGTCGAATATGGTGACCCGATGTACATGAAGCTGGCACTCGAGGCCAAGGAGGCGTGGTCCCGGGCAGATCCCATCGTCACGCCCTTCTTCCATCAGACAGGAGCGCTTTGGTCTATCACAGCTGCCAGGACACAGACGCTCGTGGATAACTACGAGGCCATACTAGGCCCCGGAAAGGCACCGCTTGAAATCCTTAGCTTGGATGAGACGCGTGCTCGCTTCCCGCTCCTCGGGAGCTGCCGCTTCGAGGGCGGGGCTGAGCAGTGTATACTTAGTCCGGAAGCCGGGTGGGCCGACGCGGCTGGGGCATTACAAGCCGTTATTAAAGCTGCTGTTAATAGTGGTGTCCGGTACGTAGTCGGCACGGCAGCGAAGCTAGAGTTCGATCAGGATGGCACATGCATTGGTGTCTCGACGACGGATGGAAAGACATTCCCCGCGCAACGTATCATCTTGTCCTCGGGCGCTTATACGCCATGGCTCCTCGCAGAGAGTGCCCCGGAAAACCTGGACCTCCACGCCGGAAACCGGATGAAAGCAGCAGCCGTATTGATGTGCTTGTTCAAAGTCCCGCGCGGCGACACCGGATTAGACATGTTTAAAGACGCACCAGTTCTTGTTCACCCCTACGGAGACTTTCCCGGTGTGTCGCTCTCAATAACAAGGATCCCAAAGCGTTCATATCTAGATCTATAAGACTACATGTTATTATGCTAACTATAGTTACTTAGCTGAGTGTATACCACCTGGAAGTTTCGGTGGCCCCGATTTGGCGAAGTGTACGCACGAGTTCCCGTACACTCGCAATGCCTATGATGAGGCGTCGAAGCAGGAGATCTCAGTTCCGCCGCTCTCAAAAAGCGACCGCATGACGTGGACAAGAGACCTCCCAGACGCGCTGAAGGCGAACTCGGCAAATGTCCGAAATATGTTCTTCGGGAACTCGGTGCAGGGTATGACTCCTGAGTCGTATCGACTTTGCTGGTAGGCCCTAGCTTCCCTCCCTTATAATTTCTACTCCCCGAGGCTTCTTGGAAATTTATGGAAAGGGGATTTAGTTGGACTAATATTTACGTGTCGATATAGGGACATCGCTACGCCAGACGAAGATTGGATTATTTCACCACATCCGGCGTCAAAGAACCTGTATATTGCAGCGGGTGGTTCTTTTCATGGCTACAAATTCCTGCCTGTTATTGGGAAGTATGTAGTTCAAATGCTTCGTGGAGAGCTGTCTGAGGAACATGCTCGACGGTGGGCCTGGGATCGAGATTGTAAGTATGATTTTTATATTACCCTTGTTTCCAGCCTTCTTAAGACTCGGGTGAATGAAAAGTAGTAGCAGTAATATTTTTATTTTCGTGGATTGCCATATAATAATATGCTAACTCTATGTCTCTCAGTCATTCCAATCGTGACACCATATACCCCTCGTGGTGATTTAGGAGATGTACCTGGTTATTACGAGTAACGCTACCAAGCATATGTGAGAACATGATAATATAACTGGCCCCGAGCCCAGGCCGACGGGGATGTTCAAACACATACGAAAAACAATAAAAGTTTCAACATGTCTACCTGTTACAGCTCGGAGCAATGATATGGATGTGTTAGGCGTCTTTCCTGGTTCGAAGCTTTAGTAACAGTGACTACCTATGCTTTTGACTAAAATAATAAAGGAAATACCACGATCCGTCATCCATCAAGTAAAGCAGCTCCTATAGTCTAGTGGTTAGGACGTCGGATTCTGATTCCGAAAACATTGGTTCAATTCCAGTTAGGAGCTTCCAAATGACCCAAGGTCAAATTTTTTCTCTTTGACCCGCTTGGATAAAAAGGAAAAAAAACTTTTTGTGTCCAATCTCATATTGAGGGCATCGTGGTCTAAGTGGAGTTGGCTTATGCTAGCTTCGGATTACCAAACTGTGATGGCCCACCAGAATATGATCAATATACCGAAGCAAAGTGGGTATTGCATTAATAATTAGCCCAATTCTATGGCTTCTATTTTGAACTAGTCTTTCTATTATGTGATAGGTTGGGGTTGGATTTCTTCTTAGATAATATTACTATGGTGTTCTTATAGGTTCTTCACCCCTTTTCTCAGGACACATCGTATTATATAATACAGGAAACAATAATGAATACCCTATGATAGGTCTAGATTAATCGGGCATTTTAGTGGTAGAATATTTACGGGTTTATTATCACAATATTTATGAACGTTAGGAACGCTACGTAGGCCGTAGCGATCTGATGAATTGGGTATGCTCTCTGAAGGTCAAATTATCTCCATCTATAATTCTTATGACCTATATATAACGATTTCTTATTATAATCTTCTTTAAATGGTGTATCTAAAATCAGTATGACCGTCTATAATTTTTTTACCTTCATCTGCACGCTTATTTTCCCATTTTAAGAGAACTATGGAGATACAGGCGGCGACAACAGCAGCGACGCAAATGGACATCACAGCTATTATACCAGGTATATAATCAGGAGCATCCTGTCTTTAGGTCAACATATGCCTATAAATTTAGGGAGTTTCTACGAACCTGTTGGCGAAAAACTAGGGACGAATAAATACCGCCAAGACCACTAAGAGTGATCAAGACAGCCGTGGCACAGGCGCGTTTAGCATCACCACGCAGATTGTTTGCCTGCCAGGCAAGGGTAGTGACCACGAGTCCATTTACTCCGGCTTCGCCTAGGAAAGTCCCGATATACCTCGGGACGGGCTGCTTGAGGAAACCCGTCATGCACAAGCCGACGATTGCGACGAGACCCTGGGCGATAACAAATGGTCCTCGTAGACGCATCTTATCAGCAAGCCATGATACAAACATGCCCTCCACGACGGAAAATAGAGCTGGCGGGGCCGACAAGACGAATGCGAGCTCTTGGGAATATCCCATCCCATTGCGTAGGATAAGAGGTAGGAAAAATAGGAAGGCATAGACGCCCACGGCACCGGCCGAGTACATCAATGAGAACGACCAGACTTTCCAGTCGGTTATCGTCTCGACGAAAATAGCCCAGGTGACCTTCTGATGCTCTTCAGACCCGCGATCTTCCGCAAGACGGGCCTTTACGAAAGCGGCCTCTTCTACGGTGAGAAATTTATTACGGTGCGAGTCCGGGAAATCGACGATGATGAACCAGGCAATAATAGCTGCGACACAAGTAATGATACCCTCAATAATGTAGATCCACCTCCAGCCCTTGTAAGTGGTATTTGTCTTCGAGATTTGTATGAGGCCGAGGGCAAAAATATTCGCAAACGCAGATAGTGCGGACCCCGTCATGAAAAACGTCGCCAGCCGCTTCTGGACCTCGTATCGCCTGTACCAGGAGGAAATCAGGTAGACGCATCCAGGGTAGAAGCCAGCTTCGAATACGCCGAGGAAGGATCTCAGCACGGCCAATGCGACCCAGTTGTTGAGAAACCCGATGCCCATCGACACTAGGCCCCAGGCGAAGACGATTAGTGAAAGCCAGTTGGCGGCGCCCACGCGGTGGATTATCATGTTGCTCGGCAGCTCGAAGAGCATGTATCCGATGAAGAAGACGAGGAGCGCGACGGAGGCGCGGTTCCCGACGTTAAGACCGACGTCTTCGTCAAGACCCGAGATGCGCGCCACGGAGATGTTGCTCCTGTCTACCATGGCGATGGTGTACAGCGCGCCGAGAATAGGTATCAGCCGGATATCGATCTTACGGAGGACTCTCTTCTCGAATTTCGAGTCGTGGGCAACCCCATCCGGGGAACACGGCGAGATAGGGTGCTCATTATCGCACTTCTCGTGCAGCGAGACGGAGGCTTCCTTTTCCTCCATTATGGAAGAATTATAATAATGGTCACCGAGAAAGGAAATCTCCAAAAAGGAGAATCTTGGTTATTATACCCTGTCTTTTATTGTTGCTCCTCAGGTCCTTGTCAGTCGGGAACTTGGAGGAATGTGGAGGGACTGTGGGGTAAAAGCTGGGGTAAGGGGGGGTGCTGGGCAATACCTTGGTCACGGTCTTCCGGCGAGTGTCTGTTCTGGGTATACCGCAAGCGAGCTAGTATTCCACGATACCCAAGTAAGCTGTAATTCCGCGGCTAGGGAGGACGGTAACGCGTGTGGCCAGATGCTAACATCGACGCTATTAAGGAGGATGGTTTGTCTTTCACAACCGGGGTTATCGCATGCTTGTAAGTCATTATACTACCTAGGTATATTAATATTATCGATGGATGGACCAGCATTTTACTAGAGGAATAAGCGCCAATAAGCTACCGACGAAATAGGATATAATTGTGTCTAAGAAAAGGAACTGATCGAGCTGAGCGAACTGTATATCCATTGTCTCTTCACCTTTGTTAACTACCTAACGTGTGCTACATGCCAATGAACGAGATTTCGAATATTTAACAGGCAGTTATACCTTTGGACATTGTCTCAGTGGTTACTATGTCGCCTTATGACAAGTCTAGACTCCTTTTCTCTTCCTAAATCCATATCCAATCCGCCGAACAGCCTCGTTCGGAGGATGTCCAGAGCTTCTCAAATCCTAAATTCAGTAACTGTAGAACTTTTCCAAATAAAGTCTTTTTCAAGAGCGCCCATGTTATATTTCCGTAACATGATCATAGCTTTGATGACTTCGTCCGGCGCATCTGTCACAGCTGAATTTACTGTTCTGGGCAAGATTATGTGATCGTAGGGTTATCCGGGTGCCATCGGATCTCAAGGCCCGGTGGCTCTCTTTAAGGTGCCGTTGTGGGAAACGCATAGTCTGATAACTACGGAACTATCGCCAAAAGGCCATCGAGACCACGTTGTAGCCTTGGCTGGGCCAAAGCACTCGATTCCGTCGTTCGAAAGTACCTAAAGTAATACTCTGATGTATATCCTTGGCGTTAGCAATTCTAGCGTAGTCAACTGCTCGACATCTGGTAAAGCCTTCATAATTACAATGATCTAGGTTGAATGAACGTTAAGCTGGTATGCGATCCGATTGTTACAGATGGCATAGGTATCTACATATCTACTCTAGGTATCCAGTACTTGGTTTATACGTGTTTTGTGAGAGCCACATATGAGCCAATAGATCGGTGCCGCGGCCCTATTATCCTTGTGGTTACTGTGTCGAGAGCTAAACCCCTATTCGCTACTTACTAGGTGTGAAAAGACCCTAGATGACTCGTGCTACCTTGAAGTTGACTTTAATCTCCCCGTGAATATTAGTATAGTGCCGACCTGTGCTAGGATCTCCTGCTCAATCGCGTAAACGAGTTATACTTAACTTTCGGGTCCGTGGGATTAAGGTGAGGCGTTGTAGACTCGCCTTAATACCCCGAGCAGTATGACCCCATGGTCCTGAGTTCGAAGCAAGACGGCAGGAGATTGGCTAACGTATCATATAGTGCGAAGCTTATAAACTGCGTAAGGCAAGTTCGCCCATATTTCGCCTCATTACCTTGTAATGTTAAGACAAACCATTTACGTCGTTAAGGAGGTCCATATTCAACAATTAGAAGATCGTCTTTCAAAAATGGAGTGTCAACGTAGAGATCCGGTAACTAAAACGACACCCTCAGGGTCTCTTCCAGCTACCAGTCGTATCTCTAATGAAGATGAGCCTCAAGTCTCTTCGTTGGCTTCCACAAATGGCTTATACCAAGGTAGGCCTTCTTTCACCACGTTGTCGGCCGAAGCAAGCAAGGCTTTGCAAATGTCCGGCTTTCGAAAACCTTGGATTTAGTACATAAGTTAGCAAATTATTCAGCCATCTGGATGACCACGGTGGCGGTGGCACACCTTCTATCGAAAATTCAGCGTGCTGACATTATCCTTGTCCTAAAGAACGGCAGGATGGTTGAAAGGAGCACTCACGAGAGTTGCAAGGTTTGAGAGGCTTGTACTATGATATGTCTGGCACGGTCGTTCAATATCCGCTAACCTCGGGCTGGCGATATCTCAGTATCACTCATTGTTTTTTCTCTCTCATTTGTTGATTTTATTATAAGGGGTTAACGGTGTGGGTCAGGATTCTAGATAGATGTCGATTCAGGACAACGCATACTACGAAGAGAGGATCGCGCAGGCTATTCAAACTGTACGCGAGTGCTTGCTGTTGCTCCAGACAGCTGTAAAACATAAGATTACCAAGCCTGGGCCGTATATGTCCTCGGGCATATCACTGTACTAAATCAACTGTGTAGCAAACTAGCACCTGAAGACATAGCCTTGGAAAACTACATAGGATAGTCAGGCTCAAAAGTGAAAGATCGTAGCCGACAATAAATACGGCTTGGTGGTGTTTGGTGGTGTTATGAGTAATAACTGGATCTGAACGGATGTGAAGTCATCGTGAAATAAATTAACCTCTGCATGGCCTATCTGAAGATGAACAAGTCACGGTTGATAGGAAATGACCCCCCTAACGCAACTCTGCAAGTAGATAGGTAGTCCATGACAAACAACTATCCCCCACGGGTGTGTGCAACTCGTTAATCACACACCCAGCATATTCCGGCCCCGGAAGCCCGTTGGACCTGCATAGTTCTATTCTATGTCTAACCGTAGACGAGCTTGAAGATGTCGTTGTGGACGTAGTACTGAGCGTTGTCGGGGACTAGGTAGAAAGACTGGGTGTAGCTCATGGGTCGTTGTTCCTCGTCCACCTAAGGATACAGGTTAGGCTTTGAGCAAAACGTTAGATAGAATTGTATATAGACGAACCAGAAGCTGACCGGTCACGAGGACCAGAATGTGGCCGGGAGCGACACCGGGCTGGAGGTCAATGGTGGAAACCTGGTGCTTGATCTGCTGGAACGGTAGGCCCTAGGATATATTGTAAGCTTTCTTCTTGAAAATACCATACTGCTGATTGAGTTACCTGTAGCTTCTCGATGATGGAGGGAGTGCCCTTGAAGGAGGCGGACTCGAAAGTCAGCATGGAAGCCTCACGCTGTAGAATTGTTAGTTTGCGTCTTATTAATACGGAGAGATACTCGAGAATTCGCATACGTAGAGGCTTGCTAAACCGGCTCGGTTTTGGTCGAACTGGTTGTAGTAGTACTGGACGAACATAGCTAAAGAGAAAGCAGGTGTTAGTTTAGTTGGCCGAAATGCTTGCATGTCGCAAGACGCGTTCGACGAGGCACATACTCGCAACTTCTTCCGGATCTACTCAACATGTTAGTGAATGAACTTGGAAGCCCTCACGTTTGACCAAATAGACTGGGCTTGTTGGGCAGTAACGTGAGGCGTTTCACGACGGGCGCCACTTACTTTGAGCCATCTTAGAAGGGGTAATAGCTGGTTGACCTAGTAAAAAAGCGACGAGAAGTTTATCGAGTAGTCTTTACGAAATATGGCGATTAGCGTGGTAATATTTTGGACCAAGATGACAATGTTCTTTGGGGAAAGGGGAAAGGAATTTATTGTTGTTGTTAAGAGGATGGTTACGAGGTAGAGAAAAGAAGTGAGGCCATTCAGGTCTGGAGGGGCATTTTTAGACGTCTCCACTTACTTTTATGCGAGCTAAAGTTGTTGTTTGAACATTCACGGTGGCTTACGCTGGCGCTGGCGGGGTAAATTTTATTATTATTTTTTTAGGTACCCAAGTACGATCTTGCTGCGTGAAGCGTTAGGCAATTATCGTTATCGGTTGATTATGTAACAAAATCGAATTTTCTCCATTGGCTTGTACCGAGCTACCTGGAATAAATACTGTGCAATACCTAACCTAGTGTAGGTACCTAATGCACTCTCCTCTGGCTGTGACGTCGAAATGCTACCCTGTTGCCCCCAAATTGGAAGTACCTAAACAACGGACTGTTTCGTGAATTACCGATGAGTATAAACTTTTCAAGTCACAATAGCCTTAGACTCGCACTTGTAGAATAGCACATCACCTGCTCATCTGCTCATCTGTACATATTGCACCACGCCGGTTACCTTTGTGGTCATCTCTCTGAAAGCATGAGTTCTAATAGTAGTTAATCTATTTATTTTATGGCCCAATACCTCTATTCTACCAAACCCCCTTCGCCTACGATAATCTATAACATATCGCATATAAAATAATGATGGCGTCGGACAGGGCGAAACCGAAGAATGCCGTTTCCTCCGAAGAGAATTCCTCAAATCATCCACATGCTGATACTGGTTTCTCTCGTCTTTTGCATCATCGTAGCCCTACCACAGGACACCATGTCCGCGATTCTTCGACGAATTCTCTAGATAGGATATTTGACACTCGTACCGAAACCCCTCAAGTCCCTCACCATCCAGTTCTCCAGAGGTCTATGACCTTGGAGGATAAACATTATGCGAATAATTCTTACGGAGTCACTGAATTGCGTGATGGTTTCTTCGATGCCATCTTCCTCCCCCCCGAGGAAGTTGACCCCCAAGACCTCATAAAGAAGGCTGAGCTGACCCTCCCATATGCCTTGCGGAAAAGGGACCCCCTATCTGTGCGCAATTTTTTACCCAAGCAGTGGCACGATGTAAAAGGGGTCATTCGTCGTGTCACTACTACGAGGGCTGGTATAAGACTGCTCAAGTCATTTCTTGCTTTCTTCATAGCATATATCCTATGCCTCATCCCTCGTGTTCAAGCTAGATTAGGCCGTTACAGTTATATCATAGTCATATCGACTATACTCAACCATCCTGCGAGGACCTTAGGAGCTCAGGTCGACGGGACTATTCTAACAATAATAGGTACGGCGACTGGATTAGGATGGGGGGCGTTTGGGTTATGGGTGTCTACCGCCACAGCAACAGCACGTGTTGGATATGGCGGTGTCCTCGCTGTCTTCCTTTTTATATATATTTTTGCTATTGCTTGCCTTCGTTCATACTATATTCGCACATACCAAGCCATTATATGTGCTGGGATATCCATCTGTTACACATGTCTAGCAGAGGTATCGGGCAGCGAGGTCTCCTGGTCTAAGCTACTCGCTTATGGCATTCCTTGGGTTCTAGGGCAGGCTATCTCTCTTGTTGTATGCTGTATAGTGGTCCCGGATGCTGGTGCCCGTCCGCTAGCCGTAGCTCTCCATCAAGCATTTGCTGTCATGCTGGTAATTTTTCCCTTCTTATCCAAAGTTTCAATAGCTAATTATTTTGAAGGATGGTCTTGGGTTAACCCGACTAGAAAGCATTAGGACGCGGCGAAGACTATCACAAACATTTGTAAGTATTTCACAAGCGTATAGGGATCTCGTGATCGATTTTTCTATTACACGTTTTGATCCAAAAGACGTGTTGGCGCTTCGTAATCTCATCCAAGGCGTTATTCGTGCGCTCCTCAGCTTGAATGGCGAAACAAGGATCCTTGACGAGTTAGATGACTACTGTTCGGATAGGTTAAGTCGAGAACGGCCTATACTAGATGAATTCGTCTTAAATATGGGAGAAAAATGCCACGACCCGGAAAGTGAGGAGCAAAATAAGCTCGCTAAATTTGTTGCTAGCAACTTAGCCGAGCCTACAAAAGAACTCCTTTTATCTATGGAGACCGCTTTACAAAGCTGCGATGCGGTTTTGATGGAGATGTGCGGTCATCGACAATACCTCGGCCCTCCGAAGACCGTGTCGAGCGATATTCCGGGCTCCCTGGTAAAGCTGCGTAGGCGTATCATAGCTTTCAGCGAATGTCAGGACAGTGTATTAGCTAGCGGTAGGCTGCCCCCTACATATGCGAAGTCTCCAGAAGTCGTTAGACTCTTCACATACTGCCGGCCTGTTCACCAAGCGGCAACAGCAATTGAGGCGTTGCTAGTAAAAGTCAACGAGATGCAGCAGAGGAGATCGAAATATCCAAAGTTTCATGGCCCGTCTTATCCTTTCCGGAAGGCACTGCACCGCACAAATGCCCAAGTTCGACATGATCGAGGTGGCTTAACAGCAGGTTCGTACTTTAGAAGCTTCAGCGACATAGCGGCGATCATCCAAAAGATTAAATCAACAGACTTTCAGCCTTTACCGAGAGAGGACGATGATGACTCCAGTAAAGGCCACGATACTTTGTATGCTACAATGACAGCCAGCGAGCCTGAGGATGAATGGAGTACGAAAAGCAATCGTATCCGACAGCAAATCTGGAGGGTTCTTCATCGACTACAGGGCTTTGAGACGCGTTTTGGGCTTAAAACTGCAGCGATAACTTCGTTACTGTCCATACCTGCTTGGATCTCTCAGGCTCACGGGTGGTGGGATGGCTTCGAAGTCTGGTGGGGAGTTGTAATGGCTTGGCTTATTATGGGACCTCGGTGAGTAGCGATACCTTTCTTCATCAACTTAAGCCTGGAAACGAATTCTAACCCCTACAGTACTGGCGGTAACATTCAGGACTTGGTAACGCGAGTGTTCTGTGCTGTCCTTGGCTCTCTTTGGGCGGGCCTATCGTATGCGGCCGGCGATGGTAATCCGTATGTTATGGCAGTGTTTGCTGTTATCTTCATGCTTCCCATGATTTACAGGTATACACAAAGCACGCATCCGGTAAGTCCTATTACGAGTTTCGTGAAATTTAGGACTTGTCTAATGCGCTGTAGAGATCTGGGCTTGTAGGATGCATATCGTTTACGGTCGTATCTCTAGCAGAAGTCGCCGCCCAAGGCAAGCCCTCTACAGCTACAGTTGCTGCAACACACGGGGTCGCTATGATAGTTGGTGTCGTAGCCTCCATTATTGTTAATTGGGTTCTATGGCCGTTTGTTGCTCGTCACGATCTTCGAAAGGCCACAGCTACTATGATGTTCTATTGTAGCATCGTGTATAGGAGTAAGTCATATACATGCTAAAGATCCAACTTAACTAATAAATCTATAGGTATCGTATCGAGATATGTGTATTATGAAGAGGGGAATGAACCTACCAAAGAAGATATACGAGCTTCTGAGATACTCGAGGGACGTTTACGTGAAGGGTTTGTGAGATTAAGGCAACTACTAGTAAGCTCATCATCTTTCATATGGTCTTGCAAAGCCAACCGATTAATGGCAACTAGGGCCTCACCCGTCATGAGATACGCCTACGAGCTCCTTTCGATCCTTTGCCGTACTCTGCGCTCATTGATGCCTGTGAGCAATTTTTTGAGTATATAGTCACGGCCCGTCAGGCATCCTTATTTTACCACCCACATTTCATCAGAGATAATACCGAGTTCGCTGCAGACTTGCTGGGCCACAGGCGAGACGCAGTCGCAACCATTTTAACCAATCTTTATGTTCTTTCAGGTGCCCTTCTGGCAGACAGAAAAGTACCCGTAAGTCTAGAGAAAACCACGATAGATCAGTTTGGCGAATCTTATAGACTGATCGTGATAGAAATACCTGCCGAGCGCCGCAGCTACACGGAAGCAGCTGTTGGACCGAATGGGAGTTCTAGAGGCCGAGCTTGCGGCAAGCGGGAGACTTAGCGTCGATGAAAAATTAGAAGGGAGAAAATGGGCTCAGATATACAGCTATTCGTATAATGAGAGCTTGACGGGCTGCGTCGAGCAGCTGGAGGAACTTGAGAAGTATACTAAGGCCATTGTTGGCGAACAGGGGTGAGTTGGTTCTGTTTTCTTTGGCTGCTAACTACCCCGCAAGTATATAACTGTCTTCAGAGGGCTGATAGAAGTGCTTTAGGTTCGATTGCCCATATGCGGACGAAGATGGGCTGATGGAGTAAATATTCTCCCCTTACCTATGATCACACATTTTGTACCTTTCCCAGCGCTGGTCATGGCGATTACGAAACCTTTTGACGTCGATTTACAAGTTTCTTATGGATGATTTAGGTGTAATGTCTGGAGCTAGGCGGATAATGTCGATGGCTAGTATTATGCGAACCGAACGCTTGTATGAGATATGATGCTATTATGGGTGATAAGAAGATGGGATCTAGGCGATAGTAATGAAGCTATATTCACACACTGTTATATAACCCCAGATGATAGCTACTTCAGTTTGAAGAATTTATATCTCCACTGCGGTTTAGGCAAGTTTTCTCTCGTATAATATACGTATCCAATTCCTACTCTCCTCGAAACGCCCCTGTGCGTAGTCAGACCCAAAAAGATGGATTGCGCATCTGTGCTTCTAGTAACATTAGCAGCAACGATAGGAACGAGCTCATCTATTAGTTCGTCTCCATCGTCGAATCTGAACTCTCCCGAATGGCCAGATACATCTAAGTTTCCAACGAGGCTACCTGGTGCGATCGTCACATGGAATTGTCTGGCTGCCACATAGGGCGCGAAGAACCCAAGCTCGCCGCAACTCAGCCTATGAAACACTTTTATACTTTTTCCTGATGAGCCGTCCAGTAACACCTTGATATCTATTCCAATACGAGATTGAAGATAATCTTTAGTGCGGACAACTTCCTTCTCGCCGTGTTCGCTGTTTGTATCGCAGTCTCGGCCTTCGAACGCGGTTTTCCAAACACCCGTGGTCCAATGCTTCAGTTTTGAGCCCCCGTAATACCAACGTACGATAGGGACATGTAAGCGCACGCGCTTAACAGGAGCCTGTGATATTTTCCTAGGCAACCAGAGATTATCTGCGAAAACAAATTCGACTGGGCCAACCCAAGAAACCCTATAATATCCTACATTAGCTACCTATATTTGATCTTCGCTCACTTGATTGGCATAGCAGATAACAAATGAACATTAGGTACACATACCACGACCACAACGAGAATTTTTCAGTCGACCTCCCTGATGGTCCGGTAGTTCTGCACGGCCGCCTCTCTGCCCCGTGTACGGGAAACCAGAGTAGTGCTCGGTAAAGCAGGTGAGAAGGGATGGCCTGCGCCTGGCGAATGCTCAAAATCTCCAAAGGGGCGCTTCTAGTGATCTCGGCCCTGTTGAAGATACCCTCAAACGCGTTAAATATATCGTAAGGGTACGTGAGATGTTTCCGGGTGTATTCCTGCACCGCAATTTGGTAGGTTTGCGCATCCAACTCCCTACCGCTCGTACCCCCTAAATAATGATACGGTGTTGGATCGAGATCGCGCCTGAGATTCCTGTTCCACCATGGCGGCCCTGTCCTAACCTCGATTTTCACCTCTTTGTTAATTGTTCCCTTTACTGCATAATCATAACCCTCTCTCCGCTGGCATTCGCCACAGTTGAAAAAGACCTCGTCTGCGGTAAAGTACAGGCAACGTTGCGATAGGGACTGTTCTTGGAATGTCCAACCGCGTGTGTTCCAAGTTTCCCTTCGAACCTCCTCGCAAAGCGATGACAAGCAAACTGAAAGGTTAAGAACAGTACCGTCTGAAGTGATTATTGGGACCGGTTTAATAGGACGTCCTGCCCGAGGACTAATGCCGCTTAATCCAGCGTCTGAGTTCCTGCCCGCTGCGGCGATAATAGTCACAGCCGCAGAGTTATATATATCGCCCATTCGCGCGATAAGTCGGTCCCTATCCTTATGATCATCCTGGATGATACATAGAGTATCAACCCACAAATATCGCATCCCGATTCTTCGTGTGAATTCCATGGCATCTCTAACTGTCCGAGGAATCCGCCCCGCTAATCGCGATTTTGTCCCTGATTCGGACAGGCTTTTATCAGCCTTCACATATTTTATATTTTGTCGGAGTGTTACGAGGATAGGAATTGTTTCCTGGTTCTTGCCTCCTGAACAGAGGATGGTAGGAGTGTCGCCCCAAACGTATGACAGGGCAACATAGCCACATCTTTTATCTTTCTCTACTATGCAGTCCCTATCTACGTCAATAAGCCGAAAAGGGGATTGGGGTTGAAAAAGGTCGTTATCAACGTTTTGTTCTTTAGACGGCCTAGAATGTTGATGTCTCTGACACTCATCGAGCCAGCCTTTCACAAGTGCGATATCGACATGCTTTCCGATTTCTCGGCGCGGGAGGTAGTTTACTTCTGACCCGTTATTTGGTAGAGATTCGATTTCCGCGATAATAAACCCCGTCTTTACCCTATCAACCTGTCTCAACGGCATTTGGTTGTGGTGGAACTTTGGAGGCTCCTGGTTAGTTGCCAACAGAATCCTGGGGTGGGGATGTCGGGTGTAGCCGTCTTCCTGAACGGACAAGGGACTCCGGCTTTGGATGAAGAGCTCGCATTTCCCTGCTAGACCCTTATCGGACGTTCCCCAGGCGCGGCCAACCGCTTCGGAGATGAGGCTGCAGAACGGACAGTCTGGGTCGTCGTATTCTGAAATCCAGCCGATAGCTTGTTGGCTGGTTTCATCGCGAAACAGCACGTCCAACTCCAATCTCTCGCAGGTGCTGCATAAGCGGTATTTAGGCCGCGACCTCTCTGATCGTGACTTGTAAGAGCATTCCATAATGCCATTCAAATCTTAACAATTCCGTTGGTCATATATCTATGATGTTCTATAGCATATAGTGCTACCAGCGACCCATCATTTTTTTTTTTTCATTATAGACTTGCCGCATATTTGCTTGTCGTTGGGCACCTAAGCACGTTTGCAATGCCCAGTAAGGCGGCGAAACGATCTCAGCTGAAAAGCAAAACAACCGGAAAGCATACTGACATGATGGCAACTAATCAAGATTGACCACATTTCGCAATGCCATGATTTCACTGGTGAAATCCCCACAACTATAATTTAATAGGCACAGGAATCGAAAAATATAAATTCAAGCTTACCACTTGTTAGATGAACGTAGAGACATGCTGATCAAATATTCCTCAGGAAAACCATTCAAGTCGTCATAAAACCACTACTACAAATCCCCGAGTAAAGATATTAGGAGCCATGGGCCGCTTCCGAAGATATGCAAAGGCTTTGAGAACTAAGCTCTCCAAAAAGTTCAATGACACGCAGTCTGCCTTGAGTGCCTTGAGTACACAGAGTACAGAAGCTGTGGAAGAAGCTGTAAGCTCAAGTAGTTCTGGCGATAGTAATGTAAACTACTTGGGGTACTCCAGGCATCCGGATTCATCAGAGGAAGAGACTACAAGCACAGAAGAGGACTTCGAGTCTGCTCCCTCACTTCCGGGATCACCCGCACAGTTCCTTTCATACCTTGACCAGAATCCTGAGACTCCAACGCGCGCTCTATTACAGCCGTACCTAGCTTACGAAAAGTGGCTACGCTACGAGTTCGTCCGTCCAAACGCAGAGATCGATTGTCTCTCGAATATTGTTCCGGTTTACGATGGGCAAGAGAGCTTGTTTAGGATTCGCGTGATAGATTACGAGTTAGCCGATAAAAACCGGTACCTGATGCCGTTAGAAAGCTCCGAGCGAGAGAAGGATAAAAGCCTCGCGATCGCCGGGTCTTTAGAGGAATACCAGGATAATTTTGACGGTTTCACTCGAGGTTAGTTAATGCCGCCATTCGTTCATCCATAACAGCAACTCTCCTTACGGATAGCTAATCTATCATCACGAATACTACAGGCATGTTGGCTGGGCTAGATTGGTCCAACCTTGTGGTGGCTGGGTCCTCCGCGCTCCTCCCCCTATTATCCCGTCGCGTAGACGTGGACCTACAAGATAACTCGGCAGTAGAAAAGCCGGCCGAAACTTACTATCAGTATTTAATTAGCCCCCCCCTTTACAGCCTCACCGGTGTTGTATCTACCCATCTACGGGCGGAGGACACTGATTTAGTTCTCTAGACATACTGCGAGCACGAGCGATATCGACATATTCTTGTACGGAATCGACAATGAAGATACAGCTATCAGACGTATCATTGAGGTAGAAAACTTGGTGCGGAAGAACCAGCATATGTTACCCGATAAAGGCCTAACGTTGCGGTCGGAGAACGCCATCACGTTCATCGCGCCTAGGTGGCCATTCCGTCACGTTCAGGTAACGAGACCAAATTTACTTTGCATCTACTCTTCCTTGGCTCTAGGTAGAAATAATGTCCAATAAGGGTATCAGTTAACTAGTATTTATCAGATCATCCTTAGACTTTATAAGTCGATCAGTGAAATACTGACAGGCTTCGATGTGGATTGTTCCTGTGTTGCATTTGATGGAAAACAGGTGTATTCTAATCCACGGGGAGTTGCAGCGATTGCGACGCGCACCAACACCATCGACCTAAGTCGCCGGAGCCCGTGTACGTATTTCCGTTCCTATCCCATACCCTCGCGTTGAAATGCTTCTCTCTTTTTTACTTGCTGAATGAAATATAACTAGCTTATGAGAATCGCTTGTGGAAATATCGTCATCACAACTTCGAAGTATATTGGGACGCACTCGAGCGATCACGAGTTAGGAGTATAAATACTGAGCCTGATAATGACGAGCACCGAAATCTCACCGGACTTGCTAGGTTGATATTTTCTGAAGGGATACTCAACAATATTCGCAACGAATGGAGATTAAACTCAAATCTGAAGAAGCTCGACGGTGGCAGAGACCCGAGCCTGGTGATAGAAACAACGAGCGGTTACGCTAACCATGTAATTCCATACGGCGTGCGACTTACCGCCAAAAAGTATGTCAAGCAACAAATTTCATCATACATCGGCTACATCATATAGTGCTGGAAGATCCTAACACAGCACCAGCGTCCGTTCGACTGTTATTAGCTCCGCAAGAGCGCCATACATGTTCGGCACGATCCGAGAAGTTACTGATCCGACGAACCCAAACTGCAAATGGAAATCGAAGCGTAAGCGCAGGGGGAAGTTGCCTAAGAAGGTCACTTTCATCAAGCTTAATCCCGGTCGGCAAATGATTGGAAGCTTTTATCCCCTGACTGCGGATGACTGGTAAAGTCATTCATTATTCTCGTTAGATATCGAGCTGTTCTTTGCTAATTAAGTGTTGATAGGACAAAAATGGCATATAAGTAATTGGAGTAAGTAGAGAGGAGGGACAGTGGTGTGTATGCGGCGGTATTTAGACTGTTATTGAAGTAGGGGTATTGTATGAGGTAGATGACACCACCAACATTAACATCACCAAATGCCATACTTGCCTTCTCATACCCCTCGTTACGCTAGTACCGACCCTAATATCAATGAGGCTGATGAGGATATGAAATAACCTTACGTTCGACATCTCAATTTCGAAGCCCAAAAGTTATCTCCTTCAATTCTTACACCAGGAAACTGGTTATCACCCCCGCTGGGTTCTTCGGAACTTGGCGCTTAGGCTATTAAAGGCATCCTAAAGTACCGCCCTGGACCCGTATCGTCGGCATCTAGTACCATCTCAGCATTTTATTCCCCTTCTTCAACCTGCTTTCCCTTAACCAATAAGTAGCGGATATAAAACTATCACTTCTTTGTCATTGGTGCTTGAAAATGTTAGCTACTGACTTTTTCATTTTTCTTTCTCTAAGCTCAGCTTGTCTCGGTTGGGAATGGGAGAGCAGTGGAAAATTGGATCAAAAGCAAAGAAACACATGTCGCGGGGCAGACTCGACTGTTAAATACACGACGATTTCTGGCTTCTTCCAACAAGATGACCCAACTACTGACTCTAAGAGTTTCGACTATGTATGGTTCAGCTGGATCAAGCCATAAGCAATGGTCACTACTAACAACAAGTAGACTGAGACTAACTATGGTCTTATCAATCGGTCGTATCCAACTGACGGTGTATTCGACCCCAAGAGAATGAAAACGCAGTGGGAACGGTTCACTTATTACGTCGATTCTTTGAATGGGGATTGCGATGGAAGCACGCAATACAAAGTCTTATTTATGGCTCGCCATGGCGAGGGTTATCACAACACCGCAGAGAGCTATTATGGCACACCGGCTTGGAACGTAAGTTGATTATAAAATCTCTATCATGTATAATCTAATGGTGAAATAGTGTTATTGGGGTCCACTTGAAGGCAACGGAACTGCCATATGGAGGGATGCTCAATTGACCGAGGCGGGTATAGCTCAATGTACCAAGGCGAATAACTTCTGGAAACGCGCATTAGCTGTTGAGAAGATTCCAGCACCTCAGTCCTACTACAGCAGCCCCCTAATCCGTTCAGCAACTACAGCAAATCTTACCTTCAATGGACTAGAAGTTCCGGTAGATAGACCTTTCGCGCCCACGATTAAAGAATTTCTTCGCGAGGGCATATCCATGCGCACCTGTGATGAAAGGTCGAATAAAACATACATCCAAACTCTCCTTCCGGCATTCAGATTCGAGGACGGGTTCACCGAGGACGACGAGCTATGGAAGGGGTACGAAGGAGAAACTTCCGAGGCACAGATAAAGAGGACGAAGATCGTCTTGGATGATATATTTAGCAGTGACGATAGCACTTGGATCAGTATCACAAGCCACTCCGGCCAGATCCGCGCAAACCTTCAAGTATTGGGCCACATCGAATTCAGCTTGTCCACCGGCCAAGCAATTCCGGCGCTCGTCAAGGCTGTTACTCTCCGTGAGGTCGAGCCCAGTACTACCACTATTGAGTCATGGATAGCCGAGGCTACGTGTAGTTTACCTCCGGTTACTAGTATCTCAGGCCAAGGCTGCGTCTGCTCGAGCGCCTCCGCTTCATCAGCCGCGTTCACGACCACAGCTATCCCAACATAAGGTTATAGGTGTAGGGAATCATATAGTCAAGCCAGGAACAAGAACTGGATAATTAGTATGATATTAGCAAGATAAGCGCTACATAGCATTTCGCTTATATCCTAACGCGATAGGCGTGTAACGGTCGTACCTATACTACGACCATTTCATCCGGATACGACCCTCGGCCACACGGAAACCTTCAGCCCAGTAATCGACCTGGGTACAGGAACCCCACGAGGTCTGTTTGAAGCTCCTGAAATTCTTGGGAGGAGGCTCACGCGCGTTATTAGCCGGGACATATTACTGCATATAGAACGCATCCAGTGCCAGGTTCTGTAAGCCCAGCCCTAACTATCGATTCTTGGGAGCCCCGGCGCATCTTTACGCGGCATCATTGCGAATTCCGAGAGTGACCCTAGGATGACCAACGCTTATATATATATATATAGAAGATGGAAAGAATCCGTGATGTTGATTGCTTCGTATTAGTTGGAGTCGAGACGGCTTGCCTTCCGACCTGCCGTCTTCGACAGACATCCACCATCTCCAGCATTTGCACCAAGAAAATTACCAGGTAATTGCATGCATACAAACACACCACAGCTATTTCTGATATCGGCCCTGATAGGGGGTCTCAAGCGAGCCACCCCAAATTACGCTACGAACATACGATAGCCCGGGTCCTACCTTGATAATCGTGAAGACCTTTCTCGTAGCCACCGGTATTTACGGTTTGCGTCTAACGGCAGAAATAACTCTCTTCACCTTGCCGATATCGTAGGGTGCATGTCTAGGCACATAGGTTAAGTCATCTAGAACGGTCCCTTTCAATTATTAGATCTATAGGCTGAAATGTTGCACGCCATAATGGGGTGCTCTCGTACCTGCCGAGCCGTCTCACAAACTCCACGGGCGCCTCGGTTCGTTGTTGGCTGTTAAGAACGTTTTCACGCACCCTCGCCGGCATGCAGTATAGCGGGAATGTCACATTTTTGCAAGAACGAGCACAGTATTCTGATGAGTAAGTATTAGCAACAATTTCGGGTAAGAAGACTGGTCACTACGCTCCTCTGCAAGTGACGATGGGATGAAGGGTTGCTCCAACCGGCTATGAATCTTGGTAGATAAATACGTGGGGCGATCATGGCCCCCTTTTTTAGTACCTCTCAAGTAGGTAGATCGTTCTAGAGGTATATTACTGCCGCCTACTGCTAAAGATGCGGACCCTAGTTGTCCAGACGCTCTTCGCGCTCTTTACGAGCCTAGCCTGTGCCAACTTTGCCTTCGAGGCTGAACAGCTTACGGAGGATGATATTGGTGACTTCTCGGCCATAGCATTTGGCAATGCATCTACTGCGGCACCCCCGGACGACGATGACACACCGGACTGTAGAGAATACCCGGGAACACCTAACTGGCCTCTCGGTGAAGAATGGTCGCGGCTGAACAGCTCGCTAGGAGGAGCCTTGATCAAGGGAGTCCCGCCTGCGGCAGTATGTTATGACGGACCTTACAAGGACGAAGCTGCGTGTACTTATCTCACGTGGAACGCAACTTTTACTCGCTTTTACATGAACGATCCGGTCACAGTATTTTCGGAATGGCCCGAGGGAGATACCTGCCACACAATGTTTGGGCAGCAAACTGGCGAGAATTGTACCCAGGGTGCTTTCCCTGTCTATGTTGTCAACGCCACGACGGTGAGGCAGATCCAAATCGCTGTTAATTTTGCCAGGAATAGGAACCTCCGACTCGTCATCAAGTGAGTGCTTCCCGAATCCAACGTGCTAGCAAGAACATTGCTGTAATATGAGAGTACGGCTAGACTAATATCATGACCCTCTTTGATAGGAACACCGGGCACGATTTTGTCGGTCGATCGTCCGGCTTCGGAAGTCTCAGTATCTGGACACACTGGCTGAAAGACTTCGAATTCCTACCCCATTATCGAATCGGGGCGTACAATGGCAGGGCAGCTAGAGTCGGTGTTGGCATTGAGAGCTGGGAGATGTTCGCATACATGAACCGCTATAATATGACGGCACTAGTTGCGGGAGGCTATACCGTTGGAGCATATGGGGGTTGGATAGCAGGTGGCGGACACTCTGCCTTAGCTTCCAAGTACGGCCTTGGTGCTGATCAAGCTCTGTCCATCCAAGTAGTGACGGCCGACGGCAGATTCGTCACCGCCGATCCGCATCAGAATACAGACTTGTTCTACGCGCTGCGAGGTGGTGGAGGGAGTAAGTAATACCCTATATCTTTGTTCGCTTTTATATCGTAGTCTGAGTCAAGGTATGCTGTTTGCTAACCATAGACGCATAGGCACTTATGGCGTCGTAACGTCCTTCATAATCAAGGTTCACCCGCCGACAAAAGTTCTAACATCGTCCATAGCCTTCTTTTCAGGTGGCCTCAATATCTCTGGACCGAGTGATACTAAAAGGTTCTGGGAGGGTTTCGATCTATACCATGAATTCGGTAAGAAAATAGTCGACAATAGCGGTACAGCATGGTACGTATGAGATCCATCGTTTGACAAGCCTGTATTTATGGATTAATACTAACGAACTCATAGTATGTTACGATAACCTTCTTTTACCCTTTGCGCGTATCCATGGTTGAGAAATATACTGGATGAAGCAAAGGTTTATGTTTTTACTCAGGACACTAACAAGTAGGGCATTAGACAGTTATGTGTCTCGCCTTTTCGGTAACAGCAGCTTCAGCTTCACAGCAGACATCGAACTCCCGAACGTGTCAGAAGAATACCTATTCGAATTTGTGCAACCACTGGTGAACGACTTAAATGCGATCGGACTAAATGTAACTAACCAGAAGCCGCATCCGGCTACAAACTGGGCGTCTCTCACGGAGGGCACAGGCGATATCCCGGGCAGTTCGCGCTTCGGCAGCCGTCTGTGGCCGCGCGCCAACTTCGAGGACCCGGACTTGTTTAAGGCGACACAGCTCGCGATCCGGGAGTCGATCGAAGCGGGCTACACGTTCCACGGGATCCACATGAAGCCGACCGAAGAGGTGGCAGGATACCCAGGCAACAACGCGGTCAACCCGGCGTTCCGCAAGGCCATCATACACGCCGACTTGTACGACTACTCGATGCTACGGGGCTTGTCGCCAGCCGCTTTCAAGGCGACGCACGCGCAGCTGGCTAGCGCCATGGATAAGTGGCGGGCGGTGTCGCCGGGAGCGGGCGCATATTTTAACGAGTGCGACGTCCAGGAGCCGAACTGGCAACAGGCCTTCTTCGGGAGTAACTACGGGAGACTGCTGCGGATTAAGCGCCGACATGACCCCTGGGGAGTGTTCTACGCGCCGACGACGGTCGGTAGCGAGGACTGGGTGGTGCTTACGGAGGATGATATGCCTACGCAGAATGGGCCGTTGTGTAGAGCGGATTCGGTAGTGGCGAGGAGGGGATTTAGAAAGGTGAAGTAGAAGAAGGGAGTCTTGGAGAAGATTCAGGAGAGGATGATTATGTTGGACTATATGAGACCAGTGCTGATAGTTATTAGACAATACTGCAAATATTAGTCTTCTTTAAGAGGTCCTCATTATCTGATGCTTTGTTATTTGGGATGAGCTCATGCCTGCCAAGCCTATATTATATACATTATCCCTTTGTATTGAATGTTACCTTGGAGTATTCTAGACTTTGAATTCTTGCAAAGTGTCTGCCTGGCATAATGGCCTGGTTTTTGGGCGGATGGGAGGCAATAATTGATAAGCCACTGTACGCGGGAAGAAGCTTACACGTAAGAATGAATTTAAATTTTTTTAGGCGGCACATGGCGTTGAATCTGATAGATCTAACTAAAATTCAAACATGGCTATCGGATTTTCTCATGCACGTGTCCGCGTGCTATTACAATCAGACAGTACATATGTAGTATATTCTTATCTAATATTGACAGGTATAATCCGTACTACCTGCTTAATAGACACTGTATAGTGTGGCTCGGGTGGCTTCCCGCAAGAATCTTAGGTAAGGTTCTTTAGCTCTTGCAAGGCTCTAACGGTGTCCCGCCTTCCGTTGATTGGTTATATAAGAAATATAATGGGTCATTTGAGCCCCACTAGGTACGAAGTAGAAGGTACAATTGCAGCCCCATGAAGGGAAAGACCAGAGGAGGGCCCAAGCTGGTGGTTGCGCCAGAGGGAGGGCTGAATCGTTGCTTTTACCAACTTTAGTGATTCTTACCTTTCAATCCGTCTATCCACCCAAAAACCAACAACCATACACTTTGCCCGCAACCATACACTTTGCCCGCAACGATACGTACCTTTACCACTCTTAAAAATTATTCGGAGCGCGTCAAAGTGGTTTCTTTTTTTTTCTATTTCCCCAGACAAAGACTTATGATACCTTGCTATACATCATCTCACTTATTTGACACGCCGATAACTAAGTTACTGGAGCTTCCAGCCTTTTCGCCCAAGTTTGTTAACTAAATCTGTTAACCTCGTCTTCTTTCAGCCCGCCCAAACCAATCGACAACGGCCCCGGTCTGCCTGGCACAGTCCAACCCCGTCCGTCCTAAGCTCATGACATCCATGCCCCGAGCATCGGTAAACTTACGCTTACCCTCGTCCGTCGGATACTATCCGCGAAGACCACATCTGTCGCTCTCGACGGACGCCATTGCGTGATTCGTGAATTTTCGTCGTTCTGCGTGGTTCTGTGAGGGGCTCTAGGGGAATCGCATTATCACCTTTCTCTTCTTCCCTCCTTCTCTCCCCTTCCCACCGCGAGACCACCACCCTCATGGTCCCCCCACCGCCGTCTCACTCTCGATCCGGAACTTTCTCACCTGCTCCTGCTCAGAACTTGCAGACAGGACTTTCACACTCTCCCCATCCGTCACAGGCCGGTCCTCTGAGTGCTGGCGCGAGTCCCAGTACCAGCAGCCCGACCGCGGGGACCAGCTCTCTCACCAAAATTGTCGTCGCCCAGGTCTACCTTCTTCTTAGTACTATCAAGGAGGACAAGGACCGCGCCAAGTGGGAGTTACAAGTGGATCAACTGAAAAAGGTAGGTCGCTGTTATTTTTCCTATTAGTATATATATATATATATATATATATACCTATATACATATACCCAAGCTACCAACCCAACCTCCTCAGAACTTACGCTGATGACAGCTCGCCTTTTTCTAGCTCCTCGATGATCACGGTATGGAGGTTTTTTCTAAGTACTTCACCCGGCTGGTAGCCGGCAACGCCCCCCAGATATTTCCTGGTATCACCCGGCCCGTTGCAAATCCCGGCAACTACTCGCTCCTAGTAAACGAAATGTCCAAGATATCGCACGACCTCGACCAAGCCTCTAGAATAGCTGAATCGATCGAATCAGCCAACGAGGATATCTTCCGCGATTTCGATCTGTCTACATTCATGGAGCACTTCAAGCTCGATGCCTTAGAGAAGACTATACTTGCCTTAGCGTTCAAGTTCGGCGCCCGGCAGGATCTGAAGACTAAGGGTATGTCATTACCGGCGCACTCGTCAGAGACTAGTGCCAGTAAGCTAACCGTGTTCAATGCTAAAGCCGATGCGATCCTCTCCACAAATTTCCCTACTTTTGTCAACATAATCTCTAGAACAGATTACGGCGATCATTCCGACCTTACTCCTTCTTTTATTGCTACTATCGTCGACCGATATATCCAAGGCCATCCGCCCAACTTCAACTCAGCTGCTAAGCACGAGCTAAGTGCTAAGGTTCAGGCTCGTTGGTTACAGCAGCAGCAGGACCAAGCACCTCCCATGGAGGTCTTGGCCGCTTTGGATCTCACTAGAGTGCTAGGTGATAAACCCCCTAATGCGCTCGCCCTTTATATTCAGAGGACCGGCACCGACTTCACCCGCGACGAGGAAACCTGCCTATCTTACCTTCAAAATCGTCCGAATAATATACAGCTAAGCGAAGAGCAGGTTTCGACGGCATTAACGTACACGACCGTCAGCCTTACCTATCGCCATAACCCTTTTGTACTTGTCGCTGCCCTTCGTCGTATACTCCCGCAAACTTTTCGTTGGCACGACGTGGTTGCATACTTTGATCAGCGAGACGTGCGCGTATCATCAGCACAGTTCTTACGGTTATACGAGGCCCTTTTACCCGTCGCGCAATCCCAGGATGACCAATCTCCGCCGTTTAGTATTCAGAGCTTGTGGGGAGGGTCTCACTGGGAGAATCCGGAAACTCAGCTATCCTTCATATGTGCATTTGCATCCTTGAGCCCGAATGAACTTGATGCGAGTACTATTCCTGGCCTCCAGCCGACGTTTACACTTGACGAGTACGCACAATCTCCTCCCGAAGTCCGCGAGCGAGCCGCAGTTGCTGTGAAGCATCCTCTAGTCTCAGCTTTGGCCCTGTCTGCAATCTTCCAGGTGGCACTTCACTCTCTACACGCGTCGCAGAGCACGGAAGCAAAACGGTTGTTCCAAGAGGTAGTTGTTCCGAATCTTGATATTTTCATAGTCTCTGCTTTCGGCGTTCCGAAACCGTGGCCGCCAATGGCTGTCGAAACTTTGGCATCTTTGTTTGATAACTTCCTGCATCGAAGGTCCGAGTATCACGACTTCGTCTTGGATAGCCTCTGGAGGAAAGACAGGGATTGGGTCACGCAAAGACTTGTTGATGCGCACGCCATGAAGCCATTAGATCTGACGCTCATATTTGAGCATGTCATCAAGCATAAATGGCTAGACGAGCTCGTCTACTTACCCAATGGATTCGGCTACGATCTTGCCGCCCTTGCGCATGCTGAAGGTCATCTCGATCTCGCTCAGTGGGCTCATAACAATGCTGAGCGAAGTCCCGCCATCTCCCAATCTCTACTGCAATTTCTAATGATCAAGGCAAATCTCGAATTGCAGTCACAGAGGGGTGGAGATGGACAGCCGGTGGCAAAGACAAGTACACCTCTTCACGTCAAAACCGTACTCGCCATGCTCCAAATTCTTGAAGACTTTTTACCTCGGAACCCCTTGCCAGAGTTGATTATTGTTCAGCGCGCCTGCATTACTTCCTATCCCAGACTCATCAACTACGGTGAGGGCTACGATGATATCATTGATGCTAATGGGAAGGACGGCAACGGGCTCCCAGCAGCCGCTGTCGCCAAGATGGAAGAGCATTACAAAAAAATGTACGGGGAGGAGTCGGAGGTCAAGTATGTCGTCCAAAAGCTCGAGGAGTACAAGCACTCGCAGTTTCCGTTAGATCAGGATATCTTCGCGTGCATGATCCACGGCCTTTTCGACGAATACTCCCACTTCATAGACTACCCTCTTGAAGCACTGGCTACTACTGCAGTTCTCTTTGGCGGTATAATATCCCACAAGCTGATCTCCGAGTTGCCGCTGAAGATTGGATTGGGTATGATTCTCGAGGCCGTTAGAGATCACGGTATCGATAGTTCAATGTACAAGTTCGGCCTTCAAGCTCTCATACAGATTTTCCCTCGTTTCAGGGAGTGGCCAGGGCTTTGTAAGCAACTGCTGCAGATTTCTGGCTTACGTGGCACTGAAGCTTATCGAAAGGCTGAAGAAGTCGTGCTGGAAGATGAAGAGGACCGGGGGCGTGCCCAAAACGGCACGGTTACCCCCAGTCACATAGGGAATGAACCTCCGATGACTAACGGCGCTACTGACGGGCCAGAACCCCATGCAGCTCCCTTCGCAGCGATCAACGTCGATCCGCCTCCTCAAGGGACTGCCTTTGAAGATCCTGTCGTCGATGTACAAGATAGGATTCAATTTGGACTCAATAACTTAACTACTTCCTCGCTCCAAACGACTTTTAGAGAGATCCATGAGGTTTTGGAATATCAGCATCAGCAATGGTTTGCCAGCCATCTTGTCGAAGAGCGGGCAAAAATGCAGCCAAATTACCACCAGGTATACCTTGACTTAGTGAAGCTCTTCCAAGATTCGGGTCTGTGGTCTGAAGTGTTGAGGCAAACCTATATTAGCGTTGCTCGCATGCTGAACTCAGAGAGCACGATGCAGAACTCAACTGATCGAACCCACCTGAAGTATTTGGGGGCTTGGTTGGGACTCCTAACTATAGCGAGAGATCAACCGATTAAACATAGGAACATCGCATTTAAGCAGCTGCTTATTGAGGCGCACGACACCAAGAGACTAGTTGTCGTAGTACCATTTGTCTGCAAGGTCCTAATTCAGGCTGGAAAGTCAACCATCTTTCGACCGCCAAATCCGTGGTTGATGGACATTATTCACCTCCTTATCGAACTTTACCATCACGCCGAACTAAAGCTAAACCAAAAGTTCGAGATTGAGGTACTCTGCAAAGACCTAAATCTGGATCATAAGAGCATTGAACCATCTACCGAGCTTCAAGACCGTGTACCCGTCGAAGAGGCTACGGATATTGGTGCGCAAGACCCTCTGGAACATTTTGAGAATATGTCTTTGAATGGTATGGCTAGCGCTGTCCCAGCCGGCCTTACGCCGCACCCCATCCCAGTCACCATTCCAGACATCAGTGGCCTCTTATCAATTCCACCAACAAACGAGATGGTTATTAACAGCGTCCGTCTTCATGAAATTGTTCGCAATGCGGTAACGAAGGCGCTGCAGGATATAATTCAACCTGTTGTCGATCGATCCGTTACTATCGCCGCGATTAGTACACAGCAAATGATTCATAAAGACTTCGCAACCGAGCCTGATGAGAACAAGCTCCGAACGTCTGCTATCAATATGGTCAAAGCCACTGCCGGAAGTCTTGCCCAGGTTACGTCGAAAGAACCTCTCAGAGCCAATATCACTAATTATATGCGAAACGCCGCAGGCGAACTGCCTCACTCGCTTCCTGAGGGTACGATTATCATGTGTGTTAACTCTAACCTCGAGCTTGCGTGCAGCGTAATCGAAAAGCAAGCCGAGGAGCGAGCGGTTCCAGAAATCGAAGAGATGATAGAGGGCGAAATAGAAGCAAGGCGTCGACACCGCCTACAACGGCCTAGTGAGCCATACGTCGATCCTGGTCTTAGCAGATGGGCGATGACTATTCCTCATCCCTACAAGCTCTCTCCCAACATGGCTGGTTTGAACGCGGAACAAATGGCCATATACGAGGATTTTGCCAGGCAGCCACGAGGTGCCACCACCCAAGCTGGACCAAGTCACGGCGCGTCGGCGTCGGATGCGACTAGGAATATTGCAAACGAGGTCCTCCAAGATCAGTATAGCTCTGTACCCAACCTCGCTACTCCGGCCGAGACCCCTTCTCTTCCCCATCTTAATACGCAACTACCCTATTCCCATGTACATGGTGGAATGACTAACGGTCGCCCTTCGGCCCATCCTTTGGATGGAAGAGGATTAATGGAAAAGGTAGAGAGGCTCTTATCTGAACTCAAACGTACTACCACCTCGACAGACGAAGAGCACTTCAGCGACCTTCCTAGGTCCCACCCAGTCTTGGAAGTCGTTGATGTCTTCACTCAGCTCATTATCAACACGTCCCAAAACTCGGACGAGTTCGCATTCTACGCTGCCGAAAAGATTTGTCAGCTACTCTTCAGCGGAGTGGAAAACACTCTCTTCTTAGAAAGCCTCGTCCACATCCTCGAGCAGTTGTTGAAGATCGCTGCAAGCTCAGGCACCGCGCTACATGACCGGGTGCAGATCAGCTTCTACCAGCAGTCGCCTCAGAATATTCTCAATATTTCTTTAATCACAGCGCTGCTCCCGACGGATTTTCTCGACCTGCACAGCATCGACAACATGCTTTCCAAGATGCTGGTACAAAGGGAGGAAGGCTACCTAGAGTTCTTTGATAAACTCCTAGACCTGACTCTGTTCAATGAACGGCCCATGGCACTCTTTGCAGACTTCGTACGCAGTTTAGAAGTCGCATGGGAATGGATCAGTGCCAGTCCTGACCTTGAAATTAGCCAGCGGCTAAAGTCAAAGTTCCTTAATTCTGGCCTTATCAAACCGCAAAGTCGAGACGACGCGGAGCAACTAGAACAGTTCGAGTATATCTTCGACGAATGGGTCCGTCTCCATAACAATCATAACGCACCAGACAAGGCACGAGTAGCCTTCGTGAAGCAGATTCGTAACCAGAACATCATCGCCAATAAGGACGATTTCGCAATCTTCGCGCGAAGAGCCACCGATATGACGATTAACTACTATGAGCAAGTGTTGCACGCGGGAGGAAGCACTTCCGAAGCCTTCGCTGCTGTGGATGCTCTCGTAAAGATGGTCGCAGTCTTTGCTAGGGAGAACGGTGCCGATCAAGAGGATCCTAAGACTGGGATTATTCCTGTTCTGGAGACCGTCACGTCGCTCTTCGCAGTCGTTCTGAATCACCACCACGTTACGAGAGGCGAGCATTTCAATCAGAGAGTCTTCTTCCGCCTGTTCTCTATGCTCCTGCATAGCGCCGATTCGATTTTTGCGGAAACTCCGAGTCCCGAGTCTTGCCGACAAGAATTCCTAGTGAGACTCTCTTGGACGTTATTACAGCTCAATCCCGAACGTTTCCCCGGGTTTGCCTTTGCATGGCTCAGCCTCGTAGGACATCGGCGCTTCATGCCTGACATCCTTCTCCTCGAATCTAAGTCCGGTTGGGCTCCCTATACCAAACTCCTGAAATGTCTTCTGAGACACGTCTCGGCTCATATGAAAGCCATCGATGTAACAGATGTCGTTAAGGAATACTACCGTGCAGTTGTCAAACTCCTAGTGGTATTGGCTCATGACTTTGGCGACTACATATCGGCCAATGTCACCCAGCTGTGCTCAAGCATCTCTCCTCATTGCACCCAGTTGAGAAACATCGTGCTTAACTGTAGCCCACGATCCGAAGCCGTAGAGCTAGTCTCTCAGGACTCTCAGGCAGATGCTTCTCCTAGTCTATCGTACTTGAGAGATGTTGGCATGTTGGAAATCCTAGAGCAACTTGTCCAGGCCCCACCCTCTGAGGATGCAATTGCCCACCTTACGCATGCCATTAACAAGAGCAATGCGAGCGATACAACGTACGGCAATGTCCCTCTCGATATTAACTGCAAAGTCATTGATGCTATTGTGAATTTCTTCGGCCACCACGCCACTATGTCGGCCCGTCAAGAGAGACCAGTCTATACTCCCAGCGCCCCGGATGCCGCGACGCTTTCGTTGTTGGTGCACGAGCTGCAGCCCCAGGCTCGATATTTCCTCATCAGCAGCATGGTCGATCGTCTGCGCCATTACAGCCCCGTCACCGAGTTCTTCAGCTATGTCATCTTTGACATTTTCGGCCAAGATCTCAATGACCCCGAGGAGGCTGATATCCGCCAGCAAATAGTTCGCGTGCTACTAGAAAGAATTGCCAGCTTCTGGCCCCAGCCATTCGGTCTTACAATGGTCATTATGGAGCTGGTAACGAAAGAAAAGTATCATTTCTTCGACCAGCCTTTTATCAAGGCAGATCGCGATGTGAGTATTCCCTTCTCGGTTCCCTTTGTCATGACGGGCTCGAAGCTAATTGTAAAATAAAAACAGATCGCGGACCAGTTTATGGCGTTTGCGAGACAGCATAATCAGTAAATATTAAACTAGCCACTCATTATAACGAGTAAAAGGCGTCAATCGGCGGCTTATCTCCCGATATGATACTAAATAGATGATAACTAATCACGACGGCTCTTGAGCAACCAAGACCTCACGTATAAGGACAGCATGAACCTTTGAGAGGCACATGAAGGTGGAAGGAGATTCTTGAGAAAGCGATACCATAGCGGCGCAAAACAAAAACGCGGTAGAGATGGATGTTTGATGAGTGGCATTTCATGGCGTCTGCGGTGAATTAATGAAACTTTGTATGATTCAGAACTAGGGTTGAGGAGGCACACATTACGGACCACAGCGCAATGGTTCTGTTTTCTTGGTGCGTGCTGGTGCGTGCTGGTGCGGCATGTGTATTAATATATAGAGGTAGGCATGGCAAATACGGGTCTATCCTAACGTGACGCTGTGCTATTACATACGATTCGCTTCATGATGAGTTGCAATTGTATTCGTATTTTGCTTATAAAAATGGAGATGATTACTTATCTACCTATTTATTCTCACTTCGTAATTATCTACTAAATATGAGCAAAAGGCATCTATGTTCATATATACAGTCAGACCTCGCCATAGCGAATTAAAAAAATTAAAAATTAAAAAAACACGGGTTTAAATTTGTTGTAGCAAAGTTTCGTTTTAGAGTAGGTAAGTGCACGGGTCACATTATTACCCAAAATGGTAAGGTATACCTTTAAAATCCCAAGCTTAAACCAATTCTAGCAAAACTTGACGAAATATTGCTAAAAATGGTGTCAGATTAGTCAGCCGTGTTAGGTGACTCTGAAAACTCCGATTTCCATGTAATTAATTACCCGCATTCCACGCATTCTCACGATCTCCTTTTTATAACGAATTAAGTGGTGACTTGGCCTCAAATTTTACGAATTTCGTTATATAAAATTATTCGTTATTTTTTTTTCAATTCGCAAAAGTTCGCAAAAAAAAACCTCGCTAAGGCGCTAAGGCGAGGATTTGCTATAGAATAAGTTCGCCATGGCCAAGTCTGACTATATAACATTTACTTCTTTCTTTTACGGACTAATATTATTCTATCTTGGCGGTTAGGCTTGGATGACGTCGGTGTTGTTTTCATTTTTTTTTTTATCATTTCCACTTCTTTTAAATGAGGCATTTAATATTAATAGTAAATTATCATCTACTTGTCACTTATCATTAGAGGTAGTTATAAACTTTCAGGGTGAAGATACCTTCACTTTTCTGTCTGGCAATATGCCATCCCTACCGTACCACGAGCCATCCATTATCCAGCTTCTCGTTCTATCCTCTTTCCTCCTCGCGCTCAACGCCATCGACGCCGTCCTCGACCGCGCGCTGTACTGCGGGCTCGTGGGCCAGGTCCTAATCGGCGTGGCGTGGGGCGCGCCAGGCGGTAACTGGTTGACGTCCGAGCTTCAAATTACCATCGTGCAGCTCGGGTATCTAGGCCTGGTGCTCCTCGTGTTCGAGGGCGGGGCGGCGACACGCGTCGACGCGGTACGGCGGAACTTCGTGCTGAGCGCGGGGATCGCGGTGACGGGGGTCGCGGGGCCGATGGCGCTTGGGTTTGCGGTGCTGGGGGAGCTGGGGGGCGCGGATGCGATGATGGGGTTTGCGGCGGGGGCGGCGCTGTGCTCGACTAGTCTTGGCACGACGTTTGCGGTCCTGGAGGCGAGTGGGTTGGCGAATACGAGGGTGGGCACGGTGTTGGGGACTGCAGCGATGATGGATGATGTGCTAGGGTTGGTCATGGTGCAGATTCTGTCGAAGTTGGGCGGGGAGGAGAGGTTTGATGTTGGGGATACGGTGCTTAGGCCGGTGTTGGTATCGCTTGCGTTTGCGGCGGCGGTTCCGGTTGTTTGTCGGTTTGTGGTGAGGCCTTTTGTTGTTCCGGTGGTGAGGAGGGGTAGAATTAGGGGTGGGAATGGGGATGGGAAGACGGATGGGAAGACGGATGGGACGGGGTGGTGTCGATGGGGTTTCTTGGATGAGAAGCAGACTGCTTTCGTGGCACAGACTGTGCTTCTAGTCGCTCTTGTCGTGGGTGCTAGTTATACGGGCGCGTCTGTGCTTCTTGCTGCGTATCTTGCTGGTATTGTTGTCAGTTGGTGGGATGATGCTCTGGGCAGTGATGACGGCTTAGCTGACGAGCAAAGACCAAGAAGTCATCATGCTGTATCTTCTCGAGAGCAGCAAAGAACCGAATCTCAAGGGGAGGGCTCGGAGCTTTCGCAGATGTCAGAAGAACCAACGGTGCGAGTAGTCGATAATAGCAGCGATGCTTCGATTACATCCCAACCATCAGCTTCCAGGGAACGCCAGCAGCAAAAGCCAGGGCACACTGCTCTTGGTGTCTACGAAACTTACTATTCGCAAGCAGTCACTCGAATCCTAAAGCCGTTCTTCTTCGCCTCCATCGGCTTTTCTATCCCTATCTCTGACATGTTCTCAGGAGAAGTAGTATGGCGCGGAATTATCTACGGCATACTCATGGCAATTGGCAAGATGATATGCGGCTTATGGCTGGTGCGATTTCCCTTCTCTGCTAGCCGACTCGTAAGAGCCTTCGTCTCATTCGCCTCGTCCCGATATCGAGCCCTTTTCTCGAGGTTTCGCCGGCCGCGAAAGGTGAATAGTTCGTCTCCAGCGAAAATTACAGTACCTACGGAAGGGGTCCAGCTTGAGCCAGTTGCTGTCACCACTCCTCAACCTGTCGAGGATGAACTTTCAGAAGGCATCGTGGATCCATCAGGAGAGACGCCACAGCAGCGAGCACCTCCATCCAGAAGGGATAGTAGATTACAAGGAACTGCCACGCCAGCAAAGCCACTCTCGCTCTATCCAGCTGCTATAGTATCATGTGCGATGGTAGCCAGGGGCGAGATCGGGTTCCTAATCTCGGCCGTGGCGGAGAGTAGAGGCATTTTCCGGAAGCCTTCAGACAGCGTCAATGAAGGCGCTTCAGAGGTGTTTCTCATTGTGACGTGGGCTATCGTCTTGTGCACTATTATCGGGCCGATATGCGTCGGGATGCTCGTCAGGAGAGTAAAAAAGCTTGAGGCGCTGGCTGCGAAGGGCGGAGACAGGGGCACGAAGAATGTCCTTGGTGTTTGGGGCGTTCAGTAGGTGTGTTGGTATTGGCTACATTTGAAAGGAAAATAGGTCGAGAGGGATTTTATCCCTACAAGTCAAGAATACCTAACTTCTTAAGTGTGTCGTATTATATAAGATTCAACACGACAATCTAATAGGACACGAATGCATACAGTAGTAACCTATAACATCTTCGAGCCCAGCTAAAGCCTCATCGATATTATCTCTAGGGTTATTGCAGATATTTCAACTATATACCAGTAGCCCATAGCTAGCATATAAAGAGACAACTACACGCATATACCCCCAATAGGTACAGCATCAACCCCCCTATAGATGACTATTTAGCAAGTAAAAACAGAGGGTCCTACACAACCGAGTTAGCCTCCCTGTACTACATCATCCCATTAAGATCTGTTATTACTTACCAGGGATCTTTTAAGGGCTGCTGGTTCCCGGGGGCTTGTTGTAGATGTCGATGAGTAGGCCGGGGTCGTTAGACTATGAACGTGTTAGCGGGATTATACATACGCCATCGTACGTGGGCGTTCGGATAGCATGTTACATGGCTAGAAGGCGTCAGAATCTTCAAAGATTAATTATCACTAAAAGAGCAAGACTCACGATACGTCTTTTCATTTGTCTTGAGTTGACAGAAGATAGTATGACCTGATGCCACTGATGCCAAAACGGTGGCGGCTCCAAGACTTGAAAGCTTCATGATGATTCGAGAATACGACCAAGTGACTATTAGCAATTTCAAATATGAGTTGGAACTACGATGCTACGGAAACCCCGAGGGAGACGGGTTATTTTGTATCTCTAGAGATATTTCTATGCCATATATATCATTGCAGTTGTCCTGGAGCCTCCTTTTCTCCAGATTATCCCCATCCCATCATATGCATACTCTATATAGTATCTACAGATGGTCTGCACCATTCACGTCACCGAGAAAGAAACAGTCCAGGAGCACAAGGCCAAATTCTACTGGCTGCAAGCACAGGTGCCGGCGAATGAGGCATCATATAGGGAAAAACGAACGCGGCGCGAAGGTCTCCGTGGTAAATTCGGCAATTCGTACATGGTATAACCGCTTGCTATTAATATAGTTTCCTGTAACATTGGCCAAACCTATCCCATTCCCCGGGTTTATATATCTTCGGTTCAGGGTGAGAAGCACTTCGCTATCCCCCGTTCCCCGCGTTAGATGCACCCCAGATGCCAAAAATTCTTCGTCTGGGGATTTGCTACGTATGAAGCTGAGTAAGGATCTTCACAAATACACACATGGGGAAGACTATGACGATAACCAAATTTAAATGGTTTACGTATTTTTTTATATTTTTTAAGTAAAAAACATACCTTGTTATATTTTATTATACGACTTTTATTAACTGAATAATTTTCAAAGACGCCGGCGCTGTCACGCAACTAAGACAGTGCTTTGAATCTAAAACTATATAAGATAATTAGCTTCAATATACCATCGCTACAGATCTCGTAACTTATTTCACTAGTATAACTATCATAAAATAAAATAGAACTTCCATACAAGACTTCGAGATGCCTAGGATGGGTTACAAGTTACAGAGTAGTTTTGAATGGCTTATGATATACGAAGATGAGGTAATACAACCTATACCACTGAATTATGTATTAAATGAAAGGCAAAAAAAAGATACAAGTGTTAAAATGGCTTAGGAAAGTACTACGTAGCTGATTTTCTATAGTTCTCTAAAAGATGAGCCTTTTCTGCCAGACATTTAAGTTAAGACGGCATAAAAGCTCTTTTATTTCTTGTCTTACGTTACCCACAACATAATAATTTCCAAATAAGAATATAGCTACTAGTTATCTCTTAATACAACTCCTACATTTAACAGGTTGAGACCCAGGTACTTATAGTAAGTCCCATTGTTGGCATCAACGAGTACATGTATGTTAGTTCCCAGTAGCAACCGAGCTAAGGCCCATGTCATCAATTGCGAACATGCTGCAGGTACATTTCCCATCTGAACCTGATTGGCTAAGTGATTTACGCCATTCCTAGAATAGTATGTTTTGAGGCTTTTTGAGGCCTTAGTTTGTTCATATAAGTGGGATGTGTAACTGTAGCACACTCGCAAACTCGGGACACAATCAAGTCTATTCTCCTTCTATAGTAACAACTAGTAAAAATTTCTCCACCTAAAATAGGTTAACAATATTCTTAGAAGCAGGCTTTAGGTTACGTCTTTAGTTGCATACGAGTTTGCTCTTAGTAATTAAATAATGCCTATAGGTTGGGTGCGTGTTTACAGTCTAGAAAAGTACTTCCATAGCCAAAGCCTGTGCTGTTTGTGAGAGCTAGAATGTTATAATCGCATGTTTAGAGTGTAATTTGAATGATTTTTAATGACAGTTATGGCATGTATCTCCTTTAACACTTTAGCAGACAATGATATTGCATAGTCTCAATTAGGTATGGTATAGACATAAGACAATTTTTGAACGGGATGATTTTATTATACACATACATGATCCTAGGTATCAAGACTAAATCCAGCTTAACAGAATAACCTGGATGTATAACTACCTTACCTTATGAGATCCTCCAGAAACACGGGTTCCGTTTCCGTAAGCGCGGCCCGACCCGTAGGAGTGTCAGACGGGTGAGACGCGTTGTTAATAAGGGTCGTGACCCAGGGGAATGAATATCAGTCTTCAGTGAAAACATGAAGATTCTAAGCATACTTTTTAAATATCATAGGCACGAAGCTCATATCCCCGAACTCGTGAGAGGACAGGGTGAAACATTACATGGACACTGGTGAAGGAAAGCGAACCGTCCGCGGCTCTCAGAGCAGGATCTGGCCTGGTGTCTAATTTGAATAGCATACCATAATCATATTTCGGCCTTTCTTCTTGAGCAGATTTTCCGCTCCAGTAAAGATGTCACGCCTCATTAGTAAAGTTGTCTTTGATATAAGCCCGGAATAGCCCCTTTCGCCAACTCCATAACCATGTGGACCTGACCCTTATTCATTTCTCGTTAGAGCTTATGGGGAGCCTTCTATCCGGTAGGTCTAGCATTGAGTAACGAAGAGATGGGTTATTCATACAGAACCTCGGTCTAGCATCTAACCGGCGCATAGGATTTATCGTAACTCCCTTTGTTCTTTCTTATTTTTCTGTTAATAAGAAGGTTAAGTTAGCCTTTATACTTTCTTGACGTCTCTCTTCAACGCTTCTCTATATGGCGTGGATAAGCTCACTAGTGCCTTGCAATTTTAAGATGGTGGACCATGTTTAGTGCTATAAGTTGCCTATGCGGAATAGAGTAAGCGGGTAACGCATTCGAAATTACCGCGTTCTCAAGGACGTAACAACAGTACTAAACGAGCGGTGGGCTGGACACGAGAAAAGAGAAAGAAATAATACAGCTCAGAGTCCGTGATGAAGTAGAAAAGCCGGCTCCGTCATAACATACTATGAATAACATTCGGAGAACCGGTCGCCACTCAGACTTGAAGGATTCGCCGTCTTATGCGAGAATTTTCTATTTCAACGTCGCCTCTGAAATACCTAAACTGGATCGGGTTCGGCGGACCATCGGTTGTAGTACTACGTCCGTGGTTGCTGGTAACATTACATTTGGCGTCCTGATGTGACAAGCTGTCGCACTCATAGTTAATTTGTCGACTGCCGGCAGATCAACGAACCATGGGCCATCCTGGACTGGACGAGTATGGAGGAGATCTAAGCCATATCCTTAGGTATGTATGACTTTTGAGCCTTGGAGGAATAAAATGTATTGTAGATGTAAAGTTTTCGGGGGCAAGATTCTGAAGGTTCTAGTGGTGAAGAAAATGAAGAAAAAAAAACCACTACTGTCCTGCTTAGGTCGGATTGTAGTGAGGCACGTATTATGTGATTAACGTACCGAGTGATTTTCAGGGACCAGGAGCTGAATCTTGAGACTTCTCTGACTTGATCGCAAGGCTTGAGCTGATAGGCTTGCTTGCATTTCGCCTCCCTTCTAGGCTTCCTGGCTTCTACGACGTGCATATGGCTGTGCTACGGAATATGTGTGTAGTGTACACTATATAAAAGCCGAGGCTGCATCGAGTACGAGGTCTAGTGTTAGGTAGTTTTGATAGTTAAGCTAGTACCTCCTGGGTCGGCGCCCCAGCAGACCGGCAGTCCCGGGTGAGTGGTTCGGTACTGTGCGATATTGCGCGGTGATCGGCACGTGGAATTAATCGTTTTGATCGTATTCAGGTATGTGCGTATTTCGTAAGCAGATTCGCAGATACAGTCTACCTGGATACAGTCCGAGCACTGTGATGGCCGATGGATTCGGTGGAGCTGATGATCTAGGACAGTTGTTAGGGGTCCATCGCACGGTCTGGCCTACCATGTACGTACTCGAGTACCTAGGTACACATCTCAGCTCAATCGCCCCACTTCCTAAAACAGCGTTACAGACATGAGATCCCGCTCGCTTGCAGTGAATTTCCGAATGAGGTAGGCCAACCTTTTTTTGGTTGGTTCACTGGTTGGCTGGTTGGCTGGCCGACTGTGGAATACTCGACGACGTGCATCAAATAAAATCATAGAAATTGGGTGGTCAGATATAGGAGGTAAGTGTTGGCATTACATATTATTGTGAGATGTATTATTATTATCGCTTAGCGACGAGTTACGATAACAGGTTACTTTGAGGGGTTAGGCAGAGTGCGAGTCAGGCTCTCGATAGACCTGGAGTAGGCAACGAGGGGGAGGGGCATTTGATGGTATGATTCGATGCGCGACCAAATAAATCGAAAGTTATCTTATCGGACTTATAAGAAAAAGGCCCGGCTTCCAAGATTGAAAAAAGAATTCCGAATTGCATATTAGTATTTATGAAATGAGGAGGTAGAAGTGACGAGGGCTAGGGGAGTTCATTAAAGGTTGTACATAGTTAACGGGAAAACGACAGTCATAACTCTCTGGTGAGCAATAGGACTGACAAGCGATGTGCAGGTTATGATCCAATGAGATGATGCATATTTGAGGAAGTTTCTCGCGTGCGTAGCGGAAAACGTACGACTCGGGACTCAACCTTTTTTTATTACTTAACGTCATGCAACTCCGCAAGTTTCAGATTGGTCCAGTCTTGTCCATAAAAAGAGGTTAGGCGCGGTACTTTTACGGTACATATGTCTATACCGGGTGCTAGGACCACGTTGGTGCGGTTTGCGGGAATCTTCCGGCCAGCAACCAATTCAGGAAGCTAGAGTGTATGTGATTGGTACGGCGTTAATATAGGCAGCGTCGACCTGGCTTAACTGGCTAACTGGCTACCTACATAACTTGGCTTACCTCGATACCTAAACAAGCCAATGCAAGTCAGCCAACCTGTCTTCTAGCTCATACATACCTAGGTAGGTAAGATTAAACGTGTAATTCCTGGCATTTGGATTCATCTTTTTGGGGAAGTAAGACTTCCGGTCACACATAAGTGAGAACCATAATTCCCCTTCGCAAATTAGAATAACGCGGAGAATCGATACACGGAACCTGGCATAAGCGTGTCTGTTGTTTTGAATACTGCTAACAATGGAATATCGGGTATCGATGAGGTATCAGTCAAGCTCAAAATCATGTATATCCACAGTATGCATGTACATACCCTTGCTAGACCGGGTTTTCGCCCGCTTTGCTCCGCACGTACCAGACCTAGACTCTTGCTCTTTTTTTTTCTTCTTGAATATTTTTCTTTTCCCGCTAGGCTTGTACGACAGTAGATATCTCCACTACTTACATTCAAATATTCAAATTAAACCTCTCGTTCATAAGAAGCGGGACACTGGGAAAGGTAGGTGTTTAGAACTATTGTTAAGTTATTAGGTACTGAATAGTGAAGCTACCTATAAATTACATACATAGCAGGCAACGACTGTTTAACGAGTCCACCACCCTCTTAGGTGTTTAATATATGTAAGTTACCTAATTTTGGTACTTTGGGGTCGTCAATCTGCACAATGCATTGCCTGCATGTCTACAAGTCTACATGCTTGCTTACCGCCTCTTTTTTCCTGGGTTGAACACCCCATGCTGCGATCTCAAAAGTAAACAGATCATGCGAATTTGATACCGACTATGTATTCCGCAAACTGAAGTCGTCACAATTACAACCTTGTCAAAAATATAATAACTGAACGCGTATATTAATATGTATATATACCTTACCTTATGTGGTAATCTTTTGCGTAATATGATGGGTATCGAATCGAGGGAGCTCGGAAGCACGGACAATGGACCCCTAAAATTGAAGAGAGGGAAAAAAAAAAGTTTCTGGTTGGCTTCTTTTAATGGTAACGGCCAGACAAATTTTGAACCAGCCGTTGGAGCTAAGCTTGAAGCTGATTGGTTTAGTATATATAAACGGGGCAATAGATGTACAAGGGATCATCCTTGAATACAACGCTAGGGCCAAGAAGTACATAGTGTACTTCTGCAGTAACAACCAGTCCCTCTCAATTCTTGTATGGGATTCGTAGCAGAATTCGAGTTCATCGTGCTACATATGTAGTTCAAGCATGTCACGACCAAGTTCACTCCATATTTTTTTTTCTCCTCGTCCACTGCCTTGCTTGAAGTGGATACCAAGATGCTTGTTCAGTACCGTTTGTACCTCTTTACCCCTGCACACAACCCCCCAGTGCCCGCCATCCCATCACCCCCCCCCCCCAAGTGAGGAACATTTCAGGTTTTTTTTTTTTTTTTTTTCCTCCCATCACGCATACACCCACTCAAAACATACAGTCTTAAGCCATCTCGCCGCCTTCCCTCCCCAGTCTAACCGAAGCCACTTCTTTGCTTCTCCTTGCCTTCTATTCGTCAGTTTAACATCGCCGTCGCGATATCGTCGTTGTTTTCCCACCGCCTTTCCTCGTTTACCCCCCTCGCCTACCTGGTACTCGTATTTCTCGACCCCTACTACGATATCTTTATCTTCCCTAATTTTCCCTAATCCTATACCTTAGGTAGTCCCTTGTTTCACTCACTTCTCAACTCTTATAGTTGGGGTACTGTTTACAAGTCAGCTACAAACACTACGTTCCCTCCATGCAGCAGCAATCGATATAGAAGTCAATAACATATCTGCGCCATTCTTGATCCCATCCTATCTGCCCACCATGCCGTACAATACTCGTCGCAAATCGCTATCTCTGCCGTCTCTCGGAATCCACATCCCAGTAAATCGATCTTCGTCTAATAACCACAGCATGGCATCCTCTAGATCATCTTCTGAGAGCTCGTCGCATCCGAATAAGAAGTTAAAACGATCTCACAACGATTCTGCACTCTCTTCAGCTGCACCTAGTTCAAAACGGATTGCTAGTCCTATCAAGTATGACCGCACCCCGCCACCCTCGCCTGGTCTCCAAGTCTCTATTGAGATGGACGAGTCTGAGCTATCCGAATCACTAGAGATCAAGAAAGTCGATTTAGAGGGTATAAATGATGAGATCGTTGAAGCTGTCATCGTACGATTAGAGGAGACTCGCAATCGACCTCACCTAGTCAAGGAGCTAGCTACCGCCCTCATGGATCAGGTCAAAATCGTTCAGCAGTAGGTTCAATCTACCTATTGAACTTATCGTTTCATAGCTAACTTGTTTTTTAGATCCGCGAACCCTTGCGCTATCATTTCTTCTCGACTATCTACATATTTAAAGCGATCGTGTTGGTCCGCTGTAGCTCCTTGTCCTTTAGCTAAGGAGCTTGAGACCGTCCACCCGAGGCGCACGTACTTTTATCTGACCACATGTCCCCATTTACCTCTTCCAGACCCCACAGCCCAACGTGCCATTATTACACCATCGCTATCAAGCTCGGCTTCCACATCCGAAGATGCCGATTGCGACCGAAGAAGAGAACTCAGCCTGTCACCTGAAGTTGATCTTTCGTCGCCCGAGTTCGATGATATGGATGAGGATATTCCCATGCCAGGTACCCCAATGGGTTCAGTGTCTGGGCGTCATCGGCCGCTCAATGTGCCGCGCAACCCCAGAGGGAATGAGCCACCTCTAGAAAAAGATGAAAAGGAATTCACACAGACAGCAGATGGATTACAAAAACGAAAAGCTAGTGGTCACTTGCTCCGGGTCGACCCCGTCGACCAAGCGCCGATAGATGATGGCATGCAAAACGAACAGCTCTTTGGCGAGCCACCTAGGACTCTTGCGCCGAGCTTGTTACCGCACATGGTGTTCATGACCAGCCCTGCAATGCGACCAAGCATGATGCTACCTGTGAAGAAAGATACAGAGGCGGAAAACTGGACTAAACTGGACGCCATTCTTGACTGGGATAGAAGTCCCGAGACAGTCGAGCTGGATGAGCTAGATGGTTTATTTGACAACTACTGAATACCCTCGGTTGGCCAATTTCTTGATCTTAATTCTTTCTTTTCTTACTATTAACGACACGCTATCCGTGTAGTTGGCACGTACTTAGCTATGTATGATGAGATGGGAGACGGCCGCGTAAATGATTCAAAAAGGAGTTTGGCTGGGACGACGTTGGCGCAGCTGGGTTTCTCGCATTCTGCATTTATTCCTCTCAGTTCATTTTGCCATTTATTCCCCTGTTAAATGGTTCAGCTTCTACTGCTCACATACTTGGTTACTGGCTGGAGGGGGGGAAATGTACGAATATTATTTGAAGAGAGCGCGCTTAGATGGCTGCTGGGTCGCATGATAGCGACCTAGAGTATCCAGCGGACTGAAACGGCTGTCGGCGGTTAACAAAAAGGCGTGCAGGGGGAGGGTAACATAGCGATGTCCTTTGCCACTCGATATCCTGAAAAAGGGTATCGATATGTACAATTAGAAGACCGGAAAAGAGCCGCGAAGATTAAAAGGCTGGCTGGTTAGATGCGCTTAGAAATCCCAGTTAGACGGATTAAAGTCAGGGCGCGTTGGAACAAAGGAAAAAGCCGCCCAAAATTTAAATGAAATCCCCGTTCAAAAGTTTACTTTTATCAATATTGATGCGACGTGTGATATTCGACAATATTTAAGTGCGGGATTTTCAAGTTGCGGTTTGTTGGAGGGGTATATCGCTTGCAGGTATCGTACAAATAATAGTGAGGCGATGACTCGATTAAAGATACAGAGTTTATACACATGAGCACTTGCAATGTTGCATTATAGGTGATGTAGTAGAGTATCCAAAGAGTTTTACGAAGTAGAAGCCTTCTGCTCTAGGATGACTTTATTCATCCTTCTTAGGCTTGCTATTGACAGATAGTAGCGACGACCACCAACTCGTGCCCGTCGTCGTCGAGTCCTGCGCCTCCTCGTCGCTGCTAAGGGTAGCAGCAGCAGTAGCGGGAGCCGGCGCAGGGGTCGCACGCACGCGCATCTCAACGAGGACGTGCGTGCCAAGTGTAGTCCAGCCGGGACGCTCGAACCGCACGACCTCGAGACCCGGCACGGCGCGCTCAGCGGCACGCACAACGAGCTCCACGTCCCGGTTCCACCAGCATCCGAACCGCTCGAAGTGCTTGCGCGCGCTACGGTCTAAAAGCCCGTTTACGAGCTCGTACCAGCTTCGTCCGTGCTCTAGGAGGATGATACGTCCGGTCTCGGGCTTGACGGCGGCGGCCATGTTGGAGAGGAGGAGCACGGGATCTCGCACGCTGCAGAGTCCGAAGGTCTGGATTATGGTGTCGTATTTTTCGGGAGAGGAAGATGATGATGATGATGATGATGATGATGATGGGGGAGGGGGGAGGGATGCCTGGGCGTCGGCTTTGAGGAGCCGGAGATGGTTGTTGGCTAGCGAGATGCCTTCTTCGCTATTATCTGCGGTTTTGGAGGCGAGTTTGGAGAATACCGGGTTCTTGGGGATTTGGTCCGCCATGAACGGTACGACTTGCCGGATCCGCGTCAGTGCGAGGTCTAGCATGGGCGGGGAGATATCTAGGCCGGTAAAGCTGAGTAGGGCATTTGTATTTTGGGGTCGAACTCCTTTCTGCTTTACAGCCTTAGGCTTCTCCTTCTCCTTCCCCTCCCCCTTTCCGGACCAGCCAAACCAGCTTGAATTTTCCTTCTCCTCGGCGGGTTCTAGACCGGCGGTTATTACGCTCCAATCATAGTAGTCGAAGTTGCGACCGGCACCAACGGCGACCTCGAGCACGTGTCCGTGGGCTAACTCGGAGCCGATCTGCCGCCGTAGCTTGGTGATACCGAAGCGCCACTCGGACTTGTCGAGATGCTGGTCGAACTCCCGAGGCGATTGGATGGTTGGCCGGCCTGTAGGGGTCTCGGGCTCTTGCCCGGGTGTCCAGTGTTCGGCCGGCTGTGTCCACCAGTAGTACACTAGCGACGACGCGAAGAAACTCACGCACACCACCCCGGCGCCGGCACCGAAGAGAGGGAACCAGTAGTCACGCAGTAGCTCTGAGACTGGCCTCTTCTTGTCTTGAGACCCCTTAGACGATGAAGATGATGAAGATGATGAAGAGGGGAAAGGCGTAGGTTGAGGTGTGGATTCTGGCGCTGGTTTTGGCTTCGGTTTGGTTGGTTGAAAGGGGAGCGGCTTTGGAGCTGCTCGTTGCTGTTTTGGCGGCGGCGGCGAGGGCGATGAAGACGGCAGCTTAGATGTAGTATATCGTCTACAGCCGCTATCAACCCATTTGAAGCTATTCCCCCTTATTTTCCAGTTACGCATTAGACTCCTCGTAGCGAGGTTATGCGTGTATATAGGCCGCATCATAATCTGCTTAACTACCCTTGCCGTTAGACGTATCTTAGTCCCGTCCCCGGCTTGGGGTATTGCCTTAACGAGGTATATCAAGAAGAGAGAACTAAAGCGGCAGATACGCGATAGGCTACCGATCCATCCTACGAAAGGCCGGTGACCGCAGAACTTGCTATCAAGTTACTTTCCCCCCTTAACCAAACTGTTGCTCCGGGCCAATGTTCCTGAATTCAGGAACGGGGCAGTTGTGATATCAAATGATATTCGGCCGATATGGAGCCGGTGACGCCAGTATCGGTGCAGATCTAATGAAAAGGGGGTCCAGTTGTGATCAAATGATCTCAACTCTCAAGACGGAATTTTTTGTGGTTTGATGATCTGATATTTTGGGGAAATAGATTTGGTACTTAGATACATGTACATATGTACGAAGGTTGGGGCCAAAAGTTTCGCACATCTAAGCTTGGCAAAGCCACGTGCGAATAAAAAAGAGGTTGTACGGTCTTATTTAAGCTATAGTGGCTAATATCGCTATAAATATAGTGGTAAGCCACCTAAACTTAGTGAACGAGCCACTATTCGACCTTCAGCTTAGCGTGCGGCTAATACAGTACCAATAAGTCGAAAAACGTATAAAATACGGTGCCAAGATTTAGACATGTGCGGAACTTTTGGCCCCAACCTTCGTATTTCGGCTCGTTCCTTTTTGTACACTGTGCCGGGTAGGTCACTTTTTTGCCACTGCAGGGGTTCTCCCATCTAAATTGCGGGGTGTGATGTACATGTAAGTTGTACAAGCTTTTGTGCTTACCTCATACCTAACATATGTTTGTATACCCTTGGAAGGAGCTTCAACAAAGCTTCGGCCATGGATGCTGACGCAATGCAGCTACGATCAGAGATTAGCCACAATCGGAGCTTGACGCGCTTTCTATCATCTATCAATCTTTGACGCGTTCATCCAAATTGAGTGTTATCCATTAACTTCACAAACTCAATGCTCATATCAATTCATAGTTTCTGATCGCGAGTATGGCGTCGCAACAAGACCTTCAGGAGCTCATTCGGCTTATGACTATCGGCATGAGAGTTCCTATGAAAGACGCTCTAGGTCGAATCAAAGAACTCCAAGCCAAAAACCTCCGTAGGTATGTACTAAATGAATACGAAGGTTGAAAGTATGACATTCGTTAGATAATATGTAAATAACTAGTGCAGTATCCAACAGATAGCTGAGTGCCCCCTTTCGGATGTCACCGCCGCTATAAAGGACACCAAAGCTGCTCGATCCCTCCATAGTGCTTGCAAAGCCCGACTGAAGAATCCAACCGCACCATCGACGGCCAAGCGGGCTGGGTCTACCCTTGAAAATGCATCCAAACGTGCCAGGCAGTCGAATGAAATAGGTTACATTGATGGACCAGAGCCTGTTGCGCCGCACGAGCTTGAAGCATCATTCACCTTACCTATAGAGACAGACGAGAATATAATTGCCGATACCGTACTCTTGACGAACCGAGCCCCGCTTGTCCTTGCTTTTGCCGTAGAACTATTGCGATGCACCATGCCGGAGCAACCTCCTTCGAGTCGATTAAGCTTAGCTCAAGCGGTAGTGAGCGCCAACTCGAGGAGTAAGGCAGTCTCGATCGGTATAGAAAAGGGACCCAGCGCCGATGATCAGGGTTGGGGACATGGTCAACCTAGGGTGAAAGTGATGGGTCGTGAAGTCGCAGTGTTGAAAAGAGGAGGTTATGAGTGGAAAGGGGATGAAAAGGTAGAAGACCACTCGAAGTCTGGAGATCCTATAGCTGGCAATGCGGGCACTCCACCACCAAGGGCTACGGAAACTAGTGTTAACCAAGATGTATCATCAGGATCCCCTGTTGGTCCCGTATTGAACGCTTGGTCAGTTAGTCAACCTATCACCTTGAAAGGATCAACTTTCATAGTTCGCGCCACGCAAATCACAGGGCCGTCCCAGCGCCAATCGAGTATGCAATCACTGTTTACGGCGGTACCATCTTTGCAGAATGCGACGCACAATGCCTGGGCGTATCGTGTTCAAGTACCGACGAATTTGTTCGGAGCAACTACAATTAGAGAAGATTCGTTTGATGACGGTGAAAGCGGATGCGGTGACTTCTTGCTAAAGAATTTACGAGAAGCAAACACTATTAATACGCTTGTGGTAATGACTCGCTGGTATGGGGGCATCATGCTTGGGCCTGATCGGTGGAGAATAATACGAAATTGCCTCAAGGACGCACTGGCAGAACGCCTCCGGGTTACGGGAGAGCAAGCTGCATTGGGTGGCGAGGCTGTGTGGGGGTTGGACCTTGAGGCTGCGAAAAATAAATCTGAAGCTGCTGGCTCGGCATCTAGTCGGTCTTATGAGGCAGGCGTAGTGGGAATGCCCATTCATAGACCAGAAGTCGCGAAGGCATATCTTTTCAAGAGCTTTGCCGCCAGAGTTGATAACCTTGACGATGGTGGCAAAGGTGCTGACCCAGATGTTTCTGCAGATCACGAAGCAGAGTTGTCCACTTCTCGAATGTCTACACGAACGGGCCAACCAGGAAAAAGTACGTCGAAGCGGAAGACAGCTAGAGCGTTAGAGCAAGAGAAAGAAGAGAACGTCGCGAGGCTACTCGGCGCCTTAAGGCTTCTATTTGACAGCTGGGCAGAGCACCTCGGTACTAGCGAGCTTGATAGACGCGCATGGGGTTGGTATATAGCGGTACGACCCGACGTTGAAAGTGGCCCTTCCGGCTGGGGGGCAAAGGGGCGTTTGAAGCTTGCTGACATTTTGGCTTTACGGCGAAAGAAAGTATAAAAATAAGGATACCGAATAAATGGAAATGATGGGTCTTCAGCATTAAGCGAAATTCTACGATTCTCGATCACGACGCATCCTCCAGTTAGAATGACGGTTCTATTTTTCTTAATCAGAATAAAATGTTAGGTAAGTATCATCTATCATCGAGGAGAATAGTTCGTATACATTCAGGTAGGGGTATCAAGTGACATTGTTTCTAACAATGTATCTGCGATCTAAATGACCTTGCGAGCCAGCATTGAGGTACCCATTATCATACATGAAATGCGGCATAAATCGTTAAGAGTAGAAACACGATGCGCCTGCTGCTCTATTTGGATTCAAAAAGAGAATAGGAGGGATATAAAAGGATATGGAATGAAGATGAAAATCAATACCCATAGTCTGGGTCGAGTCGAAACCGACTACAGATCGTTGCCAATCGGGCTCGGATTCATCGAGACAACGCTAACTCGGCTAAACTGTATATCCTGCTGCTATTCAAGCTCGTCTTCCTCCTGCTCGAGCCGGTTGCGGAGTTCATTGTGGCAGTACTCATTTATCTCGGTGGAACTGAACTCAACATGCGCTTGATCTCACTGGCAGCCAGCCCTGCGTTCTTCGTGGCTATGAAGGCGGTTCGACTATCCGCATCCGCTATGGTTGGGTCTGCACCGTGTTTCAGTAGTTGCTCTACGATGACTATCTTCTGCGATTGCTGAGCCGCCAAGTCGATGGCTACGATAAGTGGTGTGCGATTCCCAGGACCTTTGATATCTGGATTGGCTCGGCCTTTCGACAATAAGGATCTCACCATATCCTCGTTGCCTTTCTCACATGCCATGTAGAGAGCCGTCTTTCCCATCCCATCCTTGCGGTCGATGAGATCAGGACGCCATTGAAATAGCATCTCGGCTACTAGTACACCTCTCTTTCTCGTCTGACACTTATGAAGGGGCGTCATACCGCTATGATCCACAACGTCCGGATTTGCTTGTCGCTCTTCAAGAAGTATTGCGCATATATGACGATTGCGCTTTGCAGCTGCTGCGTGAAGTAACGTCGATCCCGTCGCGTCGCGTTGTTCTACGTGCGCTACGTTTGACACCATATGCTGTAGCACCTCGATGTTCTCCTCCTGGATCGCTTGATGCATTGGTGTCATTCCCGATGCCGGGTCGCAATAATCGAAGCTAAAAGTTTCGCTATCTACATTCACTACAAAACCGAAGGTCAGCAACTACTATTTCTGGAGCCATCATGGAAACGCATGATGTTATAAGATCCAGTGGCCAGGACTTCTACTTGGGAGTAAGAACAAAACGGATGGCAGATGATAAAATAAACTTACTGCCCTGATCTTTGCACCACTGATAGGCGCTGGTTAGGCCGTTCATGTTCAGATCACTAGGCGCTGTCTGCGGTGACAATGAGGAGAGGATGGTTTCCTGACGAAGTTCCTGCCGGATCCAATCACGGATACCACGCGCTTCGTCATGTACCTGTTCTTGTTGTAGTACTTGGACTAATAGTTCTGCCGTTTCCTCGACAAGTTCCAGGGGTCTGGGATGTATTTGATTTCGACCATTGAGGGCGCGGGTTAAAAATATTTTCGCTTGAACAACGTTGCCCTGTCCGAAGTGGATATCGCCTAGCTTATGGTATAGTCTTGCTCGACGATTGTTGTCGACTTGGCTCTCCTCTGGCTTGACTACTTCGGAGATCAACGGTTCTAGTACGGTCTTGGCTTCAAGGTGAAACTCGACGCTATCACATTGCAAGAATATATCCGCTAATTCTTCCTTCATGTCCATGAGCTTTTCGTCCGACGTGTCATCTGTCCCGTATAAGTCCTGGGTCTCTAAGAGTTGCTTCATGAGCTCGATGCCTCGCTGCTGATAGGTGGCTGCCTTCACGAAGATCCCACATTGCAGTAAGTTTCGCACAGCATCCCGGTTGGCCTTAAGCTGGTAATCGAGGATTTCGCTGCTTTGCACGTTTCTGTAATCTGGCTCTGGGTCGAATGCGTCTTCCTGATATAATGGTAATGTGTCGACACTCACGGACGAGTTCTGAATGGAGTGTGTGTCGACGGACCGCTTATCAATCCCATTGAGGGTCACTGCCGTCGCTACATCATCGGCCGTCCTGCGCCAATTTTTAATATCTTTTTCTAATGTGTTTTCGTCTGTGTCATCTTCCTCTAAACCGGAGCGAGGACTTAGGGTACGGACTGGCGGTACATCTCTTCTGTGGCTTGCGAATAAGTGAGGGGATAGTCGAATGGCATCGGTTAGTTTTCGAATCTCGACCTTGATTTGCTTTTGCGAGCTAGCCGTCTCCCACAATACGCCTAACGATAAAGTTGTGAGGCTCAATTGCAAGACAGTCTTATATGAGCAGATATGACGAACAACCTCTACTACCCTCTCTTCCTTCAACGACAACTCGAGACTCCGCCGTATACGTTCAAAAGGCCCTGCTTTTTCCTTAAGCTGAGGAAGCTCGCCACATAGGGTTCCTAGTGACTTCTGACACGACTGTATGATTTGGTGGATATTAGTATGATGGTCGCGTTCAAATGGTAACTGTCGTGGTCGGTTTTTGAGCGTCTTCTGTATTTCGCCCAAAGCCACTTGCAACGCGAGAATTTCGTCGTGTACCTCCTGAATGGTATCACGAATATTTATGGTTTTCACGACGAAGCGACTAAGGCCTTTGACCAGAGTGCCAGCGAGCGAGATGACCTGAGCTACCCCCGCAGAGATGGATAACGGATCCATGTTAGTATCTTGTCAAGAAACTGTCTAATTCGGCGGCGGATGACATTCTACCAGCCAGTGTGAATGGGCTTTCCTAAACCGTCAGATCTAATTCTACAACCTAGCAATGACCTATCGCCATGCTAAGCTAATATTCAGTACGCTGGGGGTATCTACAAGATATTGAAAAGCTTGTCAAGTATTACCGGGCAAACCGCATGAGTATGAGTTCAAGGGGAAATATAGGGTGATAGTAATATGTAATCCTGGGGTATTACATACTTATCAATCTATGCTTAGACCGCTACCTTTTTACCGATATACTTCGTACAGAACTAAGCCCAACTTCACTCGTAGGAAGTATGTCATCTGCCACATTACCTCTTTGGTCGATCTGGAATAGATCGGGGTTGTCCTGATGGCTTATCGCTTATTCCCCATGGGACGAGTTCACCTATGAGGGAAAGCTAACCCCAGCCAAGAGAAGAACGATTATTCTTCGCCCCCCTTCCTCCTAAGGCTCAGTTACGCCACCGCAAGTTATACTATGCCAACCGGATTTCTAGGCCGGCTATGGGATGGGTAAAGCCGTAATACGAGGGTAGTACGATGTATCTATAAACCTGCTTTCCGTGGCCCTGGTTGGCTGACGTTACCTAGATCTGTTAGATCAACATAAAAAAGTACTAGTTTGGGGCCTTACGCAGAATTGGGGCTGTCGTTAGCCGGCCAAGTTTCCTCCGCTAGTTACCTATGGTAGACCTTGGAAACTAAAGACTATGCATGGCCTAGTACTTGGTAGACCTACATATACATTAGTGCTCTCACGGCACAGATCAGATCCTTCGAGGGCTAAGCAATAAAAGCCGCGTAGGACGAACAGCCACTTTCAACTGGTGCAACAAATGGCGGATAGCTCCCCAATCAACCTGTGCCGACATACGCATGTGTTATGTCATTTTCTATACCGAAGTGTAAAATGACTATGTTCACCGACGAATGTCACGCATACACACGAGGCTCCAGGTATTCTCTGACCGAGGATACTTTGTTAAAGAAATGCTTGTCTCGGAATATTCTCAGGCTTGCCTGTTTCACCCCCGTTCCACTCGAGAGCTTTCGGTCCCTCATGGAATCTGTTGCTTGATTGGTACTATAATATAGTACTTTGATAGACTACCGCGTCTCTTTTAGATACTGACTCCCCGTCTCAGTCTCCATGGCGCCTCCACCAAGGCCCAATAATAGCATGGAGCTGGCTGAGACGACTACTCAGTCAGGGAAAGACCAAACGCGATATCACGCGCAGGTAGATAGAAGACGGAAAAATAGGCAGGGTATCATCGAAAACCCCTTAGGTACGGTGATCATGTATTGGGGTGCGTATTACATACATTATTAACATAGCCTAGCCTACTTGACCGACGAGGAACTTCAGCACGACGTTAATATATTCTGGAATAATTGTTTATCGGCAGTCAACTGGGACGACCTGCTTCGAGCGGCTCGCGTGGCTCAGAATGCCCGCTCGTATGACGAGGTCGCTCGGTCTGAGGATCCTAGAGCCGGCTACCATCTTCCCGTCCAGCTTAGCGACGAAGAGAAGGTGGCGCTGAAGGCAGAGAAGGACGTTCTATTCTCGCAACGGGGGATGTTCACCGTAATCCTCACTGTATCGCTAGCTGCCTTCCTCCAGGGATTCGTACAGTCGTCAATCAACGGAGCTTCGCTCTACGCGACTGAGTTTGGACTTCCTAACGTGACTTCAACGAGGGTGAACTTTACTACTATTGCTGACGAAAATAGTCGTCCTCAGTTGGACGACTGGAAACTCGGGGCAACCAACGCCTCGCCGTTCTTCTTTGCTGCTTTTGTAGGCTGCTGGCTGTCTCTACCTCTCAATGATCGAATTGGTCGACGAGGTGCTATGGCTGTAGCTGCTTGCCTCATATTCGCTAGCTCGTTAGGTTCGGCGTGGTGTTCAAGCTGGCGGGAATTGTTGCTGGTGCGTATAGTAAATGGGATTGGTAAGTGAATTGTTATATGTGATACAGGGTGTCTACGCATATTTAAGACACATTTGATAATGCTAGGCTAACATCCTCTTTGGATAGGTATGGGAGTCAAAGCCTGTAGCACACCTATCCTTGCGGCGGAGACTGCAGTTGGGTTCTGGCGAGGGAGTTTTATTCTTGCTTGGCAATTATGGTAAGATGAGGGTCGATTTAACGCCATATGATCATATAAACTTATCCCGATTTAGGGTTGCCTTCGGAATAATGGTCGGCTTCGCGTTCAACCTAATCTTCTACACCGCACATAACGACAGGCTATCACTCCAGCTGATTTTGGGAGCACCATTCGTTCCAAGTATCTTCCTCATGATAGGGCTTTGGTTCTGTCCTGAAAGCCCTCGATATTATATGCGGCAGAGGACTTCTAGTTATAACCCACAAAAGGCATACGATGTCTTGCTAAAACTCCGGAAAACGAAGGTGAGCAACGCTGGTGTTCATATATACGGAATATATGACTAAATACTGCTATAAATTAATAGTTACAAGCCCTCCGGGACACTTACTTGGTCTACAAATCTGTCCAACTCGAAGAATATTCGGATGATTCTAATGTAGGAAGCCCAGGCGACGACGTTCCTCGGGGGTTCGTCGCTCACGTCAAGAATTATGCGTCCCAATATAAAGAACTATTCGCTCAAAGACGACTGAGAAATGCCCTAATAAGTAGTTCTATAGTCGCTTTAGCTCAACAATTATGTGGGAGTAAGTATATTTATCTAGTATACACGGCCCTTATTCAAGATTGTTGGGTAGTGTTCGGTATCTATTAAGTCTTATATCGCTAACAATACCAAAACAGTTAATATGTTAGCGTTCTACTCAGGTAACCAACATGTATATATATACTATGAGATAGTTCCTAAATAATCGATCATACTAGGCACTTTGTTTAGCGGGGTATTGGGGGGTGGTAATGGCCCTCTCATGCCCATGGTCTACAGTCTAGGAATTGGTACGCTTCATATCATCCCGTCATCGTGACTATCAATCTATAACCTAACCTATCTCGCAGGGGCAGTAAACTTCGTTTTCGGTCTCCCGGCAATTAGGACTATAGACACGCTCGGCCGCCGCAAGTGGCTTGTACTAACATTGCCCGTTATGTGCTTGCTTATGATGGCTGCTGCTCTGTCCTCCCTCATCACCAACCAGACTACCCGGGCCGGAATAATTGCCCTCTTCGTGTTCCGTAAGGAAAAGTCGCCCCAAAGAAACTGGACAAGTACCTAGGTACCTATAAGTTAACCAAGTTCGATAGTATTTGCGGCGGCGTACTCGCCTGGGATGGGTCAGTTATGTATTATCATACCCAAATACCCCTATTAAACGCTAAGATTTGCCCAGGTCCGATTCCATTCACACTTGCTTCCGAAAGGTTAGTTTACTATATCTATAGACGAGTAGATACGTACTAATTAGATGATAGCTTCCCACTGTCCCATCGTGAGGCCGTATGTAGTACGATTGCACGATTATTAGCTTTGATAACCCCTAACCCTTGTCTCAGGGATGCGCATTCGCAATTATGATCAACCTCCTTTTTGCCGGACTTATCCAGATGTTCTTCCCCAGGTGCGCTTCATCCAAGTTCATAAACATTTCAAGACCACGCAGCTAGCAATCCCGCTCATGCCTAAAGACAGCATCTACGCCAGCCTCCACGACGGCGGCTCGCTCGCCCTCTTCGCGGGACTTAACCTGCTCGCCTTCGTGCTCGTCTTCCTGTTCGTCGAGGAGACGAAGCGGCGCTCGTTAGAAGACCTAGACCTCGTGTTTGCGGTCCGCAAGCGCGACTTCGTTCGCCATCAGGTCTCTAGGTATCTGCCGTGGTTCTTCCGTCGCTATGCGCTGGGTCGCGCCGAGGATAAACCCTCGCTTTACGTGGATTTGATTTGGAACGGGCCGCGGACACAGTCGCATTTCATTTGGGGCGACGAGGAAGTGACGGAAGAACGGAGAGGTGGAGGTGAAGGTGGAGGTGGAGGTGGAGGTGTATCTATGGGTGATGACTGGAACGGATTCGCGTCGAATTCTGGCCAGGCTTATGGTGGCGAGGAGAATGTCTCGCCGTCTTCCCTTCGGCGACCGTCGGGGCTCGTGATTCCGGATTATACGGCTAGGATTTCGGAGGACTCGGATGATTCGGCACATAGGTGAAGCGAGGTAACCGAGCAATAATTTCTTGGGGAGAGGATATTGATAGGGCGATTGTTATGAGAGTGCGTTAGCTTTGGAATCTAACGAAGTTTATGAAATAAACTCAATCATTAGGAAATGTCTATAGGAAATCCTATCAACCGTGATATCAATTTCTGAACAGAATCCCTCCAATGACCACTATAGCTTCGCCTCTTATCCGGTATAGCATAGACGTTTACCTCTATACTTTCTCTACCTATGCAGTCACTCGAATAAAAGAGTAAATTAAGCACCCAAAATACAGACCAGATTTCATGTTAAACATAATGCAACATGTGATATAGTATTGTGTCTTATGCTTCATTGTCCCGACGTAATCCTACTGCTGAGACTACCTAGGTATCTTACTATACCAACTAAAATACTCATAAAATCCGTCTACTCGTCCAAGCGCCCACCCCAATTCCCATACGCCAAACGTCCCAACGCTTAAAGCATGATATTCGTTACCGATACTCCTGACGCGTGATATGCGAAATCCTGTATATGCATTCAAGTAACACGCTTGCTTGGCCTCTTCCCAGGAAAAAGTAGTGACAAGGACAAAAAATATCAAAACCGCCCGTCTGTAATGTCGTTGAAAATATCCCTCGTGATAAGGTTTCCTCGCAGGAGCGCCCTCTCCGTGATCTTGCCTCTCTTGGCTCCGCTCTCTGGGTGCTGAAATTGGTTCTCTTTCCCGTCAGGAGCATGAGAGGCACGACCCCCGATGAAGCCCTTCTTCGGTACTTTCTTTCCCGGGGAAGACCGTTGTTTCTGCGGACTCGTAAGATCCACGATGCCGCCTCCAGTCGCTGTAATCTGTGTGCCTGTGCCCGACTCGTCAAAGAAGTGGCTCTCGAGCGCGTCGGCAGGCAAGTCGTACACCCAGTCGCGACTTTCCATAAGCTTAATAAACCGGCTCAACATCTCTTGGTCTCCTGCGCCCTTGAGCGTGCCACGACTGCCTACGACGAGTAATTTAGTCTTTGCGCGCGTGAATGCGACGTTGATGCGCCGCCAATCCTTTAGTAGGTCACCGATGTTGGAGCTCTCGTTGCTGCGCACCAGGCTTAAAATCACCACCTCTTTGTCACGCCCTTGAAACCGATCCGCTGTATGTAATTCGATGCTGCTACCGTGCGCCCGTAGCCCGTGCTTTAGTAGCGAGAGCTGCGACCGGTAGTGCGTCATGACACCGATCTCGGTTGCCGGTACACCAGTTGCTAGCAGGGCGTCGACTAGCTGCACCACAACACGCGCTTCTGTGGGATTAACGATGCGATTTCCTTTAGCTTCCTCGCGCGACGAGGGTAGGAAGTCTGTGTTAATGAAACGGACCCTGGCCTCAGGATCCAGAAGGTTGCGCAGCCAGCAACTGTCATTAGTCCATGCGGTACAGAAGGACCGCGGTGTACCGGGACGCATTATGGTATCTGCATTATGGTGTTTCTGCCGTAAGTTTTCTATGTGAGGCATGTCGAGTTTCTGATGGCGGAGGTCTTCCGTGCCACACTTGAGCCGACCTTCGTAGATGAGGGTGTTGCTGAGTGTCATAATATCCTCACACATGCGATATTGGTGTTCGAGATTCACCACCGAGTCTGGATGTGTGTCCGAAAGCAGTTTAAAGAGACTAACATCCAAGCCGCCGACACGAGCCTCCTCATTCTGTACTAGAGGAGGTAACTGATTATGGTCTCCAACCAGAACGAATGTACGTGCCATGCGGATTGGTCCCAGGCATATAGGTAATGTAATCTGGGATGCTTCGTCGACAATACAGTAGTCGAATGTTCGCTCATTGAATACCGGGTGATTGACCCCCAAACAGGTTGTCGCTACGATTGGTGTTTCGTGCCAAGCGCTTCGGATCTCCTCGAAGCTAGTCATTGGCCGTCCGGCGAGGATGGCGAAGTCCTGCACGTCAGGATGAACTTTGGCTGGTGCGCCGAGTCGTAGAACAGGCATCTTGTCATCCTTCAACTTGAGCAAGATATTGTCTACGGCGGAGTGCGTGTACGAGGTTAGGAGGACGCTTTTCCCTTGGCCAACTAATGCGCGGATGATATGAGCAATCGTAGTAGTCTTGCCGGTACCGGGCATACCCAAGACGAGCGCGTAGTCATTGGCGCCCATAACCTTCTCAATAGCCTTCTTTTGGTCAATATTCAAGCTCGCTTGGTCGGCAACTGTGTATTGTGTCGTTGATGCCTTGAACGTCGGTGGGGCGAGGTCAACTACGAGACGTCGAATTTCTCTTGATCCAAATACCCCATCCGCCATTATCTGAACTAGGTTGTTCCGGACGGTCGCCATGCCGCTGCTGAACTCATCTTTATCAAGCCGGTATTTAAGAGGTGCTTCTTTCACCTTACCCTGAGATTGAGCAGGCGTTGCTCCTTCAGGTGCCACCTCCATAATACTGGCGAAAACTTGGTTATTTGATTCATCGAACCCTGGCCGACGTACACGAGCATTGTGAAGTCGACGGTCCACTGCGACACATATCTTCTGCTTCCGCACCGACGTAACGTATCCAATTGCCAAAGCAAAGTGGCCCTGCTCGTCAGACACGACGATCGGTTCTCCTACCGCGAGCTGAGAGTCTATAAAAGAGAACCCGGAAGTGGGACTCTCTTTTATAAACGTATACCGAAATCGGTTGATTCTTGGGTTGTTGGTATCTTCCAGAGCGGAACCCTCCTCGATGATAACGTTGGCAAAGCACCGTCCGAGCTTCTCCCTCTCCGTGCTTACCATGGTCCACAGCTCCCGGCGTAATTTCTGGCTCTCCTTTTCTTCTTTTGTCAATAAATCTTCCCATTTTAAGAAGAATTCTTGGTGTGTCGGAGTTAGATGTCGAACAACTTCATCAAACTTGGACTTCATCCCACTCGTCTCGTGATCGCCACTGTCTGCAAGTTTGTGGTATATAAAACAAGATACCTTTGCGTAGCATTTGTCGCACGTGTTAGTACTTCGCTTCATGGGTGGAAGCTGGACGCTGCGCTCTCGAATATAGCACGCGAGCTGATTTCGTTGCATAATCATATGGCGAAGCTCGTTACGGATTGTCGGGATTCGAATCGTCTGAGATGTTTCCATATAGTACAAAATACCATAAGCGATCTCAACATCGTAACGATCTGATAACAGAAGATTGTATAGAGATGTTTGCGCTTGGTGGTTACTTGTAGCATTATGGCCCGTCTTCACTTCAAAGGGTACCGTTAAGGTCCGCCGTTGAAAGCCATCTTTCATAGTTATCTGGACCGTGGCATCAATGTTACCCTTCAGCCCGTACATTGGAGACCAAACGTGCTCTTCAACGTCGAGGAGCTTCGTAACGCACATATTTGCCTTCTCGCCGTTTCGACCTTGTACAACAGCATCGGGCTAGTAGATCAGCAAAAATTACCCTTAACATTGGATAATTGGAAAGCATACCTTTGGGAAACGAGTTACGAACGCCGATGCCCAACTCCTCAACTCCGGCATTTTTGACCTAAGATGTTCGCGGGCGTCGCTAAGAGAAACCTTAATCGTATATAAGTCTTCCACGTGCTTTTCTGTAATATCACAAATAACACTATCTAGGAACTGCGGGGTCCATTTGTTGGACATCAGTGCCTCCTGGAAGATCTCATGTAGTAAAGTTCCGTATACTAGAGGCGGAGTTTTGTCACTAGTGGCCTTGACACGATCTTGGAGGACAGCTCGGCGCATGCAGGTAAAGCTGTCTGCTACAACCGTGGCTGATATTAGTTGATCTGGGTGGAGAATAAGGATGTTCTGGGAGTTATCTATAATGCATTGCCCAGTAGGTTCAAACTGGCCGATTATGTGGACGTAGGACTTCGGGCTCGCAGGAGTATCAATCCAATCACCTCGAAGATGAACAGTTTTCATAATATTACTTCGATCGACTTGGACAAATAGAATCTGAAAGTGTTAGTTATATTACCAGAGCGCAACTTGCATGGATACTTACCTTTTCTATTGACTCACGTCCGTAGTCATCGACATACTGGCTTTCAAGAACCTTTGTTACCAGGTATCTCTGAATTGTCTTGGGCTTATTGGCTACCTACAGATATTCTTAGCAACCAAATTCAATTCACCCCTATTATCGCCCACGTACAGGTAACGATCCATCCATCTGCTTAGAGGAGGCGGATTGTGTAGCAGCCATTTCAGCAGCGTCGAAATCAAAATCGCCCCCAAAATCATCGCCGTAAATGTCCTCAGCAAGGTCATCAGATGTAGGGGTTGAGTTTTTCTGCGCAGTAATACCAGGTTGAACTAGCGTGTGGGTTTCGTCAATTTGTGTTATCAAGTCTTCAGCGGCAGCAATTATGTCGTCGTCCATATCATTGAACTCATCGTCGAATGACTCGGACTCTCGGCTAGGCTGCTGATCTTGAGCTTGTCCGGTATCTGCTAGTGGTGCCACTGATTCTTTTACGGGCTCCCCGCACGACTGTCCTATACTGGCACCGAGTTCCATAAGTGTATCATCATCAAAATCGTCGTCTCCGTAATCCGATGAATTGCCCACCAACGTTTCTTCTGGCTCCAAAACTTCCGCTATTGGCATACTTTTTGCAGCGAATATCGGAGGGGAAGGCCTCGAAGAGGTCTTTCGTCTGGTAGGCGAACTGGGAATCTGTGCTACCGGCTGAGAAGACTTTTTCTTGCGCGAAGGGGACTCTAGCGCGTCTTGACGAGCCTGAATCGCCTTTGATCTGTTGAGTTCCCCCGTCACACTTTGCAGCAAGGCGTTAACCATGGATGATTTCGAGCTACGACTCGGACTCTCTTCGACAGTGATTTCCACTGGCTTTGCGGCTTCTGCCCGTTCAACCCTTCGACGTTTGGGCCAGTTCTCCCCGCAGCTGATGGCTCTTCGTAGTCCACCCTCGCCTGCTATCCTCGATGGTCGAGGTGACGATGAGACCATGATTTGGGCCAAGGTGGAATTCATAGCCCCAAGCGGTGCGACAGTCGTGGATCCATTAAGAGAGAATCGATCCCACAGTTCCAGTGCAGGGTCGGCGTGAGGGGACTTAAGCGCTCGCGACAATTTTTCGACGTTTACAGCTGGGACACGAGGTTTCGAGTGGGACGCGGGTGACGATACGGGCGACGAACTCCGTGCTCGCTTCTTCCCTCTCTTGCCTGGCATTACTGGAGACAGCTTTAGCCGGTGCTGTATATCTTCTTTTGTATCCCAGCCAATCCTCTCATTAGGAGAACCCTCCTCTTCCTCCTCGGCTTCGACCGTTCCAACAAGATCCTGCCATACTAACCGATTCACGGGTGTAGTCGCACCTTTTTTAGGTGCGGGAAGGCTGGCTGTCTCCTCAACGTGAATTGTTGAGCCAGTGCCAGCGTTCGGAGCTGTTTCGACGCAAACAGTAGATACGTCGGCCTCCTGACCATCGGTTTTGGTTAGATTTGAACGCTTGAAGGCATTGAGTTTATTCTTGGTGACTTCGGAAATGGGCTGAAGTGGTTCAGAGACCGGATTTCGCGTGGCTCGAGTAGCGGTTGAATGGCTTACGGTTGAATGGCTTCTGGCTTTGCTCCATTGCTGGCGGGTCTATAACATCCAGTCAGGCTTCTATTAAATGGATTATATTGACAATTCAATGCTATAGCTATTATAAAAATGTCGACATACTTTAGAAGAGCCATTCTGTTCCGAGAAGGATTTCTGGAGGGGCATGGTGGTAATATTTTGGTGGATTTTATTTGATCATAATTCGTCTTTAACAGATCTTAATCCAATGGTCAATGGTGGTAATAAATAGGGAGGGAGTGGGCGAATGACAAAAAAATGGAGGTTGGCAGTAGAAAATAAGGTCCTAGCTTCGAGGGTTAAAGTCCTTTGTATAGCGAATTGGAGGGGTGCGAGAAGTTGAATAGCAAAGCAATGAATTGAATTGAGTTGAATTGGATGGATAAGACGCGTCGCCAAAGCGCGTCGCGATGGAAATTGGAACTTTGAAACCCTGCACATAATAATGGAACAGCCACGGACCTCACTGCCCCACAGGTAGGTACCTTAATATTTGTGGCTAAGGTAGGCTAGTGCTCAGGTGGGGCCAATGACGTTGATTTCATACATACCCGTAGGCGAGTAATATGTGGCCCAAGCTCCTAAGCTAACATTGCTTTCCCCACCAAATACAGTTTGCCTTTACTTTCAGTCTCATGATTCTCAATTCTCAATTCTCAATTCTCAATTCTCAATTCTCAACTCAATTTCAATAACTCAAGACACTGAGGTCAGATGACAGACTCACTCGGGTAGACCGACAACCAACGGATAGTCTGAAAGACTTAAATACGACGGCAAAATGCCGTCTGATAATGACATCAATCCTCCTTTCGATGATAGCTCACCGTCGGACCTTACTACCAACCCTCCTTGGCCACTCGTAAGTCGGAATCAACAGACGCAAATCGAAAGGACATACTTTGAGGATGGCGCAACTATACATTTCGAAAGATTGCCCCGATTACAGTTTTGGGCGCCCCTTTTTTTCATGAAGGAATCTTTTCGTGTCGTCTACGTTACCGGCAAGGCTGTCCAAGCGTCTAAGCTTTCCCAGCGCCGCTTGACTGCTGACGAAGTTAACGCTACCAGTGAGGCTGCCGCCAATTCAGCCCGGTTCCTTACTTGGATCCATCCTGTTTCCTTGATAACTACTTCTATAATATGCTGGAGGACGAGAAAAACCTTTAAGTTTCCTCTCTACCAGCCAAAAAAAAGGAAATTTAATCCTTTTACCTTTCCCTCTAAACGTCTTCCCATTTTTACCGGCGCTAGTGCCGTCTTCGCCTGGCATGTTTCTCGGTTCTTTTGCTATCTCCCTTTTACCCTAGTCGGATCCCTTATTTTCTTTACCTCTGTAGCAGAATCATCATATGACGCGCACTTATCCAGAGACCCGCGCCTAAAGAACTGGCTCGCAGATGTTAGAAGAATTCATCTTAACAGGCTTGCTCGTATGCAGCGCGAGAATCAGGGACCACAGCGAAGCTTTCCGGGACTTCCGGATCCCGATTCTCAGTCTTCCCAGAGGACTCCCGTTCCCCAATCTCCGCGTGATAAATATTCTTCCGAGTCGGAAAATGAAGCACCCCGAGAATATGGACATGATACCTTTACTGGTCAGTCAGAAAGTAGCCCCAACGGATTAGCCTCGGAAGCCAGCAGGAGTCCATCAACGTCCTCCTCTCAATCATATTGGGGCAAAGAAATCCAGTCCCAAGCGCCACCGAGTAAATCTCAGGACACGGTATACTCGGATTCAGGTTCGCAACATTCAGAAGATGACTTGGATCTGTTCGATGACGACGATGCTTCGCCAGTCCCAGCCGCGTTAAGGAAGGCAGAGGCGCAGCAAACTCGTGACGGCCAGGGTGGCTCTGCTTGGGATCGTATTAGACAGCAGCAGTCACAATCCAGAAGTGCTCAATGGGCTCGGGGAGATTCATCCGGCCAGGAAAGAGGCTGGGGCCGACTGCGGCAGGATAGGACACAAAATCCCCGAGATAGTCAGCCAAAGACAGAGGGCTTCGCATACACAAAGCAAGACGAGGACAAAGAAAACAAGACCTATGAGAAAGAGCAAGCTCAGAAAGAATTCGATGCATTACTAGAAGCCGAGAGACGTGGTGGGTCGAACGGAGGATAGGACGGGGAACATGGGTCAACGGCAGATTTGACCTTGGTAAACAACTACGGACAGAGTTGGGATAGCTTGGGAAATAAGGCAGGAACGAATGGCCTATGTAATAGTAGGCACACAGGTATGTCGGAAAATAAGTGAGCAATTCCGCTATGTTATGGATATTATGGTCTTTGACGATACATGCCTATCTTAAGCTATTAATTTCATATTGGGAAATTCCGCAACGACCTATATAATGTCAATCAAATATATTTCTTGTGCCCCCGAGTACATCATTAGAGGGAACAAAGGCTACTTGAGAATTTAGCGTATTAAATATTAAATACCTTAGGTACCTCTTATTACATATCCGTATCTTCGCTCCCCCTTTTTTCCTTTCTCCACTTTTATTCGTCCTGAGTTATTTCTATATCCATTCCCCCAGAGAATAACAGAGATAAATAAATCGCAGCCACAATGATCATACCGTTTCGATATGTACTGCTTATAGTTTTAAGAATTTGTCGATGTATTCCAATCTATTTACGAAGAATGAATGTATAAGTTGTAGTTTCGAGTGATTAGGTATCTACCTACCTGATAATTCATAGCTCTATGCTAAACTGCATTGTTTTCCCTATTGTTAGGCCACCCCATCAGCTCCTTAATGTTGAATAGGTACCTAACGTTACACTTTTGTAATCCTCATACCTGCTTTTATTGTTCTCAAATAAATTCTTTCGGCTGGCGTTTACCTAGTCAAAGAAATGACTATGCCATTGAATTAAAGACATAGCACCATTTCTTTGCACTCTTCATATAAGAACAATACCAGATCATTAATATGAACTTCTATAAGTAATCCTATCCCCTAGACATAAATAGTCTAAAGAGTATCCGATAGTAACAGCGCAACAAGCAAACTGACTGCAAATCGCCTGCTGATTCGGGTGAATCCCGCAAGTAATCCTAAGATTAATTCTGCAAGTTAATTCAAATATTTAGGTACACACCGAAGCAGCTTTGCATTCAAGTTTGATCCGCGAACTCCTTACGCCAATATATTTGCGGCACTAGGCAATACATATTAAATCGATCAAAATCGCCAGTACTTCCCTGATTCTTCATAGAATCCGATCAACGGAAAAACAAAAAAGTTTTGGACACCAGTCAAGCTTCTAATTAATCCTACTATATTGTTCCTAATAACATTCACCTTAGGTACCTATCTTTAAGATGTGTCAGCAGTGGTTACTGAAGTACAAGGCTTGTGGACATTTCGAGAGAGACGAAGAACGCGTCTATTGCGAACTATACGACTCTTCCTATCCCGACTTTTGTCTACAATGTTTCGAGGCCGATATCATCCGAGAATATACCCCTGGGGACGGTAAGTGTTGTAGGTGCCTCTGTCGTGATTTCTTGGATGCGCAATGGGATCGTACCATAAGCACCAAGATGGACGACGCACGACTCGCTTTCAGTATAGCGAGAGAAGTTCTTTTCTCGTTCAACTTCGTCACAATGGTGGATCTAGAAAAGGTCCAGAACCTATTGACTTATACATACCTTTCCCAAGGTATCGTATTGGATGTACGACTAATACTGAAGATATTCGGCTACCAAAATCCGGAGCTTGAGACCGAGGTTAAGGTTGATAGCCAAAATAGGTGGAATAGAGAACCTTCGCCTATTCCAACACTAGAAGAATACATGCTCCAATTCGCACCTACTCCAACACCGGACCCTGCGCTCCTATCCACACCTATGCCTACCCAGGACCTGGAGGCAAATCAGTATAGTTATGACACGCCTTTGAGTTATATTCCAACTCCTTGGTCTAGCGGAGTATCGGAAATGTAATCACATAGGTAGGATCAGGTTGCCTCAGGAATAAGTATACGGGTAAAGAGACCTACCTGAGAATAATGGATAATATGCATTGATGCTCATGATATGAACTCTTATACATTATATATACTTCCCTGCACAAGTTGATTGGATGTTGTTTACGACGAGGACAATGGTAGCAGGCTGCCGTTGTATATCAGGTTTAGCAGGGCCGTGAAAAGGGGAAGAATTGTAAAATAAATAGCATCTAAGTAGAAGCGTATTACGAAATATATCCTTAATTATCACATTTTATATAATCTTTATAATAAGCACTTATAATTAGGAGAAAATTGTAATAGCTTTGTGATAAATGGTTGAAAAACGGGCAATAAAGTAATTGATATCTCTCAGGTTTCCGCATTCCATCATTAACCGTCATCAGTTCCTACACGTAAGAGGTCTGCTCCCAGGGGATAATGAAACAGATGCTGGCTTAGGTACCTGGCAGACCCGTTAAGGTATCTACCCGGGTTCTTAGCTTGCAAATCTAAAATCCAGTCTCTTGCTTCCTTCATCTTTTGTATTTTCGCGGTACTCATTTTGCTCCTATGAATCATTAGAATCACAACAAGCCAGAGTGACTTGGAACATGACTTACATCCGGGCTCGTTGCGTCCCATGTCCTATCTCTGCGCTTATTCTCGAATATGTAGTATAGCTTGACAGCTATGTATATAACAATATTCAAGCAATTAATTCCGATAAGTACTCTATTTCCACGGCGGTCTAGAAATTATTAGCAAATCATAGATCAGGAAACATAACGGAATAGACTTACAGAGTGGCTTATCGTCGTCACGATAAATGTTTGCACTCATAATAGCCTGAAGCTGAACACAAATGCTTTGCAAGATTAGCCTCTTATTTCCTCTTGTAACAGGACAAGACTAACTTACTTATATGCTGCAGCAGAGACTGTTCTGGTGCGGACAGTGTTGGAGTTCCGACTACTCCAACCAACTTGCATGGCGTGTGCTTCAAAAATATTAGCAAAAAGGCCTTAGGATCTATAGCTGGATGGCCTTACGCGATGGATGTGCTAGTAGAACGGTTACAAGTGCATACGAGCCCCAGCGCGAGGTGTGTTCCGGCAGTAAAGCCAACGCTACTACGCATGGGAGAGTCCAAAACTCTACAAGAAGGCCAAGTATAACACGCTGATTGATAACCTCGGATAGGTAGGTCAATACCAACATCTGGAATATGTCAGCGCGAAAATGTAGCACAGAGATGGACAGTTTTATGGGGTCCTTACGTTGGCAGTTGATATTACCGTCGCCGGGATAGTCAGGAGGTTTGTATTGAAAGTATCGAATCCCAGGGCTCGAAGAGTCAACGTCAAGTATTGCCCAGGAGGGCCAGATGGAATGCTGAAAGTTAACCCAATGATGTATATCGGCCAAAGATGATAGTCGGCTAAGGATTTCCATAACATTTTAAAGGTGATGCCCTGCCGGTTATGCATGTCTCCTTTCGACGGATCATCTCGCAAAATTCGGTTTACGAGAATCTTTTCCTCTCGTTCGGTAAACCAACCATTGGGACGGTGCCAAGCCTTAGTTTGTGTTGGAGATGGTGCCATCATGAACCATGACCATATACCAATGGCAAAAGTCAAGATACCCTCGATTAGGAATCTAGCGAATGTGTTAATGTTATGCTTGTGTTTTTGATGATATATTGTCTTACAGCCAGCGCCAACCTTCATAGCCATGATAGCCTCTGAGGCGTAGAAGACCGTATGCAAGCAAGGGCGCGATCACGTCCGTCAACTGATTCGCCATCCAGAATAAGGCTAAACGAAATGGAAGCTCGGTTCCTTTGAAGAAATAAGACTATACATATCATGTAAGTGTTTAAGTCTTCCTATAACCGTCACTGGAAACGTACCAAATAGAGAATCAAGTCAGGAATGAAACCGCCTTGTAGGAGACCTAGGAGGGCACGGCAAGCTAGGAATGATGAACGGCCCCGAAGCCAAAACTGGGAACCAGCCACAATGCTCCATAATACCATTTGGATTGGAATCTAGAAAATGTAAATAGAGCGTCCAAGGCAAATATGATACATAGGAGGATATTTCATACCCAACGGTCAGGACCTGCGGAACATTAGTTATTAAGCTCAACATTTATGGATAGCGAACCTAGTAAATAACATACCAATTTTCTTACTAACCAGTTGCGAAGGTAATTCGGCAAGCAAGAAAGACACCAGGCGTACTGTGCTCCCATAGTTGTAATCTAAAGAAGCGAAGAGTTAGCTATCGAGATAAACCCTGGTTTATGCATCTTATCTTACCATTTGTCGTGAATCCCATGTCATCCAAGAAATTGTCAGTGTTAGCCTGGCCAAGATTACTCCTATCTAGATCCAGGGCGAAGAAAGCGATACAAGCCCACACGGTCACCTTCCAGTCGATCTTCTTGACAAGTTTCTAAACATATAACCATAAGTAGGAGTTAATCTTTGCTAGAACGGGATTGTTATACCTCTTCTTCCCCCCATGTCCACTTAAAAGACGGGTCGAACCGATGAAGGTTCTCATACTTAGGACTCGGCTTGAATTGCTCGGCTTTCACCGGATCGTCAAATACAGATGGCTGCGTAGCGATGTCTTCAGGCTTATGCTTCTTGACCTTTCTCCTGAAGAGGCTAAGAAGCGGGTGCCTAGGGGGAGTGTGTTCTGCTACTGTAGTTTCGGCGATCTCCTTCGACGGCGATTTTTCTTGATCCGATTCATTGAGTCCATCTCTGGAAGAGCTGGCTGTGTTTGAAGCATCATTGATAATGATTCCATCATTTTTGGTCGCCATATTGTTCGCTTTAGGGCCGATTCAGCCAAAAGGATGAGTTCTCGTGAGCTATCTCCCCTAAGCCAAAGATATGTAGATCTATTAGCCATCTTATCTACCTATGTATCGCCGATTTCATCGCCAGCATCGAGAATCGTCATTTTGCTTGCACTTGCACGATTGCCCTAGCTTATACTACTGTAACCCACTATTCGCGTTCTGTATACTCCTCCGTCGTGGGTTATAGGAGGTATCGATGGTAACATCCCCACGGTACGTGACGAAATAAAAGAATAATACACGGCCAACTGAGCAACCACGTTCGAGGCATTTCAAAGTAACTGGATGTAGGGTAGTAGATTTGTCTTGGCTGTGTTTGACGTGCTCACTTAGTTGGAGATGCCTCCATCGTTGGGATCGCATCATATGGGGAATAGATGAGGAATATGCGGGGGTCAAACATGGTATCAGATAACGCGGTCGAGGCCAATATCAAAGCAAGATATATAGTCGACGCGTTAACCTTCTGACGAGAGGATTGTGCAAGTCAATTTATCCAACCGCATTCATAATGGCGCCCTCAGTCGCAGACATATTACCAAGCGCATCGGAGCTGAAGGAGAAGGCAGAACAGAAGCTTAGCAAGGCTTATGACGCAGCGCAACACGCCTCAGTAAGGGATTACATCGAAACATGACTATAAATATAAGCTAAATCGTTGAAAAGTACAAGTACACTAACTACCTGCCTGTGTACGATGAATCAACAACGTTCCCACCAACGGAACCCTTCGAGTTCGTCGACCGGGGTCTCCTAGCGGACAAAGCCAAGCCTCATCTACTCGGGCTCAACGACCCAAATGTTGTCGTTACGAAGCTTACTCCTCGTGTCGGCACAGAGATCACTGGCCTGCAGCTGTCCGAGTTGACGGATGAGCAGAAGAATGAACTGGCTTTGCTAATTGCCGAAAGGGGTGTCGTGGTGTTCCGCGGCCAGAACTTCAAGGACATCGGCGTCCAGAAACAGAAGGAGTTCGGCCAATACTTTGGTCGTCTACATGTTCACGTAAGTAATGCATACTTGTGTACTCCTACGTGCTAGTCCTTAACGTCGTATAGCCCGTCGGAGCTCACGTCGATGGGGCCATTGAGTTTCACAATATCTATCTTGGACCAGACAACCTGTACAGAGCCCAACGCCGCTTGGAACGCCTGACTACCACCGGGTACCACTCGGACGTCTCATATGAACACCAGCCTCCTGGAATCACGCTTCTTACGCTGTTGGCGGTGCCCTCTACGGGTGGTGATACTGCATGGACTTCTCAGGTCGTGGCGTACGAGAGGCTTTCGGAGCCGATCAAGGCATTGCTCGAGGGGCTACGGGCTGAACACAGCGGGTTTCCACAAGCCGAGGGTGCTCGTCGCGACGGCAAATTCGTCCGCCGCGAACCTGTTAAGTCGGACCATCCGATTGTAAGGGTACACCCGGTAAGTATAAAGCTCCCATCCTTAAATAGTAGATAAATATACCTAACCCTCCTTTCCCAGGTCACTGGTCAGAAAGCACTCTTTGTGAACCCGGGGTTTACGAAGAAGATCATAGGGTTGAAAACCGAGGAGTCCGACGCGATTCTCCAGTTCCTCTTCAAGGTTCGTTCCTCCCAATATATGTTTACTTCGCACTGGGTATTGTCTAACTATGTTCTTTCATAGCATATCTCCCAGAGTGCGGATATCCAAGTCCGCGTGAAGTGGGACGACCAGACCGTGTCGCTCTGGGACAACAGAGTTACAGCTCACACTGCTATCTCCGACTACGATGTACATAACGAGGAAGAAGGCTTACGTCACGGATTCCGCATCACTACCCTTGCCGAACGTCCGGTAGGGGTTAATGGGTTAGAGACGGTTTGGTAGGACTGATGCTTTAGCATAGGCTATTCTTTAGGTAGTTCTACAAGTTACTACATAGTTTAGCCAGCATAGTTTGAAGTCTAACATGTGCACTATCCATCTCTAATTCTTCCCTTCTCCTTCTCCTTTATCCGCGTCCCCTGTTACATCGTTTCGAATGTATATCTTCAACGACTCTAGGCCCATCAATGTAAGTCTATCAGGGTCCATGATTTTGAAGTCGTGTTCCGTGTAATCCTTCCACATTTCTCTGGTGCGCGGGGTCTCCGCGTTAGAAGGGTACGGTTGTCTACGTTGAAAGACTTCAAAAGCAGCCGTGTCGGCATGTGTTCGAGCACCGTAAGTAGTGTTGTTCAGGACATGAGTGCGGCCATTTCCAATGATCATAGCTGGTCTCGCAATGTCGGCAATGATTTCGCTCATGGGGAAGGTCGGGTAGCAGAAGAACACGACCGAATCGTCGACAATCTCACTAAAGCCCCCGGCACCGTGCTCACCGACGACAGATATCCCCAAGTTTTTCAATAGAGCCTTACTTGTCGGGCTATAATCCGGATCCTGGGCCAAAATCTCTACGTTAGCGGCTGTCGTCGAACGGAATGCGGCCCCCATCGTCAAAGCAACCGCATGCTGGTTCATGCTAAATTTCTTATTAGCCGTTTCGGAACCATGAGCTGTATAACGGCTGTCATAGCAGGACATAGGTGCCATATCTCCTAAGGCAAAGCACACAACTTTGTTAATCTTCCTAAAGCCTTTCTGGAAAGCAAGCTTGTGTTTAAGCCAGGTGCACGTCGAAGACCGTTCCCACACTTGTTGTATCTCTTTAAACTGAGCGTCTAAAGGGGGTTGTTCGTTGGCAGTGAAGTTGTTAAATGCCTGGTTCTTCCATGCAATCATATATGAATAACAAGGAAAGGAGTACGGAAGAATGCGTCGGAAGAAGACGTCTGAGGACTGCATCGTGACCATGTACCAGTAGTTTTGGAATTCGACAAACGGTTTCCTATTCCACCAAGAGCATATCTTTGTTAGCTTGACGGAACTCGCGCATGTGTAGATGGCACTAGAAACTACCATATAGGATCCGATACGCCAAGCATCGGATTTCTAATAGAAACCACCGAGCCGTCAATACGACGAATATTAAACGATGGCTGAGTTCGCCAGTGCATAAGCTCGTGCTCAATCCGTTCAAAATCACTCCTTATCCAGATTTTTTTGCCAGAATGATACAAGTCTGCTATCTTCTGAGTATTCTCAATGACTTGAATAGGGGGGAACTGTGGCAGCTCCAGAGAATCTCCTGGCTGATTCGTGGGATCCATTTCGGGTGTAAAGAACAATCGGTCTCTCTTATTGCTTTGAGCCTTCAGTAATGTTCTACAACTGACCTCAGTCCTGTGTGTAAGATGTATCCAATAGACCTTTCCCACCGACTACAATATTAATATTTATAGCCGGATTGAAGTGACTCACGGTGTCAATGGATTTGATGCCAAGCAGGTGTACAGACAAATTTCACCGAAGATGCAGCTTGCTAACCTTTCGCCTCTCATGTAGTTTCTTCGGTCCATTTGAAATCATAGTAGTAATTATAAAGGTTGCGTTTGTGTATATGTATCCACTGCTTGTGATATACATAGCTGTCGTAGTAGCTGAAAATCTAGCTTGAGCACTATACTCTTGTCTTTAAGCCTCTCTCATAAGACGCCTGCAGCTTGCTGTATTCTGATTCTACCATGTCGCTGGTCCGAATTTCTCGCCCTCTGGTACTGTCTTAAGCCATCCCGTGTATGATGCATCCTATTTGTCATTGTTAGCAACCATATGGACCAAACCCAACATTGCACAATCATGTTAGCCCGCTGTAGACTTACAAGTGTATTGAATACATCCACATTGCCCCACCATTGAGGAATGGTAACTCCCGGAAGAGTTATCGCGAAAAAGATGACGATGGTCGACAAGATAAGCCCCGCGTCGAGAGCAGCAGCAGTGACATAGTTGTACGTTCTCCACCAGCCGCCAAATTTCTTCCTTACGGCATAGTTAAAGATCAAGCCGAAGATTGCCCATGATGAAAAGCTGATCGGCGTGGCTGGCGGCAACCATGCCATAGCTCCAAACATGATCGGCGCGTTGAGGTGGCGGGCGAAGCCAACATTCAATTTACGGCTAAGAAACCACAGCACAACCGGGAATGCAGCCCCGATAAGCCAGAACCAGTTGAAGTTCACGTACATAGATCCAGGGCCAAACATGCGTTCCGGTCCCAGGACTCCCCACACGATTGATGATGAGAAAAAGGCCCGCCCATTAGGACAGCTGAAATGACTGGGTTGAGAACTACGAAAAATACATTAGCCTGTTAGACATACGCGGATTTATGTGGTATAACTCACATGGAGCAAACATCAGGGATAGCTCCTAACGTCCAATTCATCACCGCGATCTGGACGAACACGGCCCATATACTCGCTATGACCTGGCACCAAAAGGTGACCCTGGGGGGGATTTTCATGTAATGAGCTGTCTTTAGGTCGGTGCTCTACTCTGTGTTAGTAATTCAAGCGAACTCTTAAACCGAACTCACGTAGGTTGCTATATATCGAAAGGCCAATGGCCCTCGTAAGTGAAAGAAATGGGTGGAAGGTGAGTGAGGAAATCCTTCTACGTACATATGTCTGAGCCTGTCCTAACGTGATTGTACTGAAGACCTTGAAGATCATCACTGCAATGGGACGACCTGGGAATATGAAGCCAGCTATAAATGGCGAGATTACGTTTAGAGACAACTGGATAGTTGAGACGGCCATTACCATGCATGTAGGGATCACGAACAGAAGTGCTAGGATGACGGAAACGAAGAACCCCCACCAAGGGAGTTGAGAATCGTACGTCAGCACGGTTGCGAGTCCGAATGCGATGGAGACTATTAGAAGTGCATAATACCACCATTCAGGGGCCTCGCTGTATTTTTTCATCAGTTTGAGATGAATGTCGGGTTCTTGATTGCGCGCAGTCTTGAAACGATACCAGATCTCCTTTCCGTTGAAGAGCGTAGTGTGTACAAGCGCCGCCGTCAATGCGGCGAAGGAAAGCCCATAGTTTAAAGCCAATGATGGTGACAGGAATAGCGGCGAATAATTGTGGTATTTGTCTAAGTCGAGAGTGAAACTATCTCCGAGAATCTTCGAGACGTTGTATGCCTTCTGCGTATTGTCGTAAGTCTGCGATGTCACGAGAGGAAGATAATCAGAGTAACTACAAGCCTATTAGAAATGGCCTTTGCTCGCGAATCCTCTAATACATGCCGAAAAATCGAAGGTAACGTAAACTTACAGGGAACCAGTATATGCCATCCCAACACACGGAATAAGGACGAAGCAGACAAGACCGATTAGAGTATTAACATGAGCATATGTCGGAGCTAGCAACGGATCTTGCAAGTAGGCAGAGACGTAGGTCCAGTCAAAGGTCAGTGGGATAAAGCTGAGCCCCGTGAACCCACCAAAAAGCTGGTTGAGCACAGGGTTCTCTGGCTTAATCCAGGTCACGAAAGCGAACACGGAGAGACCTTGCCAGACTACACCTGGTATCCAGTAGTAGCAGAACATACCGCTCATCACGATGAAGAAGTACCGATAGCGACTTATCACCCACCCGTTGGATTGGGTACCGTCACTCTTACTCTTGTCGTGGAGGGCGTAGAAAAGAGAGGTATAACTAAACTGGGAAGGCCACATCATTGCGGCGGGATAGATTAGGAACCGTCTAAACATCCCGGATAGCGATATTCCAATGAGTTGCGAGCTCAGCGTAAACATCAAAGAAAAGCCCCAGCCTAGATTGAGGTTGTAGAAAGGCTTTCCTTGAAGCGCAAGCAACGCATCAGTGGAATATGCATATGAGATGCTGACATTCGACATAATAGTGACGACCACATGCTCTTTGATGGTGAAGGGGCCGGTATTCAGGGTCCACTCCTGACCGAAGGTTTTGAATACTCTTGTTGGCATGATCTTTGCCCATAGAGACCCGACAGGATAGACTAACAGCACGACCACCAAGGCCGGGAAGTTAACCATTGGACTTCGCATGCTCAACAGCATGTTTAAGCCGCTGCCAAGAGTGACAAAGATCATCCCCAGTATCCAAGCTCTCACGGTACATGCGACTTCTCCGCCATCGGTATTGCGCACAGCAGCACGTACCTCCTCGTAAGGTGAATCTTCGCTAAACAACGAGTCGGCCTCGATAATCTCCTTAACATCTCCATGCTTAAGTGCCGAATTGACGGCATCGAGCTTCTCTTGGGGAAAATTGGGGTCCCATTGGTGGGCGTGCTGAATCTGGTTAAGATCTTTGATAGCAGTGGTCGCATCTATATCGCGAAGCTTCTCGTTGGAGGAATTAGGTGTCGCGCTCTCAGCTGGGTTTGGACTGATCTCGGATGTGGCTTTATCAGAAGTATCTACTCTCCCGAAAGGAAACCCCATGATGGCTAGTGAGTGATCCCTAAGTGCTATAGAGCGAATTCATGATGACCAGAAATAAGAATTTCGACTTAGCCATGGATATAGACAAGTCTTATCTCTTCTATCCTCAATGGGTCGAGATGTCTTTCAGTCGCCTCATCTCCGAGAGTCACCTATCAAAACAGGGTCTAACGGATGGATTAAAGATTGCCAGCCAGCCGGTATATCACACCCCTGGCACTCCCCGCATGGTTTGGTAACACTCCCTTTCTTTGTTTTTCGACCTTCCCAAAGCAATCAGCTTAGACGAAGTGTGACCAAAACCGGGAATCATTGCGCCGTTGGGTGTAGGTTTGGTGTATACTAAACCAGGTCGGCTCATGGAATTGAGCAAGTATTGGTGGCTTCTCCTATGTATTCGGTAATCTTGAACCGACACCCGCCAACGAGAGGGATAGATGAGCCAGGGGGGACAATGGGGGGGAGTCTGGAATGGGATGGCTTATCATATCCACTTCTCCAAATGGCGGGGATCTTGTTTGTTGCCACCGTAGATAGGGTAGATAACATATCAGATGTTGGGTTGTGTAAACGCACGAGCTTATCATTTACGTCCGTATTGTCTTAGGTAGACATGGAATTATATACGCCAATCAAGTGGGATTCCTTTATTCTTTGCGCGACGCATGCGTTGATAGATAGGACCATAAAGCTATATCTATAAAATTCGGTATAAGCGAAAGACTATTTGGAGCTCGGGTTCGTTGAGAGCATCTTTAGAATCATAATGATATATGCCTACTATGTTAGGTATACTTGATACTCTCGAAGGGAGATGCTGGTATGTTAATAATTTAGTACCAAATTTTGACTGCTAGTAGGTTTGAAATGTTAGATATATTTGATATGCGAAGTACTATAGGCGAAGGTCGTTATATGTACGGTAGCATGTAAATGTCGCTTAGCTGAGTTGATGCTGCGAGGCTGAGGCACCTGTTATTAATTGGGCTATGGCTAGCTGGATGTATGGCTGTGCCAACCGTATGTAGCATCACTAGCAGTTCGACCTGTCGATCCAGAGCCTCGTCTGATCATCAATTCATCTTAACCAGCCTAACACGTGAAAATCAGCAAGATGCCGCAAACTCACCCCCGAAACCAAATTATACTTGCGCCGTCAAGGGTAGATCACAACGGCATCATGTCTATCTTCCTGGCCGGTACCACTACTAGGACAGACGATACCCGGGACTGGCGCGAGGTGTTAACCGAATCTCTCGCGGATTTGCCCCTCACCGTCATCAATCCGTATCGATCGGATTGGGACTCAAGCTGGCGAGAGGATATTACATGTGAACCTTTTCGAGAACAGGTAGAATGGGAACTCGACATGCAGGAAAAGGCCCATATAGTCGTCATATTCTTCCACCCGGCAACCGAAGCACCCATCAGCCTGCTTGAGCTTGGGCTTTGCGCGAGAGCTAAGAAGGCTATCGTTGTGTGTCCTGAGGGGTATAAGAAGAGGGGAAACGTCCAGATTATATGTCAAAGATATGGACTTGAAATCGCAGAAAACTTTGATACATTAAAGGAAGTCATTGTGAAGAGATTGCCAACAGGTTCTCTGTGAGCTACACGGTTGAATCGTCAGACCTAAGAAAGATATACTGCTCGACTCTTTATATACGCATGTCTCATTGGTTGCTAGACTGCGTAAATAGCTTCTTTTGCGAGGAGTCCTTTATTATTATACAAAATTAATTTTATGTTGCGCTTTAGCTGACTTTGAACATTTCCAAAAACAACAGGCTGAAGCGAATTTGTAGTTATCTTCCCCATGAACACCAACTAATTAGGCGTAGTCATATGCCGAAGAAGAATAAGTAAGCAGTAAGCTTGATGTCAAAGTAAGGGATAATGTCACATAGCCAATACGTTAGGTAATATTAATGGTATTGAAGTGAGGTTATACCATTGATGATATTTTCGATGATTTTGGACAATATCTTTTAGTTCTAAGGCTGATTCCATGGATGGAATCCACTTATTCCCGTCCGTCATCTGGGGAAGCGGGCCGGCACTTTCTCCGCTTAAATCTTCTGGGCAGCTGCCCGTCTTGAGGGAAGGTGGATTATGCGCCCGCCCGTTCTCAAAGCACATCAGGTGGCGGGGCTCGACTTTTTATCCTTCATTATCCCAACGTGTCGTTAAGAACTATTAAACATTAGTCCAATAGTTTAGCATAAACCAATTGCTTTGCTTTATTCTTCGTTGGCTACATTTTATTGCTTTACTTTGCTCTCATCTCACTTATAAATTTATTATCCAACAGCTAGCTCTAACCTACCATGGACGACCAATTCAACGGACGCACAGATGATGATCTGTTTGCGGACGAATTCGAACCTGTGGTCACCCGAGAAAACGAGATAGAGACGAAAAATGAATCGAGCGCTCCTCCGGTAGTCGAGGATAGATTACCGTCTGCGAATTCCGAGCAACCTAACACAGTGGCAGTTCAACCTACTCCAACCCCTCATATACCTCGATCTCTCAATCAATCGCGACATGCGAAGCAGCCTCCGTCGTCCTCACATCATCAATCGCGACCGCGCAAGCACTCACCGAAACCCGCAGCGGTAGATTCGCAGCAGCAGCAGCAGCAGCAGGAACAACAACCGCAGCAACAGGAGTCTCCAGCTAAAAGTACCAGTAGTGGTGGTGGCGGGAGCGGGGGTAGCGACAAGAAAGCGCAAGCGGCTACCGTGAAGCTCGGGCAGAATACGGCGCTCGCGGACCGGCTGGCGTCTGGCGCAAATCCTCGTCAGAAGCTGACCGAGTCCGAGCTCGCGAGTAAGATGGAACAGATGCGAATCCTAAATGCAGAGAAGACGCGCCGGTTCGAGCAAGCTGAGCGCGACAGTCGCTCACACGCTCTCGCTTATGAGAAAGGTATGGAAGAGGCGCGGCGGCGTCGGGCCGAGGAAGCCGAGCGACGTCGTAGAGGCGAGGAGGAGAGGCGTCGTATGGATGACGAGCGCGCCGCAAATCGCGAGCGGAAACTCAAGGCTATGGGCGCCAAGGAAGGTGGCAGCTGGGACGAGGGTAAAAACCTTGAAGAAGAGAGAGATAGAAGGGCTGGCTTCCGGAGCGCAAACGGTGGTATTCGTGGCGCGCGTAACAATGGCGGTATAGCTGGGAGTAGATTTGCGGAGAGGGATAATGACGCAATCCCTAGGGAGTTTGGCCCCGACGATTTTAGAGGAAGAGGGCGCGGTGGGCGCGGTAGAGGAGGTTCAACTAGAGGCGGTGGTAGAGGAGGTAGAGGAGGCTTTAACCATGACGGCGAAAGGGGTGGCGCTTATAAGACGTCAGGGACAACGGCGACACAAAACGGCAACAAACCCCAATCGCAAAAAGCAGCACAAGCTCCTCCCACCGCAGAAGACTTTCCGGCTTTGCCAGCAGCCAAGAAGCTAGATACGACGAACAACGCGATAGCTGCGACGAATTCTTCTGTCCCATTACCTGAGCTTAATTCGCCGGTTGGAAAATGGGATGATGAGATGGCCGCTCTGGACGCTAAGCCTGGGGCTTAAAGCGTCCCTTTTTAAGAGAGTGCGGTATGAAGAAAAAAAAAGAGAAGAAAAAAAGAAACAGAATGCCCAATAGAGTGTACGCTAAGGATAATCTGCAGAGATGGGAAGTTTGGATTACAGGCTCGCGCAACACCGCCCAGGCATATGAGAATTAGAGATACCAGAAAAGCCAAATAAAAGCAAAAAGGCTTCTATTATCAAGAACCAATCGAAGTATTTTATGTGCGCCTGTCCATAGTGATATCATGTCTAATTTTGACCACTGAAGCCCATACGCCAATAACTCCTTCACATGCTTTGATGTCGCCGTTGCGTTACCATCCGCTTCGAAAACCACGGCCACTCCTACCTCCATATCCGCCACGTCTAGGCCCCCTAGGCCCTCCTTTCCACCCACCGTCACCGTAGCCCTCGTCCCGCATGGGGCCGTCGTCTTGGAGCGAAGGGCGCGGACGTCCTCTAATATCTTTAGGCAGGGAGTCGTACGTTTTCCGCATCTGCGCATATCCTAGATGCATCTTGCCGTAGAAATGGTCTGCCAACCGACGATCGTTATCTAGTCTCGAGAGGTACGCGCCGCACACGTCGCAGACCTGGAGTTTCTGGTGACCTGACGGACCGCTAGTGTCGGCCAGGGTCTTGAGCTCGCGCTCGCGCTCCATCTTGGCCTGGGCCGCCTGGCGCACCTTGAAGAACTCGTCATACGCGCGGCTGACCTCGCCTAGATCGCCGAGTATCTGCACCTCCTGCAGCCCGCAGTTGATGGTGGAGCTCAAGTCGGAGACGGATTTGAGCAGGACGTTGGTCTGCCGGATCTCGTCGGGGGTCTTCTCGAGGCGGCGCTGGGCGGCATCGATACGCCGGTTGCACTCTTCGATATACTTCTGTAGGTCACGAGCATAATCGATCTCGAAGCCGTACTTCTGGCGCGCGGGCTCGGGTAGGCCTTCGTACTCGGTCTTCAGCGACTCGGCGTGGATCTTGGGACACGGCCCGAGATCTTGTTTCGTGTTGGTGAATAGGTCGTGCGGACAGGTGCCGACGATGTAGGAACGGCAGACCTTGGGGTCGGTTAGGGAGACTTGGGATGAGCGCGACGTTTGTGGCCCGCCCATGAGCTGCTCTGGATGAGAGTTAGCCAGACGGTTCTGAAATAGGAGAGGTTGGAGTTGGTATTACCAAGCAGCTTTCTTTGCTCTGCCGCCATTTGCGAAGTTCAAATTGAAAGGTGTTAGATTAGTTATATTAGAGCGAGTTTACTGGTTGTTTGGGGTGAGTTATCTGGAAAAGGCTGGTGATAGTTGGTATTGGCGTGATTGTGAAAAAGTCTATGTATGGACGATGGCAACAGGGCTGAATTAATTGGCATTAGAGAAAAGTAGCTTCCAAAGATTGATATTTGCGGGGACCAATTAGGTCATTCTTAGGCACCTTTAGTGGGTTTAGCTTGCATTGCTTGGTGGGCTCGGCAGGGGCACAGGAGCCAGGCAAGCGGCCAGGGGTCCCTTATCTGACTAACAGTTAGGTACCTTATTGTACCTGTAGCCTCACTGAAATTATTCCACGTTGCTGGATCTCGCATCCAATAATCGACGTATCAAAACTACCATTTACAACCACCAACCATAAAAAGAAAATCGGTCGTCCTCATGGACTATCGACGGCCACAATGCGTTATTCCTTTTCTTACTTAATACCCTTTTCGATTCTGTTTTGGACTGTTGCTCTTGCTTCCGATTATTACGAACAGTTAATTCTTAAACCGCTGCCTCAATCTACCATTCTCGCCAGTTTCAACTTCAGATCCAACACCACTTTGTCGCAATTCGAAGCGCACAATTTTCAATACTTTCCTCGATCTCTAGGACAAATATTACAACATGTGGGAACAAGAGAGCTACATCTGAGGTTCAGCTTAGGAAGATGGGATGCCGAGAGCTGGGGAGCGAGGCCGTGGGAGGGTACTAAGGAGGGTGGAACAGGCGTCGAGCTATGGGCGTGGCTTGAGGCAGACACTGACGAAGAGTATGCTATAAAGAACAGATCTGGATCTTGATTTTATATGCTGATCCTACTTACTGATAGGGCCAGTCGAAAGTGGTTGAGTCTAACAAACGCACTATCCGGCCTCTTCTGCGCTTCGCTAAACTTCATCGACGAAACTAGAACGACTCGCCCAGTCATGTCCTTCCAACCCGAAGGAGACCACTCGAACACCACCTTGGCTAACATGCAATTACTACATGGTGTGCTGCCAAGGGAAGTAGTCTGTACGGAGAACTTGACGCCGTTTTTGAAGCTGCTGCCATGTAAGGGAAAGGCCGGAATATCGACTCTACTCGATGGGCACAAACTCTTCGACGCATCCTGGCAGAGCATGGCGATCGATATTCGACCCCTGTGTCCGGATGGTCAAGAATGTGTGCTGCAGATTGAGCAAACAATCGATATGGTTTTGGATATCGAAAGGTCTAAACGACCTAGGGGTAAGAATACCATTGTCTCGTGTACCACCTTAGCTCTAACACGACGCAGATAACCCTATACCGCGACCTCTACCGGGTCATGAGCTGAAATGTAACTCGTCAAAACCATATCATTCTGGAGACACATGCTTCCCTACCGACTATGCAGAGGGTCAAGAGTGGGCGCTCGACCAAATCTTTGGCAAGACAATTAAGGGAGCTTGCCCATTGACTGACCCAGAGGTCCCTCCTGTCTGTATCCAAGTTCCTCATCGCAGGGATATATATACAACTGCTGGTGCGAGCGAGATCAAAAATCCAAATGGGCTCTCACGATGCTACCAAGTTCCACTAGAATCTGATTTCTCAATGATCCTTCCTCATATGTCACGAGAAGGCGAACATCCCAAAACGAACGCCGACGAGATTGTCGAGCCCGAAACTCCGCTTCTATATGCGGAGCGTAGCTTTACAGGCCACGGATACGAGCGTGGAGGTGTAAGGACCATCCTCACTAATCCAAGCCCAGATACAGAGGTTGAATTCTTTTATATGGAGAGTTTACCTTGGTTTATGAAAATCTACCTTCATACACTTACAACTCATATCAATGGAGTACCGGGGTCCAAGAATGACATCATCGAGGAGATTTATTACCGGCCGGCTCTGGACCGTGTCCGAGGAACACAGCTCGAACTTCGGATGCGCATTCCACCTGCCAGCACAGTTTTTCTTACGTACGATTTTGAAAAATCCATCTTACGGTACACCGAATATCCACCAGACGCCAACCGCGGCTTCGATGTTGCCGCGGCTATCATAACCATTTTGCCTTCCACATCCCCAGACGCCCCATTGGCGCGACAGAAGACATCAAACCTGCGGACTACGTCCCTCCTCCTCAGCCTGCCAACACCAGACTTCAGTATGCCGTATAATGTCATCATCTTTACAAGCACGGTTATTGCCCTTGCGTTCGGTGGCTTGTACAATATATTAATTCGACGATTTGTAGGGGCTGATGAGGGCCCCGAGATTAATGCCGGTCTGAAGAATAAGATCATCGCAGCTGTTGCGAAACTAGTAGGAAAATTAAAAGGTGCGAAAGGAAAAGTAGATTAGATGTTAGTTATAGTCGCGCGTAGGCACTAGAATAGACCTAGAGAATTACTCCCATTGACGGTATGATTATTTACTACTTATTACTACTTCACGGCTCTCCAATATAAAATGGTGGTCGAAGCTGAGTATAATCAGCCCCCATAGACTTCAACGGGTAAAATATTCAACGAATAAAATGCAATTCACAGCTAGTTGCCGAATTTTTATCTATCTTTGTACATATGAATAGCCCCAGGAAAGCCAGTGATTAAAAATATACAGTAAAAAAAGAAGCGCCCGCCTCCGTAGATGACATTTTATACCTATAACCCTCGCTTTGCCGTGGCCCTTGTGTTTTTGCAGAGTTGTTGGTAATGCGTGCAAGTACGAAATCAAATTTACCCTATGCCAACCCCTGAGGCTGAAGAGCAGCCCCGAGTATGTACGTTGAAGAGCGGAAATAAGCTTGCATCCGACCCATTGCCACGGGATTCGACAGCTGTTCCCAGTGCTGTTGCGGCTGTTGCCATCCTCTTCCGTTATATTTCCCTCTGGAATCTAGATGGCAGTCTCCGAGGTCGGGCTGTGTCGTAACGGTTTCGATGCTCGAACGCTTACTACTAGGATAAGACGACGAGTTAAAGGAGTCGGTTGTGCTTGCAGCAGAGTAGGATGATTCTCGTCGGCGGTGATGGTTAGGATTCCTTTGCCGATTTGATCTGAATTCATCTACTTCGGGGTCGGGTATAGGATCTGTTTGGACGCTGGCGTCCGCATAGTTCGTCCTGGGTTTGACGTTTGTAGTTGATCCGGGCTTATGTACATCCGCAGTGCCCCTATAATGATAACTGCAGGTGCAATGACTGCCCGGAGGCTTGGTATCTGTCGAAGTTGCAGGTTTCACTGGTGTTGGCGGAGTATTCGAGCCTTGCGGGCTCGGCTGCTCTTTAAGCACACCTAAATCTTCACTGCTGTATATTAAACTGCGTGGGCGCGTAACCCATGACCGTTCCCGTCGGTGGAAAGCAAGTGGCACGAGAGATATTCGGCGTAGCTTGTCCGCAGACGATGACCGGCTATGGGCTGCCGGCTCTGGTTTTAGGTGAGGCCCGGGTAGATGATCGACTGTCGGTGACATAGACGGTAACGTGCTCGATCGTGGCCGTTCCGTATCGCCTCCTGATAGCTCTCGTGCTCTGCTCATCCGCCTCTTGGTCCCCGAAGAAGGGCTTCCGCCATTGAACGTCAGAGCTCGTCGGAGCATCTGTTGCTGGGGACCCGCAGGTTCGCTCCGAACTTCGCCATTCCTATCTGACGCCCAGAACGTGTCCTCCCCCGAGAGTATCACTTGTAAAGTCTCAAAGTCTCTCGTGCTACCATCGACTGGAAACAGCCAATCCTCTAAGCGCCTTGGGAGGCCGTGAGATCCTATATTTCAACGAAAGTGAGAAAATGAATAATACTGGATGATTGATATTAGAAACATACGCTGCCTGTATTCACCCGAATGAGTCTTCCAGCAGATGTAGTGCTTCCCACCTGATCCAAGTGCCGTCACGACGAGCTGCGCTACGCCATCCGAGTCGTCGGTGTTGTTGGCTAGAGAGTGCAGGATATCCGCGACCATTATGATTTCCTCAACAGCGTTGAATATTATTACATCATATCCTAACCACACACCTATTTAATTCGTACCAGCCGTATTTAGAAATTAGTATACTGAATGATGAAGATCATAGTACAGTATACGGATTAGTTATTACAATTTCAGATCGTAGAACTGACGGCGAGCTGCCAGCAGCTAACTCATGATCAAAAAAACAACTGTTGAAGGTGAGATTGGGGAAGTAAACGCATGATTTTAGATACACGGGGAAGGGCTGAGACATCAAGGTCCTGGAAAACATATGATATGGGCCCAGTCCACAGAGCTCCCCGAACAGAGTCGCATCTGAAACCACGACAGGGGATCCATGAACGTGCCCCATCTTGATTCTAGAGCTTTTATCGTATTTTACGAAAACTCGTTGAATATTGTAAGAAACAATATTTTTTTGCTTACCTCGAATCTGCCGTTGTGAGCTTTACCAGTCATAGCCTTTGCCCGTTCTTGCTTCCTACATCCCTCCATACAGCACTTGAACACCTCTTATTTCAATACGAAAACTAATGTCGTCAAATATCCATACTTCACAGACTTTTACATTTCAAGGGAAGACACTTCAAGAAGCTCTCGAAGAAGTCGCCATGGCTATACCTATGCTACTGGCGCTCACAATTGCCCCTGCTCTGCTAGGAACACAAGAGGCAATCCGACAAAGTCAGTCCAAGAATAAACGGGAAGAGCACCGAGCTCGTCGTTGCAATCTTGTCGTTTCTTGCGTGAAGCAGTCAATCCGCAGTCGAGATATAAATGGCAAGATAGTCGTTCTAAAGGATAACAAGGTAAAGCATTCATGATAATATGAACATCGCGAAGTGTTACTTACGCAGAATATAATAGCTCTATATTACCACTGGGAACCTATCTGCGGACGATAATGCGGCGAATACTACAAGCAGTGGACATCCGTTTGCAGGATATTATTTACCATACCCTGACAAAACATACGAGGGTATTGTTAGCACTATAAGCGACGACCCACCAATGCTGAACTGGATATATGTCGACAAGGACACATACGAAGTGAAGTATGGCGTCCGCGCCGATGCGCAACCCCATATAACAGGACCATTCGATTGCACCCGGCAGGACCGGCGCATGACTCTAGAAGGCTGGGAAGGGTTTGCTGCAGTTGAGGAGTTCCCGGGAGTCTGGGCGCTATATTTCGACCGCGACGACGATGGCTTAACAACTAAAGTCCCAATGGGAACTAGAGTACTCGAAGTAGAACTGACCCGACGAGAGAAGAAAGAGCGCAAGCCCGAGCCAGACCCGAACCAGGCGCAGACTCTAAATGAGAAGATGAGACAGCATAAGGAGCAAACTCAAAGAGAGGAAGAGGAGAAGCAAGAAATGCTTCGTACACAGCAACAGACTAATACGAATGAGCGAAGAGACGAAGGGCCACCGCAACAGGATAGAGGCACTACAGAATATCAGGCTACAGGAGAGGCAGATGTAGGCGGCGCACAGCTTGATCTAAGCAATCTACACCTCAACCCCGGTTCCCACGCAGAGCATCCACCTGGTACTGTCCCTCACTCGCCCAGCGTATTGACCGACAACGTCTCATTCTGGTCCGCGGCTAGGAAAGCCGACGGTCTCAGCGACACCGCGTCTGTCACAGCAGCCAGCTCCATCGCCGACAGACTAGATGCTCTCGAAGAGCAAGCTAATGAGTTAAGAGAACCTGGGTATAAACAGCCTTATGTTGAAGACGAAGCCGTCTGGGAAGAGCATGTAAACAGTTCATAGAGTATATACATAGAGCCGCCATATATAATTCGCGGGCGAATCATTAAAGATACCCCTATTCAGAATAATTAGACATTTATAACACGTTCTGCTTCTTAGAATGAGCCTCCACGTGATCGTTGAATAGTCACGTAAATATTCAAGAGTCAAAGCTTGACAGCTGTGGAGATACATAAATTGAAGTAAAGTCGTGTCCACGTCGTTGGCGACGGTGGAGTTGACGTTCAGGGGTATTCGACGGGGTTTATTAACCTCAACCCACAGCGGCCTTGCGTACTAATAGTGGATATTCCGGGGTAGGGAATACACGTAATTTGATACCAGAAGCCTTTCAACCATGGCTATGTCCGACTTCTCATACTATAGGTACATTGTCCCTAAGTGAATTGTTGTCGTACAATTCACAAAGGAATTGTTCAATAATAGCATTTGACAAATTGAAGCTCAGTCTGCATGTTACATGTCCGGAGGAATTGCGTGCTTCTAATGCTTCAAAAAAGGGGTAAGAGATCTGCCGTACTTGAATAAGGCGGCAAGCCATACACCATACACCATGCACCGTATGTAGGAAGAATGAAAATCCAGAACTTTATCGATTCCAGGGTCCTGATAAGAAAGAAATTCCGTTCCATTCACTAGCCTCTATTCTCCGACTTGTCATGCCATTCTCAGATCAGATCTGAGCGTTGCTATGCGGGACAGGGGTAAAACGAGACCCTTGATGTCTGAGGCTCAACGCTTTGATCAGGTGTCCACCCACATCCCCGGCCCTAGGGAAGCAATGAGAGTCTTCGCTGTAACTCTGTCAAGGGATAATTGGACGACTTCTATCGTACCATGTCGGACGAGTGCGTTACATCGTCGTGATTATCAACAGGATCTACGTCGTGGCCAGCCCAACACTAATTTGGGTTTCGACCGCTCCGAGGGATAAGAGAGTCTGGAGAAACGGGCTGTCTATGTCGAAATTTGAAGATATAAGAACACTTAGTGCTCAGCTTGACAGTGAAGAACTAATCCTCATCATCCAGCATCAACATCATCATCATCAGCTTCCTTCTTCAATTCTTCAGCAGGCCTGACCTAGCAACGTGATTACCACTCCGCCGCTAATTCACTATTCTATATTTTTGAGATCTCCCTTGATCAATCCTATTAACTAATTCAAAATGGCCACTACTAGCACGTGAGTCTCTCAATACCTATTCTTAGAATGGTATATCAGGTCTAACATATGTTTTCTAGTACCTCCGCTATCCCCATGAAGAACAACGTCGCTTACAACAGCGACTCGGAATCAGACGGCCAAGCTCGTGGCGGTCGTCGTCCCCAGAACCAGCTCTCCCAAGCCGCCCAAGCTCTACCTAAGCTACCCACCTCGGTGGGATTAGCCCAGCCAGCAGGTAAGATTAAGCATATATTGTACAAAGGCAACGGACATCACTAACCCACGCTCTCCAGGCCAACTTTTGAGGGGTGCGACCGACGAGCACGGGAACCAGAAGTCCGCTGCTCTCCTAGTCGGTATCAAGCTCGACCTGGAAGCGGAAGTCCACCTGACAGCCCGAGTCCGCGGTGACATCTGTATCGGTCTTTACTAAAAGCGATGCGTATACCTAATAAAAGCGCGGATTATTGTTCTGATTACGGAGGGAAACGCATAGCGGTGAGAAAGTACTGTGAGAAGCGAAGCTGGAGCTGGAGCACACAAGATACCCCATTTTGCAAGGATTATTCAAGGCATAACGAATCAAGTCGTCCCAACACTGATGTCTTTTACACGAGGCTGTGCGGGCTGGCTGGCCGCCGCATAGCGAAGTTGATAATAATATCACGACTTGGAGATCTCATTGCTTCTTGCTGCTGTTATTGGATATGTGAATGCATTGTAGTGACTGCGAACGTAATATGTGTAGCTTATTTTATGTGACAGACCTATTAGCTACGAGACTGGAATTATTATTAGGCCATTTTGAATAACAATGCAGCACATTTTTATTTACACAACCCAATATCTTAAGGGGATCAAAATATAAAATATAATGTCAATTACGAGTAAACTCTCCCTTTTTGGGAGGTTTATCTTTTTTTCTTTTTTTCTTAGATAACAGAGACTAAGTTAATAGGTACTTGAAGTTCTATCGTAACAAATCTCCTTTGTCTAGCCTCACATCAGAGGTAGGCTACTTAATTTTCGGGAGCAATCTCAAAACGGCCAGGTATCTCACCACGAACAATTAGCTCTTTAACCTCACGTTCCTCGTAGACCTTGACGATCTCAACATGCTCTGACGTAGATTCATCTGCAGACAAAAGCACAATGTCGCCTGCCGCTACGGAAATGTGTTTTCGAACCACTGCAATAATGATGCACGGGCTACTATCGTCCTCTACGCCCAGAACCTGGACATTGAAGCAGCCGTGCCCTAGATAACTGCGGACCATGCCATACTCCTGGCCTGCTTCTCTGAATAGGAGAATTTGGTTTCTAGCCATTGTGGTGATGTTTCGAGGACGTTATGTAATAAATGAAGATAATTCTATATTAGTTTGTTATTGCTTGCACTTCGAGAGAGTAGAATGATGGTATGAGAAAAGTAGCTATGTGAAAAGCATTTGAGATAGCTAGGCATATTTATATATATGCCCATGGGAGAGTCATCGATGTAGGGTATAAAGGCCTTGTTTACTAACAATAGCACTGATAAGTTCAGTAGACATTGTTCAACTAGAGAGAGCAATTCCTAAACACATGTAAGTTTACGGGTGAGAACAATGTTCTTGTTCACTCCATTGGGTACATAATGGCATTGCTACTCAAGAAACAGCCTGAGCGAACCTAGAGAAGCGCCTCAAACAAAGGAGATTGGCATATGGTCACAAGGTAAGCCTTTTCGGCTATTAGAAACATTAATCATTTAGGTACGCGATGGATAAAATATATGCTCGATTCAAAATCGTACGGCGATACAATTTAGCGGGCTGGGAGCAACATATGGTACACTAAAGCCGATGTACCCTACTACCGCGAGGCATACCTTCTGGCGCAATAATTTTGATATTTATTCCCAATACTAAATACTTTGGAGATGTAGATTATAGTTCTACTCAGCTACAAATATAAGGCTATAATTGTGGTGTCGCTTGTAGTATTTGACCAGTACACTCACCAAAGCCGACTTTCTGGCCTGGCTCTCCACAGACCCCCTGAATTGTAATTCTATCGCCGTCCTTCAAGAATCGACGGACATCCATCCCCTGAAGCATGATATCTTTCCTTCCTCCTTCGCTTAGCTCTAAAAAGCTTCCCCTTTCGCCTTGTGAAGGTCCGCTTATCGTCCCGGAGCCAAGAAGATCACCAGTTCTTAGCGGGCAGCCACCTAGCGTGTGATGCGCAATCATCTGCGGAAACGACCACATGAGGTATTTCGAGCTTGTTGTGCATATCCTCGTCGAGTCACCCTGTGGTGCTGCGCTGTGTTAGATTCAATTCTCGGGCATCATTATGGTAAAAATACATACTCTCTAAGTCAACTTGTAGCTCGATTCCGAAGATATTTTCCTCTTTGCCTTCGTTTAAGTACCCCTGCAATGGTGTCCAGTTGTCAATCTGCTTGGTCCGGAATGGCTCAAGAGCATCTGCAAGGACAATCCAAGGGCTGATAGTTGTGGCGAAATTCTTCCCATTAAAGGGTCCCAACGGAACGTACTCCCACGTCTGGATGTCGCGCGCACTCCAGTCGTTCAACAATACGTATCCGAAAATGTGATCTTCAGCGTTAGTCACTTTGATCGGAGAGCCCATCTCATTCGGGATTGATATAAAGCATCCTAGTTCCAACTCAATATCCAGACGCCGTGAGGGAGCTGTGGTAGGGTGCTTTGGCTCCGCCGTCGGATCAGTAATAATCTGGCCGAAGGGGCGCTTAATCGGCGTGCCTGAAACGACAATGCTGGAAGCTCGCCCGTGGTAGCCGACCGGGAGGTGAGTGTAGTTCGGCTGTAGAGCCGCCTGAGGCCCGCGGAATAGGGCACCAACATAATACGCGTGGTGGAATCCGGCATAGAAATCCGTGTAGTCGCCAATGCTCATAGGCAGATGCATCTTGACTTTCTGCTGGGGAAGTACCGCATCTTGTCGAAGTCCCAAATTATCTTTTAAGATTTCCGGCCTTGATGTCTCTGCTGATAATAGATTCTGAATAGTGCTGCGGACTTCTCGATGGACCGGTCGGCCCAGCGCTGCAAACTCATTTAGCGTGGAGTTGGAGAAGATGCCGGGGTAATTCTTCAATGCAGGGAAGAGATCATCAAAGTCTGGGTACGAAGATAGGACTTTTAGATCAAGCACTTGGGATCCGATGGCGATAGCGACATGCGGCGCGGGGTTAGCCGGCGAGCTGATGATGCCGAAGGGGATATTAGCTAGTGAAAATGGACTGTCGGGAGATACGTCCGGAACCCATGTTGCCGCCATGATGTGTTTCTAATTTCCTAACTTTATACTTCGAATAGTAATAGGAATAGTTAGTATGTATGTAAATTGTATCAATGATAGAAAGTCGTGTGTATTAACTTAATTATTGTTAGCATTAAGATGTTGTACTCTTCAGAGTCGTTTACACGCATACTCGAGAGTGGGTATCACAATACCGAAAATCCCGATAAAAGCCGGCGTATAGAGATAGTCGGCATAGGTATTGAATAGAAAGAATATACTACCTCCGGCTTTACCCGCTTGTTAGGATGGCCGGCGGAAACAAGTCACAACAAAAAGGGGAACACATGGATTTGAATAGCCTCTCAAGAATGACTGTTCAAACAACTTGTCTCTAACTATAACTACTAGTTATAACTTATAGTTAAGCTAATAGTATCTAACTAAGATATAATAATAGGTGCCTTATTAGGGATAGTTTAAAAGAGTCATTTTTATTGCTTCAACCTCAACGTTGATGTTGAAAATTGACTAAACAGTTACATATTACAAACCTAAACATTAATAATTGCGAGTCATGTATACAATCCAGTGCTTGTTTAAACCCCTAGAATGGTTTATTTTCCTCCATCAGAAACGTGTTCTAAGCCCCATTCATCCTTATATCGCATCAACCTCTTCTCCGCAAATGCGGCTTCCGCATATAATCCAATTTCGTCCAATAGGTCGACCACGTCATATGGACCTTCACGGGACGCAGCGCGTTCTAGGTTATGGAGTACGGAAAGGTAGTCCTCTACCGGTGCGTGAATGGCAAAATTCGTGAGACCTACGCAGATTCTAGCCCATACTTCTGCCCATTGACCAGACATAGTGCCCGTGGCTTCTCGAAACTCGATCGTCGGCGCGACCTTGCCAGGATCTATGAGGTTGTAACATTTATACCTGAAAAGGTTATAATTGGATCTTTCCTCGGTTTCCAGCAGAAACAGTATCATGCACGAGCTGTTGCAGGCAAATATTTCACTAACGCCGGCGAAGACGCCAATGTCAGTTTTAGCCTTTTCATCGAGGTCTATGAGCCTGTGTTTAACATCGGGTAGGGGTTTGCCGCTTACAAACCGTTGAGTGAAACGCTTGTGTATTGGTGAATACGGGGTATTGGGGTGTTTAACTTTGGGATCATTGGTTGTTTTCATTACCTTCTCAATACGAGTCTGAGTTTCCGATCTGTGAAGTTTTGGGGCTGGCTCTGTCTCGATAGATGTTAATATACCTACCGGGAGGCCCATGGTATCCTTACAGAAAAATGGCTGGAAACAATCCGGCTTCCGAGTTTCTTCAAAGGCCTCCACGTGCTCCTCAAGCTGATACTTTATTCTCCAGGATATAGGGTGCTCTCCGTGCCTCATGCCGCGTCCGATATATAGTTCACAATTCCTTTCTTCCTGGTGGATAGACTCGTGCATTATGTCCGGTATCTTATTTCCTCGAGCAAGAGGACTTCGATCGCGAATGCTTTGTGAGTAGAAGTTTACCCTCCTTTGCGGTGGATGCAGCAGAGCAATAATGGGGTCAACAGCCCAGAATAGCGAAGCAACTCGCTTTACGTGCTCCAAAGGCATATGTTCTTTCCCATCACCGACGTGAACATGAAACCCACAGGAACCATTAACAACCGTACGATACGTAGACCTAATTAGATCCACGGCATAACGGATTGCGCTGAATGCCACAGGCAAAGCAGCCTCTGCGGGAGATGTCATTTCGATACCAGACCACTTAATATCCCCCTCTAGATTAATGCTTGTATCTAGCTTAACCTTCCAAACATAATATTCGTGCCTAGAATTGTGGGTTGGCGATCGTTGAGCCGGTAGACCATGATTAATTAGAACATCGTAAATCCGATCATAAACCATCCTATCTATTGTTAATTTGGAAACGCCAGACTCGCGAAGATTTTTTGGGAGCTTAAGAATAGGAGGCAAATCGCTTGCTATGTCTTGATGAGGGTCCGGTTCATCGTCCCATATCCATACAATTATAAACTCTAACTCGACACCGAAAGTGCGAGCTTGGGCACGAGGCCACCGCCCGCTTGCCGACATGGCGATTATCTTCTCTGTCCTTGGAGTTGCCAAATTTGAGTTATGGAAAGCTACCTTGTATTTAAAGGTAGATAGTAGGATATAAGTTCAATTCTATATCTTTCGAGCTGATGACAGAGTCATTGTACGCTTGTAGTGGCGGCTCAATGACAATGGGTATTGTTTAAAGACTCAACTGGGAATAGAATTGAACGACGTGAATAAGCAACAACACTAGGCACATGTCAACCCCTCAGGTGCATATTATGCAGCTTAGGCTCTTATTTATAAGGTAGGTAGTCAACCGGGCTTACACAAGGGCCATTCCAGTATAAAGAAAATTAGGTACCCTCAGTATCAAACCATATAATCCTTTATGTTCATCTGCCAACGTATGCTTTATACCTAATGAAAATGGCAGGGCCCCCCCTTGCTCCTTTGGCTATATACTAGGAAGTGGTGATAATTCGGCAACGACAAGTTCATAGTTTCATACTTAGGGCGCCTAATAATAATTCTAGGGTGCTGTTTCAAGTTATTTACAACATCTAAGATATATACCCGGGTAATATGTAATCACTACCTTTCTATACATTTGTCGTATTTACTATTGTCTTAGAAATTGTTCTTCTGAGATGACGAAGCATGAAAATGTCTTTTGATACTATAGTGCCAAAGGTATAGATGCCCCCGCTATACTATATCGTAAAAAGGGTAATGTTACGTCTTGATGAATGTATTAACGCCTACTAATATCTTAAGTTTGAACGCGTTCGTCTCTTCTTACACCTGTTTTCTAATTGCCCGATACTAAGCGATCTTCTATAGCCATCTCCCCGCAATTATAATCCCGTTTCCCGACAGAAGGTAAGGGGCATAGTTCAAAGATTCCTGACCTTCTATAACCTGACGCCTAACAATCCTAAATAAAGATAAATTGGTAGTCAAATACTTACTGGAGACGTTGGGGGTGGTTTTGTAGGAATGTAGCAAGGTTGATATTGAACCTTATCATGCATTCGACGTTGTGATGCAAAATTCTACAAGAGAGCTGATGTATAATAAGAACCATACGTAACTGAAGGCCTAAAACATTTGCAGGAGGTACCTAGGTACCTATCTAGTGGTGAGATACTGTTTACGAACAACCTATATCGTTGAGGAACAATCACCTACTTTTCGAACATTAGCTACCTATTATGCAACATCATGGATTTATCGATGAGTTAGTTTGCTCCCAAGTAATGTTGTTCCACTACAACAACCACGCTTCTACTGTTACTTAACAGTTCAGCTGTATCTACTTAAGCTGAACACCTATATAATCACCTCCATCGCCAATCTTTTCATCGATGAGTACAAGTCAAAAAACCATATACCTATCACTTATCCTGTTCTGTATTTTACAATATCTACCTGACTATTTCTAAAACAAACACGAATTCCAAATCGAGCATCATGGCTGACCAAGGTTCTTTGGTCCCCCCGCTGGGAAAGCTCATTGTCGGCAATGAAAACCAGATTCTACTTGTCAATTTCAACGGCGCCGAGTTCTCTATAGCTGCCAGATGTATAATCCCGAAATGGTTGCCCAGTTCAATATTATTCAAAGAGCCTAACTTGCTTTACGCTGTAAATGAGATAGGTATGGAAACTAGCATGTTGAGGCTGGTACCTAACACTCCGGCCAACGGTCCTCCTGTTGCACCTGACGCTATAGGTTTCGACAAGCTTTCGTTCGTTAACAATGCCCAGGGCTCACTTGGGGGCAACCACATCGCGTTCAACGCCGACAAGACTCGCATTGTTGAGACTTGCTACTCAAGCGGCAGAATCGATGTCTGGGACATCTCAGGAGAGAGCAACCTCCCTGTTTTAAAAAAGAGTATCCGGACTAGAACTGAAAATGGCTACCAGTGGCCGCGTCAACGTAGACCAGGGCCACGTCAAGCCATACTCGACCCGACTGGACGCTTTTTTATTATATCGAATCCTGGTACCAGTTCGTTACACGTCATGGACACCCTGAATGACAGGTACGAGATCACGGGCATTACCGCCGTACCCAACACAATCTCACCGGAGAGTATGGCTTGTATCACACATGGAGGAACGCACTACTTGGTGGTGGCAGGGGGCCTCTCTACTGCAATCGCCTTAATGAAAATGGAGTACACCGATGCTATAATCCGGTTCACCACGGTCCACTGGGGACACGCCGGTAGGAGATGGGACCGAGGTGAGATAATCATGTCGGCGTTCACAGGACTCGAAGTCGCCAAAAACCAGCGTGACGTTTACCTCTGGAATCGATTCCCAGGCGAGAACTCAGGCCACATCGCACACTTTAGACTCACCGAAGACGGGGGCGTGGTAGGGCTTACTTATGTCCACAACATACCAACCCGCGACATACAGCCGCGCATGGTCAGTCTAAGTGGAGATGACAACCAAGAGTTTGTATTCGTGGCCAACGAGTATGGGGAATCGGGTCTCGTCGCATTCAGGCGAGACCCGACGACGGGTAGGCTGGACCCGAACCCCGCCGCGACGTTTCCAAATGAGCTTCTTGCTCCCTACGGAGCTTCACCGCATGTGCTGAGAGGCGTTCAGTTTGTTCGTGAGCTTTAGTTTAAATATAAGTAGTTTTGCAAGATAGACCAACCAAAGGGGAAGAATGCTGGATAGTTACCTAACCTACCCTGGGTAAAGTAGTTTCTGGGATTGTGTTATTCATGATAAAAGGGGATTGCCCTTTAGTTATGAAAATACCACCCTTTTGTTGCGCAATATAAAGTAATTGTTCTATTAATTAGGTGCCTACCTAAGCAATAGTTTAACATAGACCTCACTAATTCTTATTGTTTTATGAAACTATTTTCCTTTCCTTTATTTTCTATTTTATTTATCGTCCATGATGTTTCAAAGTTACCGTCGGATCGACGAGTATGCAGCCAAAATGTACCTAGGTACCTATATTATTAAGTGTTTGTTATATGTACATATATGCCATAGCTACCTAACATCATGTAAGTGCCTAAACTAATGTAATGTTACCCTACGTTAATGTATGGGCCTATAGGAATCATAGCGGAGGTGGGTATCGATACTACGTAAAGAACATTCTTGAAAGGTGATTCCGAATCCCTCAATAATGTTCATGTGATCGGCCAAAGCATGCAAATATATAAGGAACATTGCGCAGTCCAGGTTCTTTCAAGTATTGCTAGCGTTTGACGTTTAAGTTAAGTTGCCAGCTGGCAGTCCGTGCATGACTACTAGCGTTTGCACCTGCCCAGCTGCCCCACCTTCCATCTCCTGTATGTATCAATGTAAGTTTATTCTTTCAAGTTTATTCTTTCACTAGAAAAAGCTGGAATTTGTTTTTATTTCTTTTTGTCCACCGTACCTAGGTAAACTTAGCAAAAATGCCTCTCGGATGGTACCTCGCTCAGGGTTTGTACCCAATTGGTCCATCCAGCAGCGATGATGAGGAGGGCCCCTGCGAGTTGCCCAATGGCCAAATCGTTTGCGGTCCACATGGCCTTGTCGTTTGTGGAAAATGCTGCACAGATTACAGCTTCATGAGTAGTTCTTCGGATAAAGATGATTATGACGATGACGATGATAGCCCTATGAACAATCCCCCGATTAACAAGGACGGCGATCCTGGTGCACCACATTCCTTAGGCCCGGAGATGAGAATAGGTGGTGGCCGTGTCATCCCTGAGAGGTTCACTCCACCGACGACTTCAATCATGCCAACGGAGCTGTTTCGCGGCCAGAAAACTTATTTTGGATTGACCAGGTAAGAGCAACGTAGGGAAAATTATATCTGCCTCGGAATGAACTGTCTCCAAGGACAGGCTCGCTGATATGCATTGTTAGATACATCCACCGCGATGACCCCCAAGCGGTTCTCATCTTCACTGACGGCGCTTGCTTGAATAATGGCCAGCCAAACCCCAAAGCCGGCTGGGCGATCGTCTATGGACCGGGACCCTTAATCGTATCTGGCAGGCTAGAACGCACGGGACCTTTTGGTGACGAGAGCATTCAGAGCAGCAACAGGGCCGAACTTCGCGCTGTTATTGCAGCTTTGCGCTTCCGACACTGGCCCGGTGAAGGCTTTACTACTATGGTCATCGCCACTGACTCGGAGTATGTAGTTGAGGGATCTACAAAGTGGGTGAGAACATGGACTAGAAATGATTGGAAGACGAACGCAGGTGCGGACGTCAAGAATAAAGACCTATGGGAAATACTTCTAGGCGAATTTGAGAGATGGATGGAGAAAGGTCTCTCCATCAAATTTTGGAGAATCCCAAGAGATTGGAACAATACCGCGGATGCGGCTGCGAAGTGGGCTGCCTCAGAAAATGAGGTGCCTAACCGGTGGAAGGATGTGATACTTGTGCTGTCTTGATTTATACGAGTAGCGCTTTATCGGGAGGAGGTCTCGGTTATCGGCCTGGAGGTTACATCCGACCCCGCCGAAGCTCAGGTATACATAGGTAGATGACCTCAAGGTGGTCGTTATCTTATGATTAGCCTTTTGATTACCATACCTACCTAGGTACCTAACCCACTGGTGTCACCAACGATTAACGTGTTAAGAATGTCGTGAAATAGTGGAATAGTGTCAAACGTAAGAAATTCAACAATATTGAGAGTTTAACATGGCTTCCCTCAATTACGGCACAACGGCCCCGCCTCAGCAAAGGCATAAACTCTCCGAATTAGAAGACTACCCACGATGGAATGCTGAATTAATCGAGGCCTTACGCGCGAGAGATCTACTTCCCTTCGTCACCGCGAGTATTTTAGCACCCGCTGGCGATAATGATTCCCCAGAGTATCTGCGATGGCGCAAGAACCGTCTCACTGTCTTGCTTATGATGAAGCGTTCGCTATCGGCAGATATGAAATGCAAACTTTCTAATGCCGGATGGGATTTCGGACATAGCAGAGACCCTAAGAAGATGTATGATTTAATTCGTAAGGTTGCTCAAAATGGACAAGGCGGCGAGAGCGACACGGCTTCCAAGCCTCCGTCGCCACTAGAGTCAAATGCTGTAGTAGACGATCTTACCAAGGAAATAGAGTTGATAGAGCAGGAAGATGGCGAGGAGGACTGGACTGCCGTCGAAGTACCGTCTAAAGAGCCACCTCCCGAGTCAATTCAGGATCGCGTCGTACGTGTATGGAACGACCTACGGGACTTAACAGCTTATTATGATATCGATGGCTCTGCATCACGGAATGCGCGGCTAGAAGTATTTTACCAAGATGAACTCGCAGACCTCGAGAGACAGCCTTTCGACTCCTACTCTTCACAGGATGATAGGGTCGACCATCTGCTGCTTCGGAACTACATACGGCGCGCACAACGCACACTTGAGCTTGACAAGGCTCGAGATGCCAAGTTTACAGCCTTCATTGAACCGTTTGCTACGCCTATTACGGCATGGTGCGAACAACGCCGGCGTGTCGAGCCAATTGATCCTAAGGCCCTTGCTGATAGCCTTACCGCGACGGAGAAGCTTGTATTCAAGGCTCGAGATCACGTCAATCACAATGCTGGCAAGTACTCGAAGGCTACTGGACATCGTGCCACCCGTAGGGTTGCAGCTCTGCGGAAAAAGCTCGCGGAGACATACTCCTTCTACAAAGATTACGATCCCCTATTCGACTGGTGGGTCACGGAGCCTTATAAACGCCTTGATGCGGCTCTTGGTAGCACTGTAGCTCTCCTACGCGAGGTTCTGGTAGGCGTAAAGCCCGGTGATGAAGAGACCATCGTTGGAGAGCCCATTGGACGCGACGGCCTTCTGAGCGACCTCGAAGCTGAGATGATTCCATATACACCCGAAGAACTTTTACGTATCGCAGAGAAGGAATATGCATGGTGCGAAGCGGAGATGATCAAGGCATCGCAGCAACTCAACTTCGGAACGCACTGGCGCAGCGCTCTCGAGCACGTCAAGAACTTGTACGAACCACCGGGAGCATACCCAGCTTTCATCCGGTCGCTCATCAACGAGGGTGCCGCGTACGTCAAAAAGCACGATCTTGTAACAGTACCGCGCATCGCCGAGGAGGCTATCCGCATGACTATGATTGAAGCAGAGCGGCAGAAGGTGTCGCCGTTCTTCCTCGGTGGCCCGACTATGCAAATGTCTTATCCGACGCGGGATATGGCACACGAGGCCAAGCTCATGTCGTTGCGCGGTAACAACCGGCACTTTGGGCGAGCGACAGCCTTTCACGAGATGATTCCAGGTCATCACTTGCAGATCTTCATGGGAGAGCGGCACCATCACTACCGCCGCGCGCTTTTTGACACGCCCTTCTTCGTCGAGGGATGGGCGCTTTATTGGGAGATGGTACTCTGGGAGCGAGGCGATTTCTTCGTAAGCGCGGAGGATAAGATTGGCTCGCTGTTCTGGCGTATGCACCGGTGCGCGCGGATCCTGTTTTCTGTGCGTTTCCACCTAGGTCAATTAGACGCACGGCAGTGTGTTGATCTCCTCGTCAACAAGGTGGGCCACGAGCGCGCAACGGCTGAAGGCGAGGTCCGACGTAGTCTTGGCGGCGATTATTCGCCTCTATACCAAGCCGGCTATATGCTTGGAGCTCTGCAACTGATGCGTCTACGAAAGGAGGCCTTGGGAGATGGGCACGGGAAGATGCGCGAGAAAGGGTTCCACGACAGGGTCTTACGTGCCAATGTCATGCCCATTGAGATGCTGAGAGCGTTAGTTCTAGACAAGGAGCTCAAGAAAGACTTCAAGTCGGAGTGGAGGTTCTATGAAGATAAGCTATAACGGGATAGCGGGAAGCATCTTCAACTGGGGTGCACGCTGGCGTGTTTGCTATTTCTATCGCTAGTGGTGTGGCGTTCTGTTTATGGGTTATGACTTTACGTGTATGCAATATCGAACATGCGGCATAACCGCGTCTGCTAACTCCCGTCATCAAGGCGGTGCGTAGACCCATTTACTCTTCCGGGTTCTGCTTGCCCCGACCGCCTCCCGTGTTATAAAAGCCCGCCCTCCCTATTTTTCCAGAAGGGGGGGGAGCATTCCCCGCGGTCCCAGCACTTCCGTAGCTTGGTTCCCTAGTTCAGAATAGACATTCTTCGAGCCTCCTATTCAGCGTTACGCTCATAGTTGCGGCCCATCACAAATAGGGACGCAGGCTGCGGGCTGAAAAATACGAATCCGGGTCGCCAAAACAAAGAATTTGTGTGGACGTTGCAGAAATTGTGTTGCCTGCGTTGCGGCGGCGTCCGAAACGGCCTTCCCAGTTCCAACATGATACCATTATTCCCGAGTTAGTTTATTTTCGTGGAATTCACTGCAGCCCGTACCATGAGTATAGCGGCGTCAATCGTGTCTCATCCTGGGCGGCATGATTAAAGATGTCCCCATCTCGTTCGGCCCACATCCGCCGCACCGCTTCCCATGTAAACCGGTTCCCGTCGACCCCGACTTCCCTGAGAGAGGCATGCTGCAGCACGCTTTCTACCCAAGCATGGCAAGCTCTCTCGCGCTCCTCCGTGAGCATGGCTGATACCTGTCGCAGGCTCGGAATAGCGGCCTCCTCTTCGGCCTGCAGGTCGAACAGGAAGCGCATCGCCACGCCAATCTTTACCCGCACAACGCCGAGCTCTTTGGCCAGCTTCCTCTCTTCCAAACCCAGTGGGATCGTCTTCCCTTCCCTAATCAGCCTCTCGAACGAAACGGGCCGGCTAAGATGTGCATCGTCCCCAGTCCGCACCATCAGCACGCTACACTCGGGCATCAGCCGCTCCAGCCATGCAGCGACTTTCCATTGCTGGTTGTGGCCCCTGATCTCCGGAACTGGCTGTACCGGACACTCCACGGGCAACACGTGCTCGTCGGCCACAAGGACCACGGCGCGGAACAAATGGCGCGAGGACAAGCCGTGCTCGCACCACGTCTGTGCCGTCCCAACCGGCGGTGGGAAAGCACCACTGGCAGTGTCCTCGCATCGCAGACGCACGACCTCGCTCCCGAGACGCGCCGCCGTCGCGTCGCATAGCCGGCGGTGGGCAGCCACGAGGCCGGGGATGCTCCAGCTCGTGGCCTCACTCTCGGGCACGCGCAGCGCCTTGGCGAAGAAGTGCTGCCGCTGGAGGTTTGGTCGCCCGCCATGCAGCGCATGCCATGTACGGTAAATGTAACAGCCCAGCCGGCGGTCCGTGTAGCCGTGGCGGTGGCCAGCACTGTTGGGCTTGGAACCGCCGCCCACGAAGTACACGGCTGTCTGCTTGTTCGCGTAGTCGCAAATGTCGGGGAACCAGTGCATGGTGTCACTGTCTTGATGCTGGGGCGCCAGCGCCATTTGGAGATTGCGCGCCCAGCCTGTCTGGAACGTCGGGTCCCAGCGCAGCGAAGCGGATGCTTCTTCGTGGAAAATGGCTCCGAGGTGGCCCCGGACTAATACTAGCTCTTCGGGGGTGAGGGGGGCAGATGCAACACGGACGGCATATTTCTGGTTGAAGTCCATGTCGTCCATGTGTTCCGGGCCTGGATACGAGTCCCGGGGTAGCATGTACGGTGAGAACGGAGAGTTGCTGTCGATTATTATATCCTGTGTCTTGGATGTGGTTTGCAGCTCGTGAGAATCCATCGTGCTTCAGTGATGCGCTGCGCTGTGTAGTTGCAATGCGGTAGTGGTGGGTGATAACAATGACATGCCCGAGTTCACGAGGGGTATTGTGCTACCTACCTAGGTAATTTTCTCCCACGGGGGTTTAATCTCATTGCTCATTTTTGAAGCGGTTCTGAGCGGTTCTAAGCTCGGGTTTGCCTTAAAGTTTATTTAGGGTTTTTATTTTGCTTTTTTTTTTCTTTAGGAAAAGCAGCTTTATGAAACTACCTTGCCCAAGTTCACGAGGGATATTATGCCGCTTAAATTCTCACAAAAGTTTAATCATATCACCAAAGTTTGAAGCAGTTTCAAGGCTTTTTAAATTCGGACTTACTAAAACAAGGAATTTGTTGCATATATCAAGTTATGACATTTTATGACATAACGAGATACCTTTTGGTCTCCCAAAGGGTGAAGTCGGTCTCATAAATTCTCACCTTTCGCACATGGACGAGGATTTCTGGAGCACTAAGAATGGGGCTCATCCTTTGAAATCGTTCTGGGCTGATATATTCCTAACCAACCCTACGGACCCTTCGAGTGGCCCAAGGAAAGTGACAATCCATAATCCATCGTCGGAAATCTCTGAGTGAGGAAACCACTCAGGAGTCTGGAACGCAAGAGTTCGATATCGAAGTTCTAACTGAGAAATTTGAATTTAACTCCCGATCGTTCGGGTTTGGCACGTAAATGCCGAAGCATGCTATAGTATTACGGATGAAACGAAAGGATTAAAGGAATCAAGATGTCAGTAGAAATACTATGGGGGTATGATGGAATGAAACATATTGCGAAATTAGGTGTTAACGAGCTACACATTGCATATTTCGTACACCATTAGGTTTTAACAAATATTAACTACCTGTGAAACGAAAAGAATGGTTACACATTCGAAACGGAGGTTTGAATTATATATTCAATAGAAATATATAAATTTATTTATTTCAAAAATGAGAGTTTAAAAACTTCGATATGGTTATTATTAGTATACGAGATTGTCAGAGTCTGACCGCTTGGGTCGAGATAGGGGTGCGCGACACCGGCATACGTTAGGCCATCGTCCATCGGCGTTGCTGTGAATACTTTGACATCAGGAGTCCACGGGCCTTGAAGCGACGTTGCGGTACGTAGGAGCACGTCGGAACCACCGGGACCTGCGATCGATATTAGTTGGCTTATAAGAGCTTTGCGAACCCCCTTTTGACTATAGTGATCCGGAGCTAGGGGCCACAACACCCGAACGGAGTGATAATTAGGGGCTTGGAAGAAAGATAACATGCCTCGCCCGAAAAGAAAAGAAAGTTACTGACTTAGATGCGCGAAAATATAGCATTCGTAGAACTCGCTCCACACAATCTGCCCCTGGCCAATGAGCCACGCGACCGCCGTCCGAGCACCGAACTCCGTCAATAGTTTCCCCGTCTTCCATCCGGAGTTTGGGCCCCACCAGTACTCGTACCGGTCCAAGTCGTATGCATCGGCGGCTTTAACACGTAGTAGGCACACGTACTGCGCGTCGGTAGAATCCGCGACAGATGTTGGCGCCCCACCCCATGCGCACACGTACTCGGATCGTGGGTCCCGGAACGCAGCTACGTCGCCGTATCGGGGCGTGTTGTCTGATGGCCACCAGTACCCGTTGTCCCCGAAGGCGTTGGGTCACGGTTGGTTCTCCGTTTACGAGCTCCACCTTTGCGACACCAGCGCCCTTCAGACCGGCGTCGTTAGCGTTCTACATGGAGGGAGTTAGTCTAATATGCCGGTGGGAACTGGGTTGGCGTTTATTCGGCTCGTTTCGTACAACAAGATAGAAAACTACCACCCGCTCCGTCGGCGGTCTCAAATAAGCTCGTTCCGCCGAAACCGTACGTGTTTTCCTCGCAAGCTGTGTTGAACAATATTGAGAATTAAACACAGGAAGTATAAGTTAATGCTTGATTGTAATTAAGACTAAATAATAATATAATCGATCATATCTGCTCCTTTTGATTACAAAAACCACGCCATTGCAAGAATAACATGCATGTTATTTCACTAGCGGTCGGAGGTTAGTCTTGTGTAAGCCATCACTGAGAATAGGTATTTATTGGACTTGTCGGTTGAATTGACGTCGATTTTAGCAGTTTAGTATGAGAAGTCTAAGATATATGCCCCCACCTCTTCAATGGGTGGTCCGCTTATGCGGGGAGTAACTGTGGGTTAAATGCTGATGAAAAGTACCTGCTTCTAGCGGTTAAATAACCGGGTTTAATGCTCCTATACCGGTATGAAACATCTTATGAAGATTGGTCTTTTATCGTATTCTATCCCGAGTTTCGGCCTCCTCAGCTGTTCTTAGAACAACAGAAACGTTTAATTGAAGTTTGTGCTGGATGAGCTGTAGGAAGAGTAGTAGACAAATAAAAATGGAATATAAACGCCAACCCGAACGAAATGCGACACAGGTCAAGCCACGTCTAATTATTCACGGCGGCGCAGGTAATATTACGCCTGAGACTTTAGGTCCGGAGAAATATAAACAATATAGACATGCGCTTCTCACTATCGTAGGTACCTAAATTATCTATTTATTTGTCGAGGAGAAAGAAAAGCTAAGACGCATATAATAGGTCTCCAAGGTGGATGCTTATATACGCACTCCCGCGCCGCTGAGCAGAAATGGCTCTTCTGAACTTGAGTTTCCTTCCGCTCTCGATATCGCCACATACGCCGTGACGCTCCTCGAGAATAACCCGTTATTCAACTCGGGCCATGGCGCCGTATTCACGCGCGATGGCATCAACGAATTGGAAGCCTCCGTCATGGTATCGCGGGGTTATGCCAAACGTGGCGTCGGGGTGACCGGCCTGCGCAGGGTGAAGAACCCGATCTTACTAGCGAAGGCAATGCTGGAGCACGGAGACAAAGACCTAAGTAGAAAGAATGAGTTGGGATTGGCGCAACCGGACGTATTAACAGAATCTAATGGTCTAGAGACGGTTGATCTTGATGTGCCGTCGGCGCAAGCCCACACGCTTATCCACGGGGAAACAGCTGAGACACTGGCCAAGATATACGGTCTTGAACTAGTCGACCAAAAATACTTCTTCACTCAGCACCGCTGGGATGAGCATATACGGGCACTGGAAAAGGAGAAAGCGGGAAAGGGTCTGGCGACTTGGAGCGCCGAGGAATATCTACCCCAAGGCACATGCGGCGCAGTCGCGTTAGATGCGGACGGCGTCGTATGCGTGGCTACTAGTACGGGAGGGTTAACGAATAAACTTACCGGGCGCATCGGTGATACACCTGTCGTCGGCGCTGGCTTCTGGGCGGAAGAATGGGTCGAGACGGGCGAACCAAGTGGGACGAACACTTCGAGAAGTATAAAAAGATATTTACCTGGCTTGCCAGGTCCAGTTGTAGATCTATCGGTGAACCTACGAAACCTAGTCGCTGACTGTCTACCAACCCCCCTCGTATACTCTCCCGTTGCCCAAACGACTTCCAGTGGCGGTTACGATCACTTACAAACGACACGCTCCATCGCTCTATCGGGTACCGGGAATGGCGACTCCTTTCTACGAGTAGCCGCTGCGAGAACGGTCGGCTCAATCGCGCGATGGGCGAAGGCACCAGCAGCCAATGCCTTGTATCGCGTTGCCGGAAGAGGCGGAGAGCTACAGAGGAGCGCTGGAGACCGTTGGGGCCAAACGGGGGAAGGGGAGGGCGGTATGATCGGTATAGAGAGCATAGTGTCGCGCGATGCATCGGGTCGTGTCGTTAGCACCTCTGCCAATATACTGCAGGATCATAATTGCGGAGGGATGTTTCGAGCGTGGATTGACGATGATGGAAAAGCGGTAATGAGGATTTTTCACCCTGACAGAGCAGACGACTCTCTAAGCTCAACAACCATAATCGGAGAGGGAAAACCCGAGGACGTTTGGCGCTGGACTGCTGATAAAGTATAAGATATAGATTCACTAGACTGGACTGGTTAGCTATAGATACCAACGCAAGATTTGGACACAGATAATCTAAAAGTAACTGTGTTCGTCAACATTAGGTAGTGTATTTTGGATGTAGGTGTCCGCTGGGCAGGGACACGGCTTATGGAGGACTATCGACAGCCAGTCCCGCCTCAACACAGCGGCAATATCCTCTTATTTTACATGTCATTCATCGCCTGACCATCCGTATTGGTTATGCAAAGACCGCCTAAACCCGATATAAATACACGAAACCGATTCGATAATAGATCGGAAAGGAGCAGAGTGGGAATATTTTTTGTTCGTCGCATTCGTTTTAAGGGAATCTACGCAAAAGCCTTCTCCGCTTCTGGCGGTGGTGGAGGCGCCTGGGCAAGTGTTAGTTGGTTCATCATAGCGCGGGAGTAGTAGGCTTAGCGATCATGAAACCTACCTCTAATTTCGTCGAGCTCGCAAGCATTCTTTGGAACCCTATACCAACACCTTCGATGACGGCAAGGAGTACGGCGCAACCGATAGCGCCGTTTCGCGCCGCCTTGTATCCTCCTCGGATAGCTAGAGCACCACCGGTGAAGAAGCCAGCAACTAATAATGTTGTCAGTGTGTAGTTCCTAGGGAGATACTTAGACAACCTACTGATTGCATTGTAAGGATCCTCCTTTTTCCGTATTCCCTTAACCGCGCAGTCGAACGTCGAGAATAAACCGCCCCATACACCTATTCCGTAGGTAAGCTTCGTCGAGATTGCCAATGACTTCTAGTGTCTAGTGCCTACCAAAGTTACCACCTAGTACCGGTGCTCTCGCCTTAATAGCTGTGATTGCACCTATTCTCCTCTCGCCCATCGGACTGTTTCGGAAACCCTTGATACCGTGCCATATAGTTCCGCCGATTGCCTAATAGAAGACAAACATTAGCTCATGTCCTCAAGATTAACCGGGAGATAGTAGTAAAATAGAACAGGTAACATACACCCATAGCAAATGCACCTCCAAAATCGTTCAAAATGACCCATGGGCAAGGGTCTCGTGTGTGATCCATCTTGAGTGTCTAGTATAGTGGCGGGAAATCTTAGAATTTCGAGGTGGGATGACTAGAATTCTACCGATTGTGGTCGCAAACAATATCTCGAACGACTATTGGAAAGTCTTGCTCGTATGGGACGGAGGGGTAGTACGACGACGTTCGTTTTCGTCAGGGTGGTCGATTTTTGCACGGAGTGTATTGTGAACTCGCAAATAATTCTTGAATCTTGCACATGAAGAATGACCTCGATATAGAAAATTGTTACTTCACTTCACGCACAGACCACATCGGATGCTGAGATAAGTCTTCTTCCGATAAGCGATAAGCGATAAACAATAAGCGACAGCCGCTTTACCGCTACGGCGGCTCGGCCCCTTGTCCTTGTAAGTCTCATCTACTTTGGTTTTTAGCGCAGGCTTGCAATGGCTTCAGCTATTGTTTTAGTCTACTAACTAGTACAACACCTTGCTACGCAAATAAAAAGGAGAAGTTTGTCAAATAACTACTTTGGTATAACTATACCTTAATCATTATGCTTTGTTTGATTATCTATACTTTCTATTCATATAATATTTCCTTCTATCAACACGATAGACAAGATCGATGCCGAGGATTAAAGCCTATTATGCTTGTGCCGGTATCGGAAGCGGATATCACATCCAAATTCCGTACGTTAGGTTAGGTACTTAGATATACTTACAGCGTGGATAACACATCTATAAACATACATTGATAGTAGTATGGTTACAGAAATAAAGCATATAGATAGAGTTACCCAATGTAGAGTTTGTTTCAGCCGTAGTTGGAAATCCGCGCATTACGAGATGACTCGACTCACACCCTGAGATTTTTCCCCCTGGGTCTTCGCCTAAATCTTTTCTTATCGACCCGAGAGCTAAGAGATAAAATAGGAGGTATTTACCAGAGACGTTGTCGCAGATTAGAATATGACGTGTGAACCACGCTAAAATTCATCATTCTTCTTATACACCAATTCAAGAGCTCCCTTGCAACCTAAGGTCTAGCAAACATCAAACATATTGCATGGCTTCTTTGTGCAAGTATATACCTTGTTTGTGTATACCAAGACTGTAGTATGTTTCGTCTTGATAGTCTCTACCTACCCAGACCTCTTATCTACCACATTTATTGATACAACGTTTAGCATTTAAGACAGTTGCTTCAGCTACGTTTATGGAATAACAAAACACGAGATGAAGTCCACTTTATCATATCTCACGTATTGACGGCCGGATATCGCGTCATAGGCACCATAGCCGGGCAATCCTGTCTGACCGATAGGTATGCCTCTCCCCTTAGTGTTAGCCACCAGCCTTTTTATGCAAACTGGCCAATCGATCTTCCGAAAGCCCATAAGAAGAAAATTCCGCACACCGTAATTCGGGAGTTGGGAACATGTCACTTACTTAAAAGGCTCAGGCCCGCTCTCCCTGCCTGCTACGAACGTGTCCTCTTATGCATTCCTTAGTCTTATAAGTCAACACCATAATTGCAGATAACAACCAAAAACTTGTAAGCCATGGCTGTAGGGCTTGGCGAGATGACTGGCGCGTGCCAACGCTGTCAAGCGATCGAGGACGAAGAGACGGAAAAGAAAGATACCAACGAAGCTCTCAAGAAGCTTTATGCCAACAGCGTTAAGACTGCGGCCTGTAAGTTTGACCGAGTTCATCACGATCTCATGTGCAATCAGTTTTCTGTGAAACAGCGCCCTACATCCCACAACATCTACAACTTTCCAATCTGGGGAGACATTCAAGGAGATTGACCAATGGCGCTAGCTTTGGGCAGAAACACGTTACATATCGGGCAAGCTGCCGGGGTCCCAAAAGCTGTTTAAAGCTGTTTAAAGCTGCTTAAAGTTTTACTAAAAAACCCCAGAGTACTAGTGTAGCCCCACCCTAGTATGCTGGAATCTGGGGCGGATGTGCCTGAAATTGTTGAAATCCCCTGAATCGCGTCACTGCAGACGCTAACGTCTAGAAGCTCTCCACATTCAATTATCTTCCTGTCAGTCATCACGCCACACGTCATTTTCAATTCTTTCCAATTTTTACTACTGAATCCCATGATCAATTTTATCTGTCCTTAATTGTTCTATATTTTCAAATCCTTCTTTACAGAAGGGACAATTATATAGCCCTCTATTCATTTTCTCCTTCTCTTAGATACATGTTTCCAGAGCGGCAGTTAATCCGTAAATAGCAGCCATGCCATCTGCAGCCACGACCTCGGCTCCATCTCCAATTCTCGAAATTCCTCCTCATACAACACCCCAACTACACCATAATCTTAAGCACGACAGTTCCGTCCTTGCGCTTGCCGTTGGTAATGACAGTATTTATGCCGGAACACAGAATGGAGAAATCGTCGTATGGCTTCTGGGCACATTCCAGAAGACACATCACGTACAAGCCCATAAGCGTAGCGTTATGTGCCTCTTCCTATCCGATGATGGTTCCCTCCTTTTTTCCAGTGCCAGCGATCCGATCGTAAATGTCTGGTGCCCCCGAACTATGACTCGTCTTTACGAGATATATAGCACCAACGATTCCTTTGGCGACATCTTTTCCGTCTCCTACTCCTCGCAACACGAAACCGTCTACTATGGAGCTCAAAATACTTCCATTCAATGGGTTAGTCTCAAGGATCCTGATAGACGTGTCCCCCACGATTCTCCGAATCATCCCGATCGAAGGAACCACCGATTCTTCGATTCTCGAGCTGTTGGTGGAACAAGCACACCCCGACCTACGGACGAACGGTACGACTTGATACCCCGATCTCAAACTATACTTGAAACGGATAAGCGAGCGAACAAGATGTTCGCGCATTACGGTTACATTTATTGTATGCTCATGACAAAAGGTACAACCACTTACACGGAACCGGATGAGGATGTTTTAATATCGGGCGGTGGAGATGGGACCGTAAAGGTCTGGAAGCTTGGTAGCCACGAAATTGGTCCAGACGGGTATGAGAACGGTATCGAGGAGATCATGGTATTAGGGGAGCAAGATGCTATGTCCGTCATGTCCCTTGCTGTTGATGGCTCATTCCTATATAGTGGGAAGCTAGACGGCATCATCGAGCTATGGGACCTTGATACGAAGCAGAAACTAAGAGCAATCAAAGCCCACGAAGGTGATGTCATGGCTATTAAGATGGGATGGGGTTACTTGTGGAGCGCAAGTCGTGCTGGGACAGCATGCGTAAGTGAATCAGACCAGCTAACTAAGATAACCTCTAACAGCCGAGCAGAAACATAATACTGTCCACTATGGAGAGTATCAGCGCGATTCATCGCAAAACGTCAACCAGAAGTACCAATGCTTGACGCAGTGGAAGGCCCACAATGGCAAAGTGTTGTCTTCTGCTATTACAACCCATGATGGAAAACACATCTACATCACAGGGGCCAACGATAATAACGTCGCCATCTGGATGCTCAAGAACGAAGCGACAGCTGAACAGCCATCGCCTGAAGAGCATGAAGATATGATGATAACTTCGCTACGAGAGTTCGTATCATTCAAGACAGTCTCTTCCAGACCTGAGTATGCGGAAGATTGTCGTCGAGGTGCCAGCTTTCTCCGCACATTGTTCAAGAAACTTGGCGGCGATGTTGACATGTTGAGTGATGAAGATACATTTCACCATCCCGTGGTGCTTGCCAAGTTCAGCGGGAAACTTGAACCGGCTGAGAAGCGAAAGAAGATCCTGTTCTATGGTCACTATGATGTTGTGGCAGCGGAGACCAAAAACGGAAAATGGAGCAACGACCCTTTCCAACTTACGGGAACTAATGGGTACCTATATGGTCGTGGAGTCAGCGATAATAAAGGCCCCATTATGGCTGCCCTCTATGCTGTGACCGACCTTATACAAGCGAAGTCCCTAGATTCCGACGTTGTTTTTCTGATTGAAGGGCAGGAAGAATCTGGGTCCCGTGGCTTCAAAGAAACCGTGCGCAAGTATAAGGATCGCATCGGCAATATCGATTACATCCTTCTAGCTAACAGCTATTGGCTCAACGACGATACTCCATGCCTTACCTACGGCCTGAGGGGCGTTATGCACGCGACTGTTTGTGTTGAATCAAGAAATCCTGACCTGCACTCTGGTGTTGACGGTTCATATATGGTTAATGAGCCGTTATCCGATCTCATGATGCTACTATCGAAGCTCAAGGGCCCACGAAACCATATTATGCTACCTGGATTCTACGACGGCATCCTCCCCCTGACGGCCGATGAAGAAGCTCGGTATGATGACATTTTATCAGTTCTCATGGAACAAGGCCAGAATGGTGTTTCAGCGGAGGCACTCAAGGCTAATCTTATGGCACGGTGGCGCGAGCCAAATCTTACACACCACAAAGTTAAAGTCTCGGGTCCCGATGGCAGCCTGATAAGCAGTCATGCAAACGCCAAGATTAGCGTTCGGCTCGTCCCTGGGCAGGAGGTCGAAGAAGTTACTAACTCTTTAACCTCCTTCTTGGAGGAAGAATTCAGCAATCTGGAGTCGGACAATAAACTCAGTATTCAGATCGACAACCAAGCTGAGCCTTGGCTTGGTGATCCCAATAATTATATCTTCCAGACCCTTGAGGAAGCTCTCATGCAAGCCTGGGCCCCCTTGTTCAACAAAGGTAGCAATGGTATCAGCAATGGAGTAGGTGTGAATGGAAATAGCACCAACAGCAAACCCAAGCTCCGCAAACCTCTGTATATCAGAGAAGGCGGCTCGATCCCAGCCATAAGGTTCCTGGAGAAAGAGTTCAATGCCCCGGCTGCTCATTTACCATGCGGGCAATCTTCTGATTCGGCCCATCTGGATAACGAGAGACTACGAGTGATGAATTTGCTGAAAAGTCGGGAGATCTTCGCCTACGTATTTAGAAAGTTGTAGAGTAGGCGTGCATTTTGGAATGATTCGTGGGGCTGCGGCGTTAAAGGAAAAAATAACTATATCGATTCACTCGTAGCGATGTAATGGTACATATTAGAAGGTCGGACCATAGCGTGGCGTTTGCGGTGCCCTATAGACTATAGAAATACAGATACCCTTGGTGCTAATTCCTTTCGGAGATTCTTAGAAGCACAAGTTCGCGCTCCCTCTAACTCCCTCCCGTCTTCTCTTCTAATCATGGTTGAATGTTTCCTTTAAACATAAGCCCAAAGTTCGGGACCGATATCCTATGCTAATAGCACCTAACTAATTTAACACCTTCATTATCTAGTCTTCCCTCAACGGCGGTGTCCCTGGTTTTGGCCACCACTGCGCGATACTACTGACTCAGTTGGAGGAGCCCGCGCATTCAAAAACTGCCACGGGGGAAATAGCCTTCGCCATCCACGCTGCTGTTGTGGTTCGGGGTGCTGACGAGGTCGCCGGTTGGCATCAGGCAGGTTACGATCATGGCTACGGGTTGAAGATACCGAGATGGGTCGCGGAGGGGTGACGCGATAGGTGTTGGGGTCCCGTAGATTCGCTAAATGCTGGCCGAGATGGAATCCATCTCGGTAGGCGATCTCCATGACGTGGAGGTCTCCTTGATTGGGATTAGGGGGTCGGTACAGGTTATGCGGAGATGTAAAGGCGCTGTGTGGCCCGTATCCCCTAATGTTCGTCTGAGTGCCGCTGTGAATAGATCTTCTCCGTCTCTGGTTGTGAGAGCTAGAGGGTGGCTCGGTGTCCTCTTGTATTTGTCGCCCTGAGGATGAGGCGGGATTACCTTCGGGGGCGGTGTCGTATACCTCGTCACTTAGCTCGCTGACGCGGCTGGTACGTGATCTAGTACCTGAGTGTCGCAATCGTTCCGATGGGTGATCATGATGGCCCCTAGTCCCAACTTCTACTACGTTCGAGGAGACCGATCCTCGCCGAGATTGCCTATTGGTGTCCGAATAATGATCGGAGCCCCCGTTAGGTCGATGTCGAGTAGTAGAGGTACCTCGACTCGATCTACGCGGCCGTTCTGCCTCGCGATTGCGCTCGAGCACTGCAAAACCATCATCGTCGAGGATCTCAACCAAAAGGGAATATCTCTTCCGACGAGGCTCCTCTTCAGCAGGTCTGGGGGAGCGAGAGCTCGATTCTCGGAGAGAAGAAGATGGCATCTCTTGTCCCGATTATATTTCGGCTCCGTGGATGCTATTGTACTAGCCCAAGTTCGAGGTTTAATTTAGGTACTAGGCACGGTAGATCAGGCGAATCACGAACCATTATATACAACCTTATAATACCGGTATTACTGAGAACGTTCTCGATTGCCTAGTCTCTCAAAGACTACCTTTCGAACGCGTTGATCGATCTAGGACCAAAGATCCGCCGTGAATAAAGTCGATCTTTCTTCGTAATAAGACATGCTATTGAAGATTAGCCAATTCTTTATGCATCTCACCATAGTATATGACCCATTATACCGTGCAATGTCTCTCGGGTAAACCCCGTGAGACCCTCATTTTATACAGAAACCAACTATTACTGATGAAATATGTAGAGTAAGACTCAGCTTTCAATGGGAAAATGTAAAATTTCGGGCATTACTTAAAACAATGTCCTGAATTGTCGCATCCCACACCGACATTCACCTACGAAGCTCCTTTTAAATGCACACTAGGTTTTTGCACCAGATATTCTACAATAGCTCTTTATTCTTTCACGTACATATGCGCAGAGGGATACATAAATATGGGTTGATAGGTATGAGAGCTGAGATATGTCAAACGGCTCGAATAGCAAATGGAGGACTCAGAATCTCAACATTCATTATTTTACTACTTTATCACCCAGCTCATATGAATTCTCACGCTATTGGAACATATATAAACTATATGAAGCTAACATAGCCGCACTTCCTAGCCACTTGTTTTTCGCAGTCCTCTTCCATTGGCACACATTGCTGCGCAAAACGCAATAATTGCAAAGACGGTCGATGCGGTAAAGGAGTATCTCAATCCTTCGTAGTAAACCATTCGTGCTTTGAGCTGGATATCTGGGGGCAGCTCACGCAGCGTCTCGGCGGAGTGACGAATTGCGTCGATTATCTATTATTGCTCATTAGTATTCAACTGAGGCTATGTAGAGTTGAAAATGTTGTAACTAAAAAGGGTCGTACTCTCCATTTATCTGGTACATCATTCAATACTTCCGGGAGTCGGATACTGAGTGTTGTTTGTACGATTGCAGAAGTGATTGATACGCCCCAAACTGTACCAAGTGATCGAATGAGGTAAACAGTAGACGCGGATACGGCATGATCTAGGAGGAGTTAAGTATATGATCACAAAGGCTTTGCCTCGAAGCAACTTACCTGCATGCTCGAATGTAGCTAGTGACGTGAAGAGAATACCGGGGTATATGATACCTTGACCTAGATTCGCAGGAAATATGTAAATGAAGTACTTCCAATTGGAATCTACAAAGCTTAGTGAGGTTACTAAACCGTTCCCAATAGCCATCAATATCGCACCAATGCGAACGAGGGTGATTAGCTTTCCCCATCGAGACATGACAATACCCGCGATGAGACCTCCTATAGGAGTTGCTAACGATGGGATAGCGAGTCTCGCCCCTGCAGTCGTAGCCGAATCGAGAAGTACGATCTGAAAGAATAAGGGGAGTAGGAAAAGATACTACAGGAAAAGGTTAATTTCAAAGACATGTAAAAATTGGTTAAGACAACCTACCGCATAAGCAGAGAGCCCGGCGCAGACATTGGACAGTTGTATAAAGATAGGTAAACGGCCCCTTAACATGCGTAGGGGTATGACTGGAATTGCTGTGGTCTTACCCTCGACCCAGAAGAAAATGCCGAAGAGTACGATGCTTCCGACTAGGGATATTATTACCCATGGGCTACTCCATGGTAACTCATTTCCGCCTAAGCTTAGCCCAACAAGCTGGACGGAGATTGCTAGAACTAGAAGAAAAGATCCTAGGAAGTCGACTCTACGCCACGTTTCCTTCAAGCTTGAACCGCTACTGAAGCTGATCTGCTGGTTCTTAATGACCACGTAACCGAGAATAAGTGCTACGATAGATATCGGAACTTGCTGTCTACTATTAGTTGAGTAACATAGGATAAAAAAAAATACACTCACTAAGATAAAGCACCAGCGCCATCCGATGGTATCAGCTATCGAACCGCCGAAGGATGCGCCGCATATTGCACCGAAGCCAAATATGCCGTTTTGCATGGCTTGGTACATTCCACGTCGACGGAAGGGAATCATATCGGAGTTCACGATAGTAGCTATTACTCATTAGAAAAGACCACCATTCAACTTGTATGAACTTCTTACCCATAGTCATGAGGCCCCCACCACCGAAGCCCGCCAGAGCTCTCATACAGTCGAGCAAGACGATGTCATTTGCAAGACCACATCCTAGGCAGCCAACAGCAAATGTGATAGTAGAAATGAAAAAGCAAATGCGGCGACCGAAAATATCGGATACACGACCATATAGGGGCTGGAAGGCCGTGCTTGTAATGAGATACGACGTGGTGAGCCAGGATGCGGTATTGGTGGCATCGAACTCGGAGCTGATCACGGCGTATGTAGCCGCAGTGATAGTGCCATCAAACCCGTAAAGGAAGACATTGGACATGATCGCCATCTCAATCCAGACGAAGTAAGGAGGAGCCTTCCAATCATCCTTGCTTGGTGGGGTCGAGCCTATCAGGGGTTGGCGTTCTCCGGACTCTGGATCGTGAGAGGCGGCATTGAGCGGTTCAATGGCATCTTGCTCACTCAAATTCGCCTGTATGGTGCCGCGCCGATCAACTGCGCTATCTAGTATCGCGGGTGGTTCGTGAGAAATAGTCATCTTAGTATGATTCGATGAGAGGAACCACTGGAAGCTGCAAAGACTCAGTTAAAGGGGTTCTCAACAGCATTAAAGGGGTGCGAAGGACTATCGCATACGGTTTTGCAATGTGCCCTACAATTGGCATATACTGATATTGTGTGAGCCGAACGTAAGACTAATGTAACAGACGTGACCAATGTTTAAGATACCGACTGGGCAAGAAACCGTCCAGGGGGGATGGTAGACAATGCTCCCCGAACTCGGGGTTGCTCTCCGAAGAATGGACCTATGACATATAGACACGGTTCCTTGCATATATACTACTACCTACTAGTTAATGATATGTAGGCTAAAATGATGCCATTGTGGATTCTTTCAGCGCTATTCGACTTAGATCTATACTATCTCTTCAAGTCCTCGGCCGATTTACCTATAGTGCGTCATAATTGCAGAGAGTAAATTTTTCCTTCTTAACGATTCGTTGATTTCACTACTCCTAGTGAGTCACACTCACACCGGTACTTAGTAGTGCTATTATAGTCCGGCAGTGCGTGGTATAAGTTGGAGGCTCATATATGAATATAGACCATGCAGTCTCCTCGAACTCCTGACCTCGACCTACAACCTTTTTGACATTCTACTGCTGTCAGCAATAAAGAATTAAAGATTCTCACCAATTTTCACACAATTATTAGGAGTGGCTATCTAGGGATATTGTATTAAACCAAGGTTAATGTACCCTCCTTTGATATAACGCAATGGAGTCGCTTTCTGACATAGGTAGTACTTACCCCTTTTGCATACCGCCATGAAGCCTACACTCCTGCTAGAAACGGCACTGGTTTTATCGGTCCCAGGTGCGGCAGATTGGCAATTCAAATCTCGCTCAGACCTAGCTCCCCCAAGATTAAATATTACAATTCCAGCAACCGAAGATGTTGAAAAGGGGTACTTGTTCGTCGCCCCTTTTGCTGGCTTTCCGGACACGCCTACAGAGCAGCACGGCCCCAGGCAAGCTGGACCGTATATTTTCCGCGACAACGGAGACTTAGTGTGGTCTGGATACGGGATCTACAGTATTTGGTCAACGAACTTTCAGGCGGGCCGTTGGAGAGGCAAAGATATTCTGTTCAGCTTCGAAGGTGATCATAATCCGGGATATGGTCACGGACACGGCCATATTACCATTATGGATAATCACTACGAGACAATCCGAGAGCTTCGAGCTGGTAACCACAAGCTTGTAGATAAGCACGAGTTTCATATTATCAACGAGGAAACGGGGCTCATCCAGATATATCAGCCTGTTGCTCGCGATTTGACAGCCTGGGGTGGGAGCGCCGAACAACAATGGGTTGTCAATTCCATCATCCAAGGTATGCGCCTTGTATTGAATTAACATGGTAAAGAATACGCATTAATCAAATTCGCAGAACTCGACATCGCAACTGGTAAACTATTATTTGAATGGTCAAGTCTGGACTACGTTTCCCCTGATGGTGCGTCTAACTACACCGTAAATGACTACGCTGGGAAATTTCTTTCTAACCAACCACAGAGGCAATTCTGCCAATCAACCCAGGCCAAGCAGGTTCTGGCTTCAACAGCTCCGATGCCTGGGATTACTTTCACATCAACAGTGTTGACAAAGACTCAGAGGGCAACTATCTCATTTCCGCGCGCGATGCGTGCAGCATCCACAAGATCAATGGCACCGATGGAAGCATCATCTGGAAATTGAATGGAAAAGACAGCTCTTTCAAGGTTCCAAAAGATACCGAGTTTTGCTTTCAACACCATGCCCGATTTATAAGCCAATATGACGATGTTGAAATCATTAGCCTCTATGACAACAGCGCACATGGGACGGAGCACAGTGGAGGATCCGAAGTTCACACGGCTCCAACAAGTAGTGGAAAGATTGTTAAAGTGAACACTACTTCATGGGAGGCCGAATTAGTGCAAGCTTTCTTTCCACCTGATGACTTACTATCTAAGTCTCAGGGCTCTACTCAGACGCTTCCAAACGGAAATGTCCTGGTGAACTGGGGATCTTCGGGCGCTGTGACTGAGTACCTGCCCAATGGCACAGCCATCTTCCATTCTTACATGGACTCTGGGTACCTTGGTCTTGGCGTTGAGAACTACCGTGCTTTTCGGTACAACTGGACTGGTCTTCCCAATGAGGAGCCTGCTATTGTGGCCCTGAGAGGTGAAGAAGGTGTGACCGCCTACGTGAGTTGGAATGGCGACACAGAGACCAGGACGTGGAGGTTCTATGCTGTCGTTGACGAGTTTGGTTCTAGAGAGTTCATCGGCGAGGTGGAGAGAACGAGCTTTGAGACTTCGCTTCGAATTCGCTACGAAAACGTCGCTGCGATCTCTGCTGAGGCTATTGATGCCAATGGCAAGTCACTTCGACACGCCGGGATAGCTCTTGTGGAACAAGAGGTCAAGCCGTTGGGAAAGTTATCTCAACCCCCTATTGCTAAAACGACGGCTCAGAAACCGGTTTCGAATGAGAACAGTCGGTGGGAAGAGTACGGGATTTTGAAGTACATTCGGCTTCGGATTGATGAACTCTAAGCTATACTACACGGAGTGTCACTCTCATCGGAAAAGATATAGATAGATCTCTTAGCTTCCGGATGCAAGTCAAAGAGATATATTCGGACAGTTTCCCTTTCATCTGTCACTCGAAGCTGAAGATAGGTACTCATCGAAGCTAGAGAGAAATGAGGGCGTCGTATTTTAGGGAGGATTCACGCTCGTTTTCGGATTGGTCGCATCCAGTTAATACACACTCGTTTCACAGACCGCGTTGTCCGCGCTTTTGAATGATATTTATGTCTTCATGAAAATATGCCAAGAAATGCAAATACGAAAGGTCTTGAGAATTTACGGAGGATGTGATGTTTATTCAATTTTAGATTCTATCCGATAGAACATACACATTATGATCACTCTTCGTCTTTAATTATCTCGAGTAATTTTTCTCTTAAGCTAGTTGGAATGAGGCCGAATGAATATCGGTGTATTAACTACCAAACGGCCAACCCTTGAGCGGAACCATGCTGCTCAAGATGCGGTGGCATCCAAAGCACTTCCTTCGTAAAAGAAACCTTTCGAAGCGAGGCGAGCCCAATACAGGTTTAATTCAGGCAGAAATTGCTAGGGCTAGTGACAAAGATAGGGCATTGTAATCGTCATGGAACTTCACCCCAGTGTTGCAGGAGCGTGAAAGAAGGGGGATTGTGTGCTGATACGAGATGGCTTTCCAAAGACTCGCGAACCGGTGTGCATTGATAATGCCCTCTGCCAAGAGACACACCGATAACCAGCAAATACATTATCCTTGGGCCAATTATCTTTGAATTATGATCAGCTGTAAAATAAGTTTACCTAATGTAGCTGCACCCGTGGCCTCATTATCAGCTTGGGAATACACGGTCGTATCATCATCCAATACGGCGTAGTAATATAGCTTGGCCCCTGCGATATAGATGCTCTTGAAAAATTCGTATCAACCAAACTGTCGTGAAAGATGAGCTTGGCTTGGCTTGGCTTTACAATTATGCAAAGTCAATTCATTCAGTAAAGACCGTAGATATCGGACTCATAGACGAGGGACGGGCGAAGGACGAAATTCGGCATATCTTTTCGCGGGATATGGTCGTTTCTAGAAAGTTTCTAGAATCTAAGCCTCTCCGCGGAAGAACCAAAAATAGATTTTGACGTTAAGGTTAAATGGGCTTGCTACTACGTTGTAACAGCCCATCCAACCAATCTGCAGCTTATTTGCTGGGCCGATCCACGCTGGCTAGTCTCTGATATATGCCGAGACCATAGCTCAACAGCCTATAGGGCTACGGCCGACGATCATTGCCGTGTGGGGAAGAGCTGTAAACGGATGAGGCGATATTCCAAGTTCCAAGATCACCATACGATGTCCCGACAGTCCCGTGTCACCCGCACAAAGAAAGTCCGGGGTTGTTGAATACGAGCATGAGCCGCACCCTCGCCGTTACATACATACATTCGTTGGCCATTCCGGTAGACAAATCGAGATTCATGGGTCTCTTGATAGATCTCGCGCTGTCCCCGTCATGTGACTATGGAAAGACGAACGAAAGACCCGCTGCGTCAATACGAGCTTCGACCACAGGATCTCTTTGATGGCTGAGTCGAATACGGATGTCCCTTTCAAAAGTTTTTTCCATAGGGAGACCCCTGTCACCCCTGTCAAGCTTTGACCATGCTTGGCAGCAGCTGCTCACCTATTCAGCATACGTATCTAATTTTACTTTACTATTTCAATAGAATATTACCTTTTTAAAATAAATCGTAAAATTTTGTGGAAAGCGATTTTATAAAGGTAAAAGGAAAAACTTTAAATTTATAATTTTTATGATATTTTAATATAATATATGGCTGTAAAACTCAATACTTAACCTTAGGAATAGTAATGTATACATCTTTGAATCATCCGACAGGTGTTGCCAAGCACGGGACAGCTGCCGACAATCTTGACAAGGGTTCCCTATGGAAAAAACTTTTGAAAGGGACATCCGTACATAGGGGATAGCGAAACTCGCCCGTCCTGCTGATAGGTCGATAATACGGAACAGCTGGACATGATGATGATGATGGCTCTTGGACACTTCTGTATAAAAAGCTTGCGAGCCTCCTGCCAATATGCTTCTATCTCATCACCATCACCATCACCATCAACATCATCATCACAACTACAAAACACTTTACTCGCTCAAGTAATCATTACGACTTTTAATCCTAATACCTAAATCTTAAAACAACACCTCAACCGCCACCATGAAGTTCACCAGCACCGCCGTAGCCGCCATCTTCGCCGCCACCGCCATGGCAGCTCCCACTCCCTCTCCCTCGGCCCAGTCCGCCGTAGCCGACGTCCCCGAGTGGACCATCGAGAGCATCAAGCGCGGCTGCAACGCCGCCAACACCCAGTGCATCTGGACCTTCAGCATCAACACGCACCTAGCCGACGCCACTCCCTGCGAGTTCACCGTCAAGGGCGCCGGCAACGTGCCTGCCAGCGAGAGCGACAGCAGCGGCAACATCTGCGGCCCTTACACCGTCGGTTCCGGCTGGAGCGGCCAATTCGGGCCCGGCAACGGCTTCACTACCCTGAGCGTCGTCGATGAAGCTAAGAAGCTTATTGCTTGGCCCTCGTACACCGACAAGGCGCTCGAGGGCAACGTTGTCGTGTCCCCTGACCTGAGCTGGCCTGTTACTTCTCTCCAGTTCTGAGCTGTTACCGATAGCGGATGGGAGAGAGTTGGAGATGGAGGTGGAGGTGGAGAGTAGGAAGAAAAGTGTCAGATTTACGCGGAAATGTAATTGTTCAATGTTAATAGCATAGCGTCACTGGGTTTGCATATATATCATAATACATAGAGTCACTCCTTATTCATATTAAGTTTTAAGCCTTGATTACTACTTGTGAATTGTCTTTACTTCCTTTCGTTTACTGCCATGTAAGCTGAACGTCTCTTACCCTATCTTTTGCACAACGCGGTATTCGCAAGCCAATGATAAGCCAACCAATAGCATATATAGGTGAGGTAGGCTTTAAATTAGGGCCATGCTGCTAAGTACAAAATGCCAACACCCCCCTTAATCCCAATCGGCAAAGGGATCAGCCTTGTAGGCGTCCCTCGCGGACTGGAATTTCTCCTTGAATCTAAACGAGGTCAAAATTGCGGCGAAGATGATCTCGTACTGCCAGTAGAACATCTGGTGGGATGGTAGCCAAGTATCCAATATGTCATCGCTGCCGTTGCCGCCCTCTTTTTGCTCACCGGAGTCGCCGTCCGTGTGCGCGCTCGTCTTGGGAATTGCACGGAGGAAAGGTTGCGGGGGCTCTTCAGGTTCGTCGGATTCGGATTCCTCTACTTCGGTGTGCTCTTCGTCGCCCACAAGACTATTCAGTAATGAGCTTACGTCCGAGTCACCGGAATCAGAGGTTTCTATGTCAGACAAGCTGGTTTCGTTGTCATCTATGGGACAGTCGACCGAAGAGCTTCCGTCCGAAGTATCAGGATCACTGCTTTCCGTTTGTGTCGAGGCTTCAGGAGATGGCTGTTTCTCGATCTCGTTTTCCATGTCCTCCAATGGTTTATCCGGTGCTTCTAGCTTAACCGGGGGTACTATGTCGCCTGAACCTAGCACTAATGTTCCTAGTTCATCCGTATGTGCTTTTTTCTGAGGGTCGGTGTTATCATCTTGGGAATCCCCTTGCTCATCATCCTGATTGGCAGCATCGATGAGTGTTAGGAATCCATCTTCGTCGTATATTTCGAGACTGGATGTTGCTTGTGCACCATCTGAAGAGGAATTCGCATCCTTTTCAGCGCCGAATGATTCAACGTTGTTGTATACGTCGTCGAAGAACGCCTCAACGCTGGTATATTCCCCGTCGATTATGCACTCCATGTCGCATTTGGTGATCCTTCCTGTCTGGACGAGCTGCTCGAGATACCGCTTCGTAATCGGCTTAACCCTCCTCAATATTCTCTCGACGAAGATCTCCTCGGGTGGGAGCTCGATCTCAGGTGTTTCCATTGCTTCACGTAGTTGTTCGACTGTGATACCCAAGTGATCGAGATAGTATTTGCGCGTTTCCTCGAAAATATCCTTGAGCTTTGGATCGCCATCTTTGAACATATTTACGTCATCTTGGATACGATCTTGAATCAAGGCTAGTCCTCTGATCCGTTTGCGAAGTTGGATAATCAAGAGGTGAATTCGATTAACATCCATGGTGTGAGATGCGTGTTTCCACTGTGGTTTGGTTTGTTTGCACCTTTTTTTGGAAGCCTAGAATACAGGTGGCAGGCTGCGGTTAGAATTAAAAAAGATTTTTAAATTTAAGACAGGGCGAGAAGATGAACCTTTTTGCTTGTAGAAAATAATTTACTCGAATGGTATCTTGGTTGTTTGTGTTTATGCATACCTACAATTGGACATGGCTTCTTGAAATATTTATTACACAACAACGAATAAGTTCGACACCGTTTGTCAGGACTATGGGACAATAGCTTTGTTTATTTATAGCTGAATAAAGTATTTACAACTCAAAGACCGAACGGACGATTCGTATTCCAGACAAGTCTTTATGTCTGAGTTTTGATTGTAGAGACCTTTTTCTTTCTCCCACCGCCTAGCATCTTCATTACCTGTGACACAATAGACTCTGCCAGAGAGTTGTTGCAGTATTGTTCTAGACAAAATTATTTATCTCATGCTTAAAATTGAACAGTGAGGATTGGTGCTATTTACGCTAATGTTGCTCTTGATTTTTATTTGACTCCTAGACAAAGGTCGAAGTACGATGCTTTGGCTGTGAGGCTGAGACGTTATTATAATGTCCTTGTTCGGATAGCAAAATAGCGACAAGAGTCATGATAAATACATTCTGTGAAGTAACAGAAAGTTCTTGTGATATATGTAAGCTTCGGGGATGGTGGAGGATAGCTTCTTTATTGGGGAGGCAATGTCTAAAATGTCAACAAAGCTTTGTGCATTGAAGATTTGCGAAGGACCAAAAGGAAAAAAGGCATACAATTAATCAGTTTATTTTTCCCACGATCTCTGTAACATGATGTTTTACTAATGATATTTTGCATTTTCGAATTTTGGATTTGAGGTTGGCTTAGATGTTGAAATTGAAATAGGGGGAACTAAGTCAGGGGCTGAGGGGTTACGTAATGCATGGATAATTTTTGCTGACCCACTTTATATTCCCCTATCAGAGACTGATTTAATATAATACATATATACATACTGGGGTATCGCGTTTACTGGGTCATGCATTATCGTACAGTTACAGTCACAGTTACAGTCATTGCTGAAGTGTCAATCTTGTCAACCTACCAACTTCATAAAAAAAGAATCACTGACGCAATACCTCAACCCGTGTGCAAGATATATGACGATATTTATCTACTTAATAACTACCAATACATTTCTTGATGCATTTCTTACAAGGAAAACCTGCTGCTAGTGACGTTTCATGTCCCTCTACTCCCCAGCAGTTTAGATCGAGTCTCGTTTAGATCCAGGCCAAGCCCAAATAAATCCAAAGAATCGGTGGGGCTTTTGCAGCGCTTTTAACTCGCTAAAGTCTTGGGCTGAATCAGGTTCGCTGGGTCACCATGAGACGTCACAGATGCTAACAGATGGCTAACACCACACGATTCACTAGTAGAGGTACCTAATATATGCGGGTTATGCGTTGTTTGCTGACTTCTCTTCCCCTTTCCGGATTTCTATATATTGCTGCAATATTGGGATTACTAACATCATTCTTGCTTTGATCTTCAGCTAAACCTACTATAGCATTATTCATAGGACCTGAGCGTGTTTTTGCTTGTGTGGTATTGTTGTGAATAACATCGTCATGGCAGAGACAGTACCCCTCCCGCCGAGCGAATCGCTCCACCAAGCTGGAGGCGGTCAGCCCGGTGCCGAAGATGTCAGTATCAAGGAGATAAGGACATCTACATTACAATACCTGAACCAGATTTACGCTACATATGCTTCTCCTGTCGACAAGCACTGGCGTAAGGACTCTATCGTCGAATTTCTGCATCATGTCCAAGCCGATAAGGTGACAGACCCCTCAGGCGATGTCGCGACTCGGGACTCCCTCGACTTTGCTGGTTTCTTACACTACATGACATCGTCTGCAGCCAACGCGCTGGCGCCGGCAGCCCCAGACCCCCAGCATTTATCGTGGCCCTTGGCTAGCTATTATATCAGCTCCAGCCATAACACCTACCTGACTGGAAATCAACTGAACAGTGATTCCGACGCAGATGCGTACCGAAACGTCTTGCTGCGCGGCTGCCGCTGTGTCGAGATTGATGTCTGGGACGGCGATGAGTCAGACGTCGACACATCAGATAGCTCAGATAGCTCAGACAGCTCCGAGGATGATGAAACTCGGGAACTTAAGGCCAAGAGAAAGATGAGCCGCAGCGAGAAGCTCGCCTCAAAATTACCTGGGTCGCTGGCTAACCGGCTCGAGAAGACATCAATAGGAAAGCGTATCACGGGGAAGAACTCAGCGGAGCCAGAGTCTACGGCAGAGAAAAAGGAAGGGAATGCCTCCATCGGAGCCCCGCTAAAGAAAACACTAAGTCCGCATGCAATCGCCGTTGAACCCCGGGTTCTACACGGTTATACACTTACTAAAGAAGTCTCATTCCGCGAAGTCTGCATGGCTATCAGAGAAAGCGCTTTCGTTGTCACGGACCTACCACTAATCGTCAGTCTCGAAGTTCATTGCAGCCAGGAGCAGCAGGAGGCTATGGTGCGTATCATCAACGAGGTCTGGGCCGGCTTTTTATTACCCCAACCCGAAGACGACGCGAAGTTTCTCCCCGCGCCCGGTGATCTACGCCACAAGATCCTTGTTAAGGTCAAGTACGCGCCGCCTAACGCTCTCGCATCGGCGGCCGACGTAGAATCCGCAGACCGGCTTCCGCCCGGCGTCGCATCGGACCCCAAATCAAAGACTACCACACAGCAAAAGGTCAAGAAGGCGTCTAAGATTATCCAGGCATTATCGGCACTGGGCGTGTATACGCGAGGCGTATCGTTTAAATCCTTATCCCAACCAGAGGCTTCCATGCCGACACACATATTCTCGCTATCGGAAAGCGGAGTAGCCGAGGTCCACCAGAACGAAGCGGCAAGGCTTTTTGAACATAACCGCGAGTACTTGATGAGAACATATCCGTCTGGCATGCGTATCGGGTCTTCTAACCTGGACCCCCTTGCTTTCTGGAGGAAGGGCATCCAGATCGTGGCGCTTAACTGGCAGAAGTGGGATGCGGGAATGATGTTAAACGAGGGCATGTTCGCCGGTACCGGTGGATACGTATTAAAGCCCGAAGGATACCGCGGTCGCAAACCCGTAGTTATCGACGACGAAGAGAATAAGGCGATACCCATCCCCGCATCGGAGACAATCCTGCACCAAACACTTGACCTCACCATCACCGTGCTCGCAGCGCAAAACTTACCGATGCCTGAAGAGGAAGACAAGGAGAGCGGCTTCAAACCATACGTCAAGATCGAGCTACACACAGAGCCGCCGCATAACGAACACCTCTCCCTAACCGGCACTGCCCCAGGTTCTTCGTCAACAAGGGCCAAGGAGGGCGAGTACAAGGCGCGCACGAAGACTCAGCGCGGGATCCACCCAGACTTCAAGTCCGAGAAGCTCGCCGTAGCCAAAGGTATCCCTGGCGTCGTGCCCGAGCTAGCTTTCGTACGATTCCTAATCAAGGACGACGAGATCGGTCGCGATGATTTGGCTGCTTGGGCTTGCATCCGGCTGGACCGGCTACGCAGCGGACACCGATTCGTGCGTCTCCTCGATAATCGGGGGCGAGAAAGCGAGGGCGTGCTACTCGTTAAGATAGACAAGAAACTGGCTTAGGCGGCAAGTTCCGAGTCTCGAAGAGGCGAAACGGGAGAGGCAAAACGACGTCACTTGGGACAATGCCAAGTAATGTAGGAACGATATGAATGGGACCATGTGTGTATAGGACGACCTGACATGATAGCATTGGCGAGCGATCATATTTATCAAGCGAAAACATAGTTGGCTATAGATTGAAGAGGAATGTGAATGTATTTGAATGTATTTGCGACATCTGCAAAACCAATGGTATCTCTTATCTCTTAAGATAAACACGTGTGTCTTGCCAATTACTACCATTACTCCCAGGCGCCGATAATATACCGGTTGTTTACCTACCATTTACGCATCTAGTCATGAATCTCATAGCTCCGGCTCAACTGTGCTGTGATTATCCGTGGTAGAGATGAGATTTATAGTTCTCCAAGTGCCATCATCCTTCATGTTGGCCCGGGCCGCTTGATAAGCGCGCAACCTAGTCTCGTATGCGTAGTCGGATATTTCTGAACCCTGTGAGTCCTGAATGTTGAATTCACTTTCTTCGTCGTCGTCTTTGAGATGTGCATCTTGGCCGTCTTGGAAGGAATTGTAGTCGCGCTTATTTCGAGACGAATAAAAGGAGGCTTGTACCACCTGCGTCTGAGAGGTCTGCAAATAACGGCGTGGAAGCGATATGATAGGGCTTCGATGCTGCAGTTGGCCCCTCATGAGTGAAGTTATTCTTTCAGGTACATTATTTCCACCGTTAGATCCGTAGCGCCCAGGGGCACCGGAGGGTGGGATTACTGGGCTGGAGGGAACGTCTGCGTGGAAAGCAGTCGTCGATTGGGTATCAGGTGGGTTTTCCTCTTCATCTTCTCCTTGCACCTTGGGCCGTAGTCCCGATGCTTCGTCCATCAGCAGGTCGTGTTGGAAAACATCACCAGTGCAGATATCTCCGAAAAGCTTTCTTATGGTAAAGCCCTCTTTTGCCCAAGATTTCGGATCCACTGTGCATGGCCAAATATCGGTGGGCTTAAAAGTCTTAACAAAATGCCGAAGCTCGGGCAAAGAAGAATGCCTAGCGTATGGGAATGCGATTTGATTTGTAAGGACGTCAGGCTGGTCTTCTCCTCTGATCTTGTTCACCGGATTTTGGATCTCTTCAACTCTCCTAGCAAGCGAGTTAACTATTTCTGTAAAGGAATACTCTTCCTTGAAGCTAAACCTCCCAATATCGAGGTCGACGTCTCTAGAAACGACTAGCGCTTTCTGAAGGAATTGCGTAATCGCAGGCTCTAGATCACCCAGTACCTCTCCTTTTTGTTTGATTCTGCTTCATTGTTAATTCGTAAAGAATCGAAGGGTAGTTTGGGCAACCCTTACAAGTCTAACAAAGCTCGAATGCCCTCCGTTTCAAGAGTTGGCTTCTGTGCAAGGTCGTCCCCGCCTCCACCAATGCCCACTTCAGCCATGTCTCGCCCATTCTTAAGATGTGCGACAATTGGCTGGATCCACACGATGGGCTTGGTCTCCATAACTTTACAACCCATCCCTTTCTCACAGCTATGAATTCGCACATCTTCGTCTAGCGTTAGGCACCCCTCCCGTTGATTGTTACCACAGGTGAAGCCCACAAGATATGGAGCTTCCTTAGTCAAATGAGTCTGAGTAGTGTAGCGATTATCTGATGATTTGATGGCAAGGGATTTATAAACACCCATCTTGTACTTATCGACATGAATCTTAAAGCATGGTTAGCAATGCCACCAGCCACAAAGAGAGAGTATTGTACCTTGGAGTTTAAAGCTTTTGATAAGGCAATCCAGACCTCTTCGTATCTGTGAAGGAGATTAGATTATATTAAATTGATAAAATCAATACCCTACCCGTAAGTCCATGCTTGCATATGGAATATAGTATCCTTTGGATAGCGTGCAACCTTTTCTAGAAGCTCGCGGAGCCCATCCGCCTTAGTCTGTAGAGGGAAGTTGTTCAATATCGAAGTATCGAGATATATACGGTCAAGCGTTTTCAGTCCGGTAGAGTACTCTACCATACTAGGGTTTCTAGCAATAGAATTTACCCACCAAGGTTCGCTCCTAATGTCCCCTGTATATAATACAGCGTTGCCATTGCCTTCAATCACTGCTTACCAAGTTAGTATTAAGTCTAATATAGCAATTAGCTAACATACGAAACATAACTGCACCAGCACAGTGGTTTGCATCTAGGAGTGTAACTTGTATGGTCTGGGTGGGATCTAGCTCGATCTTGGTGGGGGTATCCAGAGGAATGGGCTTTAGTACTTTGGCCAGATGCTTATATGTTTGCATTCGTGGATCCTCGAGGATTCCTTTAGCATAATTCAGTCGGCAAGGATACTTTTCAAGTCGGAGCAAGATTTCCCTTGTGGCGGCCGAACAATAAACACTAGATCATACCCAGTGAGCCAACTGATAGGTACTTCGCATGTGGGATTCATACAAAGGACTTCTAAGCGTATCGAGCCCGGCGAGGTGATCGCTATGGACATGGCTTAAGAAACAAGCCAACGGAGGCCGAAGTTTGAATCCACGGAAGAAGTCAACTCTAATATCAGGGAATTCGTGAATGATGCCATCGAAAGTTGACATTGTGGCTGACAGGGGTGGTCCGAAATACTATGAAGCAGTGGTTCGAGAACTCGTAAGTTGCTTGATTAAACATGACGACTTTCGAAAGTACCTGAGCTTTAAGAAGTCAGGTCCAAGTTTTACTAGCAGAGACGCTTAATATTGAAGAGACGTGATGTATGAAGGTAAATTGTAATTGCCTGGGAGGTACGTTGGAGCCTTTAGGTTAGTCTAGGCCAGCTGGCTGACACCTGCCGAATTCTAGATTTTGAAAGCAGATTAGGTACCTAAGGTATAGGTACCTAAACTTCAGGGCTCAGAACTCAGATTTTAGCGAGCATTTTAGAACAATACACACCTCCCAATGTCATGCCATAATACGTCTTTCAACGTATTCAAAAGACTCATTTAACAACATATAGGACTCTTTCAACATAATTATCTCACCAATCAAATGCGAAATTGCAAGGGTCATTAGGAAGTGTTTATCTACGAATTAGAATGCTCGTGAGCGTGAGGCGGAGTCGACGCGAAAAATGTAATACGGCTCCAAAAGCGCAGATACGCCGTATTCATACCCATAGCGTCGCGGATTAGATCGGCCGTAGAACATTTAGTATAAAAATGGTCTGCCGAAATTATACTGCTCTTATATTTTTCAAATGTTCTCTAGACCAAGAGTAGCATGACCTTCCAAACCAACAACTCGCCGTGCTGCGCGAAAATCAGTATGGCAGAATCTATTGACATAGCTTCCCCGCCTAGCTCGAACCAGACCGGGAATAAACTGAAAATTACCTTTACAGGACCGCAAGAAACGTTGATAGGGCCGCTGGTAGCGAGAGCCACGGACGCAAGATCTGCTCATCCTATCCTTAACGATGTGGACTCCATTCGGGTTATAGATCAGATTGACCATGACTTCGACAAGTTCGGCGTAAATGAAACGCAGGCTACTATGTATGCTCTTCGGGCCCTGCGTTTAGATCGCTGGACTACCGAGTTTCTCTCCAACAACCCGCAAGCGACGGTCGTTCACTTGGCCTGCGGGCTGGATGATCGTTTACGTCGCGTCCAAGCAGACTTGACCAAGGTCCGTTGGATAGATCTCGACCTACCCGATGTCGTTGAACTGCGCAACAAGCTCATTCCCTATCCGGAGGGCGACTACCGGTTGATCGCTGCAGATGCGACTGAAAAAGCGTGGCTCGAGCAGATCCCTGTTGATCGTCCCACCGTCATCATCTGCCAGGGATTAACTATGTTTTTGGAAGAAGAGTCTGGTAAACGCATGATTCGGCAAATTATTGATCACTTCAAATCGGGTCAGCTTATCATCGATTATATCGGAACCGTATTGCTCTCTTTACAAGGCCAGGTCGATCCCCTGGTAGCTACGGGGTCAAGTTTCAAGTGGGCCGTTGACGAACCGAAGACCCTTGAGGCTCTTCACCCGCAGTTGAAGATGATGGATTGTTTAGGACCAACCGAACTTGGTGATCATGTATATTTACCGCTTGCGACTCGTCTGATACTGTCAACTTATCCGGATTTACCCTGGCTCAAGTACATATCTTCCTACATGCGGTTTAATTTCTAGAGGTACCGAAGTATGGCCTGGTATTTTAAAGCCTTTGATCATATATATTTCTGGACTCGATTTAAAGCAGCGGATTTCGGGTGGAAGAATCATACATGTTCTACCTTTTCCCAGCGAAAGAGAGCTTACGAAACTTAGATACCCCAGATCGTAGCATATGTAGCTTGGGCATATTAGACGCTACGCCTTCTGTTTATCAATAGACCTCTCCACAGCTCCAAGTACGACTTTTAACACGGCATCGGGTGATAAATCACCCAGCTTTCCACCCCATGTTGTTGTATCAACAATGTCTCTGATGTCCAATGCGTCACTCAAACCGTCGTCTGCGAAGTCTAATGCTTGACGTGCACCTTCATCGTCGCCTACGCGAAAGAATTGTACACCAACTTGATACGGTGGCGCGCCTAATATATCCAGCTTCCGTGCTGTTCGAATCAGCGTGTCGTACGGATTATCATCCGTCACGCCGGCGGTGATCACGATAAGGTTGAGCGGCCTAACGGTATTGCCCGACCCTGTACCCCTGTCTCGGCGACTTCGTTCATATTCATGTACATATCGGTCAAGGATATAGCTAAGCCGACGATCGAGGCGGCAGTGACTTCCAAGTTTCTTGATGCTGCCGAAAATCCCCGCTACGTTGTCACGCATCTCTGGCACTCCGACTGACTGCCCGATGTGTAGGTACCCGGAGCGGTCTGCATCAAATCCGAGAGCTGCATACATGAGGTAGCCGCGCGGGCGGTGATTCACGAAGTATATGTCTACGCCGTTTGGATCGCGCTCAGTGCATATCGGCGCAATCTTCTCGAGCAACATGCCGACCTCGCCCCAGTGCTTTTCCATTGACTTGGAGTCGTCGATAAGGAAGATGGTGTCGAAGTGCTTCAGGAATGCGTACGGGTCATCGGGTGTGCTGATATGCTTGCGTGTCAGTTTCGCGTGGTGTTTCTTGTGCTCGACTGGTTTTGCTGATCTTTTTGGCTTCAGATCGGGGCTTGCTGGGATTGTAGACTCTAAGGGGTATGGAAGGGACGATTCGAGACGTTCGTCCACATGGTCCATGATGATAGATGCGACTCGCTCTTAGTTATAGCAGGTGAATCAGAGACGATAACAAGTTACGTGCCAAAGTACACATTCATTAGCGTATCTGCTTCAGGTTGTATATTGAAACTGGACAGGTATGTTGTAAGGTTTTACTTTCGTACTTGTTTGATCATTGGGTTTATTGTGGGAAACTTTGGGCTATAAGAGGAGGCACCTTCTGGCAAAAGCTTCGAAACTGACAAGTCTAAATATCCGGCTGTCGTGACATATCACTATAGGGCTTTCCATATTACCTATCACACGGCGAGGCAACTACCATAAGATGCAAGTGTCAATACGGATTAGCAGTTAGGATCGCAGTAGCCTGCTTTAAATGCATTAGGTACCTAGGTACCTAACCCAAGGTACATAATTATTATGATAACTTTCCAAATGAAAGATGCAATCAATCACTGACTCATATAACGCTGAGCTGGTGATTTGTTGGTATCAATGAACACAATTGACATATTCAATTACCCTCTCTAGACTACTCGGAAATTAAACCATCGAAGATACTTCTTCTCACGTTATATTTAGATAGGCATCAGTTGTAATCCTTTTTCTTTTTATATTTTGAGCGTTTATTACATATGGTGTTCTTTGTTCACTTCAACTCATAAACGACAATTTTAGAACTGACTTATGATTGGTAATAAAAGGAGTTCTGTAAGGAAAAGAAAAGGGGAAAAAGAAAAAACTTCATATATACCGTGGCGCTTCTGTAAACTTGTAGTATTCTAGAATTAGATTCATCATTTTCTTCATCAACTACCAAATCCTTCAGACCTACCCAAGGTAGTAAAGTTTCCTTACCCTTACAAGATGTCATTTCTATCAGTAAAGAATGCTTTCAGATCTCAAACCATGACCAAGGATAAGCTCTTAAAGAGCGCACATGGGATGGATGTGGCATTGGACTGTGTCACCCACTTTGAATCTCTTCAGGACAGAGGGGGATATGACTGCCGCAAGCAGTTCCCATACGAGTTGTATAAAAAAGGGGTTCAGAAAAAGCTCATAGACATATGGATGGCAGATGCACCTAGTGTCCATGTACTCGACGGCGTGGGTTACAACTACTCAGCGAGTTATGCCGGGAGTGAGTTCGCCAAGTCCCTCCGTGTGCGTAACCGCGAGAGTGCCGTCGTTCTTCGGGTGTACGTAAAGAATCAAAGTGAAACGCCGAAGGTAGTGTTACTTCAGATCCTTGGCTCGCTGATCTGGAGCTTGATTACTCTCGTGCCTGATGAATTTGGTACCTCAGAAGGCCTGCAGAAAAGAAAATTTGAGACGTTTATAGGTCGCGGACCTGGTAGCTTTGATGCTGGCTTAGAAATACTTCGATCATTGCCACCCCTGGAACTCAACGGCAAGACAATGCTCTGCATTGTTGATGGCTTGGATCTCGCTGAGGATGAGAGCACTTTGAGCCAATTGCAACAATTAGTTACTATTCTTCGCGATGTCATGTCAAAGAATTGCGCTCATTTACTTTATACACTTGGTAGGAGGAGCCAAGTAATCCGGTAACCATAATCTTTAGATATCCAGTTGGTATCGAAGTTCCTAATTGATTAGAATTGCCCTGGTGATAACTTAGGTCTATGGTTAGCAGCAGGGGGTCAATCCATACACCGGATGGATAGGTAACTTGACTTAATCTGACTTGGGTTATTTAGACTTGTATTTGCGGGATTGTGTCTCTCGTTTCTGTGTTCTCCCTTATTCATAACCTGGGCAATCTTAACGATAATTCATTTATTTGCTTCGAACGCGCACATTCTCGTATTACTCATATCGGAATGAGATAGTTGCGGTTGAGAAGGTCCAGTGCTTCGATCCGGCAGTTCGGAACTAGATCCTAACGATGCGTATCGCTGCGTTGTCGTTGGCCAATACATATTGCCAAGCTGGGGGAATATCCAAATATGAATTGTTCCTGGCCGCCAAGGTAACAGGGGAGCAAGCCGCAAGCCTCGTGAGCTTTCTACATTCCTAAGGAGGAAAGGCGATAAAGATAACCAAGAAGATTTGGCGAAATTCTGGGTTGGCAATCCTTTCCCCGCGGTAGCATCATGGTATGGCGGCCTGCAGCAATTTGCAATTTGCAATTCGCAATTTACGCGTCAATCGCGAGCGAGCTGTACCGATTGATAAACAATGGTATAAAAGGGTAGTGGTACCCTCTTATTCATATACGGCCATGGTCTCAACCGCTTTCCTTCCCCTTTATACGGACCTTGAACTCGGTTCCCATTCTCTAAGCCGTTGGTGTTAATAATTGGAACATTCCGCCCCAATTAGCCAACAATGGAACTCACTACTTGGCTTATCGTGGGGGCGACGTTGGTGCGCTCCGTGCTCGCCATTGAGCCAGCGCGCCAACCGCATCAACCAACTGGAAATGGCGACAGAATTCTGACTTGGAATGACACGATGGTGAATAACCAATTCGGTTCTAGGTCTACATCTGTCAGTTGGTTGTCTGGCGGCGAGGATGGGCAGTACATCTATGCTGGCGATGGCGGGGCGCTGATCCTTGAGAATTTCGTCACCGGCGAGAGCTCGACCTTCGTTGCTGCCGACCTGATCCCAGACGGCGTAGCTCAGTATTGGATTCGACCGGATCTCGCCAAGGTCCTTTTCGCAACTAACTACACGAAACAGTATCGTCACTCATACTTCGCGGATTATTCGGTTCTCGATGTAGCATCGGGCGAGCTGACACCTTTGGTTGAAGATCAAGTCGGTGACATTCAGTATGCTGAGTTTGCTCCGGCAGGAGATGTGATTGCCTTCGTTCGTGGTAATAACCTGTTCCTGAATAAGAATGGAACTATTTCCCAGATTACAAGCGACGGCTCTCCGGATCTGTTCAATGGTGTGCCAGACTGGGTATACGAGGAGGAAATATTTGGCGACCGCTCCGCAATCTGGTTTTCTCCTGACGGCGAGGTTCTTGCGTACCTGAGCTTCAACGAAACTGGAGTCGAAACTTTTACCGTGCAGTACTTTATGGATAACCAAGAAATCGCTCCTGTGTATCCTCGACTCCTGGACTTGAGATATCCCAAAGTGGGCACGACTAACCCAACAGTGTCTTTGACACTTCTAAAGGTCGATAGTGAGGAGAAATCGGCTGTTCCAATCGACGCATTCCCTGCGGATGACCTGGTCATCGGTGAAATCGCCTGGGTTACATCTGAGCATAGTAGCGTTATCTACCGCGCTTTCAATCGTGTTCAGGACACTTCGAAACACGTCCGAGTTGAAGTAGGAGATGCTATCACTACTAAAGTCGTCCGCGAACGAGACGGCACAGATGGTTGGCTGGATAATGACATAGGCATCAAATTCGTCGGGCCAATCAATGGTTCTACAGAAGAATATTATATCGATGTTTCGGATGAGTCCGGCTGGCAACATATTTACCTCTACGCGGTTGATGGCTCAAGCGCTACTCCGCTTACTGAGGGCGAGTGGGAGGTAACAGCGGTTCTTAAAGTCGATAACAAGCGCGAGTTAGTCTACTATACATCTACCCAAGCCGACAGTACCGAGAGGCATGTGTACTCGGTTTCATACTCTACTTTGAAGTCGGAATCGCTTGTCGACGCTACGATCCCGGCAGTCTGGAGCGCCTCATTCTCGTCGGGTGGTGGATATTATATCCTTAGCTATGCAGGGCCTGATGTACCTTACCAGGAGTTGTACGCTATTAACGACACCCAGACACCCCTTCGCACTATCACCTCGAACGACGCCCTCTGGAATAAAATCCAAGGATACAACTTACCAAATATAACATATTTTACTTTGGATCACCCCGACGGGTACAATTTGAACGTCTTGCAACGACTTCCCCCTAACTTTGACCCCGCCAAAAAATACCCGGTTCTCTTCACGCCCTATGGAGGACCGGGCTCGCAGGAGGTATTGAAGTCTTTCGAGTCGATCGGATGGAACGCGTACGTCTCATCGGACCCGGAACTTGAGTTTATTCAATACACGGTTGATAATCGTGGAACAGGCTACAAGGGCCGGAAATTCCGCGCGCTTGTCGCATCCCACTTAGGCGAGTTCGAGGCGGCAGACCAGATATGGGCCGCGCAGGAACTAGCTTCTCGAAACTCTTTCATTGATGCAGAGAAGGTTGGCATTTTCGGGTGGTCGTTTGGCGGATATCTATCTGCGAAAGTAGTGGAAGCGGACTCGGGCGTTTTCACCCTGGGCCTGATAGTCGCACCGGTCACTGACTGGCGATTCTACGACAGTATGTACACGGAGCGCTATATGAAAACATCACAACTAAATCCGGACGGGTACAACAAGACAGCGATACGTAAGCCGGATGGATTTAAGAATATCGCTGGCGGGTTCTCCATCCTGCATGGTCTCGGAGACGATAATGTGCACTACCAGAACACGGCAGCTCTTCTCGACCTTCTTGTTGGGGCCGGTGTGTCGCCTGCTAAGATGCAATGGCGAGTTTTCACGGATAGCGACCACGGTATTTCGTATCACGGTGCATCGACATATTTATACAAATTCTTAACAGAATTGTTGTTTCGGGAGAAGACACGGACGAGTCAGACCTTGGCACACCAATGGGCAAGGAGGTCGAAGACGCAGCTTTTAGAAGAGCAATGAAAGGTACTCAACTATAACGCAAAAAATTAACCTTGACCTCAATTAGGAGAGTATAGGTAGTTAATAATTATAATAGGCAAATGCTGTGTTCATTGAAATGTGTTTCTAAATGTTGGATTACAACCAAATTTCTTGGCCGCAAGCCCCTTTTTTATGGTCATAGCTTCTTAGGTAGGTACTTCTATTCATAAATTCGCAACTTAAATATTTTCTATAAACATTTTTAAGCCTAGAACATCTGTCGTAACTATTATAGAGAAAATTCATTGAATGCATTTATTCTATTTATTTTAATTTTCTAGATGCTACCTGGGTAGATATGTATAACAGGTACCTACCTACCTGGACCTACCTACCCAAATGAAGTATTAATGGGGTTCTGTGAGATGTACCTTAGTACATCTCAACACGTGACTGCTCGTCACGTGTCATTCAGACATTCGGATTCATCCTGAGTGTTTGTAAAAAAAAAAAATAATAATGTTTCATTTTATTAGTTAGTTCAATAGATCAATTTATCCAACAGGTTCTAGCAACGACCTCGTTTTGATGTAGAACAACACATTGCGGCCACCATCGGGCGCAAACCTGTCGAGAAGCTTAAGCACTAGAGCCACATACTTGTTGAGCACCGCATAGTCTTACTTGTAGAGGAAGACGGGACGAAAGCTTCTCTTAATAACCAATATCCCTATACTTAAACCACCATCATAACACTTTTAGAGATCTACTTTTCTGCCCCAATGCTCTCTTCTGTTACTACGGCAGAAACCTTCTCCGATTTATTAAGAACCATGGCCCATTTAACATCCTCGAAACCTTGTCTCGTCCTAATTTCTACCTGAATATCCTCATCTGGCCCCATTATTCCGGCAGCAACATTTGTATTCGCCGTAGTGGGAAGCTTCCAGTCACCTTCTATAGGTTTCATGTCCAATCTCACAATGAAGGCAGCAACGAAGGTAAGGATCTCGTTCGTTGCAAAGTGACGACCGGGACAAAGAGTCTTGCCACCGCCGAATGCACGGAAACAGACATCCCGCGGACGATTATGTTTCTCTTCTGGAAGAAACCTGCGCGGATTGAATTCCATGACGTCGGGGCCCCAAAGATTAGCATCCTGGTGAATGACGATGCTTGGTATCTGCAACATTGCACCTTTCTTTAGCAGCCATTGGTCGAGGTAGGTATCTTCCATCACTTCACGTATGGATATTCCCATAGAACGATAGCGAAGGACTTCCTGGTAAGAAGATGATAACAGAGGACAACTTTTCTTTAACGTAGTTATGTTAAGAGTTTTGACGGTTGAACCGTTCTCTATAGTTGTTTCGGTGCAATCGTCAATCTCGCTCCGAATCTCCCTCAGGAGACCTGGGTGGGAGTGAAGTAGAAGAAGACACCAGAATGCCGTAGGTATCGTATTTACTAAGACAGCAATCGTACCCCCAACTTCTAAACGCGCGATATCTTCCAAGGGGACATTGTTGTTTATCCCCGCTTGGTACCGACTTTGAGCAAAAGCCGATGCTTTCTTCACCCTACCGGCTTTATAATATGCTTCGAAGGCCTTGGCAACATTGTTTCGAGCCGTAATCGGTTTCTGAGCAGTGATTGAGGGAAGGAACCCGACAAGAATCGGCAGGAGACCACACTCGAACTCCCAGAAAGAATCGGCAATAGATTTATCCTCATACGGGCTCATCGGGCCATACACAGACCTAGTAGTAGCAGTCGTGATTGTGTCTCTCAGCCAAGTATATATCCAAACTTTTCGAGACTCCCCCTTCCTGACTTGTAACTGGTTGAGGGAGTTTGCGATATCCTGGATCATGATGCGGTTCATGTCGTCGAGGTCTGATCCCGGCTTAAGCCTAGATCGCATCCCGGCATGAGTCTCTATTGTCAACCCGAAATCACCCTCGTCGCCATTGATGTTTATACCCAAGATCTCTCGAGCTGCAGGGCTTGCTCCAAAGGCCGTAGATGCGAATTTAATCTCAATTGGTGGAAATGCAAAGGTCTTGTATTGCTTTTGCACCGCCTGGATGAGTTCGGGATTTGTTATCACATACATCTTCTGGCCCGGGAGAGACATGGTGAAGATGGCGGAATCCGTTTGCTGACTATGGCATGGTTAAATGCGCCTTATCATAAGGGGAGCGAGTCAAATGATACCTGAGGTTGACATAGTAGTTGAACTTGCTCCGTGACAGTCCAACCATATGACCGATAATAGGAATCGACTGGGGAGCAAGCGGAGGCTCGCGGGGATCATGGCCAAACTTCTTGTGAGTAGCGAGGTAGGTCAAAGTGATAATAGCAATGGAAATCCAGAGGATACTAGAGACGCTGGTGAAGGATGACATGATGAAAGCTGAAGAAACATGAATAAGGAGAATCGAATGAATGGTGAATGATTCAAAAGATAGGTAGGTGTACCTAAGCTTGCATCACCATGATAGTGTCTATCCGCTGTCCTTGGAATATATGGACAGAGTACAATGTTGTTCCACCACCGGGAGCGATATTCTCCATTAGGAGATGTAAAAAAGAAAATAAAAAAATATGCGGGTCAGTCATAGGGAGGTGCGAATATTTAACTGTATGACAGGTAATCTATTATTAAGGCTTTAATATGTCCGAGCTACAGTCCGTACACTGGAGAATCACTAAGTAACAGGGCTAGATCTGTAACAGAAACAACTCTGTATCTCATCCCTAATAACAGCTCTTTGGCCATGAAACTTTTGAGATAAATCTAATTGGCCAAACCTTCAACATTGGTCTCATGCACGTTCCTGCGATGACATGCATTGGGTAGATCATCGAATTAGGGCGTCATCTGTGGTGATGATGAATTCCGGAGATGGTCGGAGTGGAAAGTCCATATAGGATGACAATATCTCCGAAGTTAGTCGTCATCCTAAGGACTTCAAAGGGTCGGGTATGCACATGCGGCTGGAGCTACACCAAAAAGTTATACGTACTTACGTATCCTACCCGCCGTTGTGATTTGCATGCATCAACAAGCATACGCCACCACTTAAGTAGGCGCCTTTTACCCAGGTACCTTACGCCTCATACACCTTAGGTAGTAAACAGCACCATCAGTAGCAATATTATGTCACAACCGACCTATGAAAGCTCCACCCGTTAAGTATTGCAAGCCGCGTCACTTAGCCCGACTGAGACATATACTACGGTAGAGAATGAACTAGGTACTAAGTATATCGTATATTCTTCTCGCTCTGAGAACTTAAAAGACGTCGTCAGGGAAGCAGTCTGATAGATGATGTGATAGTAACTGGGTATAACTTCGAATCTTACCATTAACTAATACCAAAGATGGCTCTCGCTAACTTATTCGCGCACATCGCTTTTTCATACCTTCTCTTTATTTTATGCCTCGTCGTCAAGATCGAATTTTTGATCCGGGTTGTACGGAAACAGAAGCCAAGTATATCTCGAGTACCGGGACCACGACTAGCACGATGGTCGCGATTGTGGATTGCAAAAGCGCTCTCGTCTGGAAGATCTCATGAGATATGGTCCGAAGTAAATGCGAAATTTGGTTAGTAGCTTGATTCCTATTGCAAACCAAATAGCATCTAACAGTTACTACCATTAAGGTCCCGTTGCCCGGATTGGTCCTAATCATGTCGTCACCGACGACCCTGAAATAACCCGTCGTATCCTCGCGGCCAGATCAGGATACGTGCGTGGGCCTTGGTTCGATTCCTTCCGTACCGACCCCCAAGTCCCAAACATCGTCTCCGAGCGCGATGTCAAGAAACACGGCCAGATACGTGCCAAAATGGCACCGAGCGTAAGGACCTATGAGTATTACGAAACCCTTACACTACTAATATACCATATAGTTCACCAATACATCTGTTGCAGCAATGGAGCCCGTTGTGGACCAGTTGGTGCTTGGCTGGATAAACTCGCTACGGAAGCGCTTTACTGTACCAGATCAAGTGCCGTGCGATATTGGCGAGAAGATTCAGTTTCTAACCGTCGATGTCATCACCAAAATCTGTCTGGGAGATGAGATTGGGTGCGTTAAGAATGACCGTGACATGCATCAACTCCTCGAGATAGTGGAAACTGGTAACTGGTTTTGCCAGTATTTTTCAGTCTTCCTAGAGTTAAATACACTCTTTTTCCAGTTAACCAGGATCCCTTATTTGAGGAAATTTCTTTTTCCTACGCCTTGCGATCGCACCGGCATCGGTCGTCTTATGGGGGTGAGGTCTACTTCTTATATTAGGTACTCAACAGGCTACGGGCATAACTAACCTGATATTCATAGATAATTCATGAGGTCGTGGAAAATCGCGTCAAAGAAGGACATAAGACAAGTGACGTCGTTAGTTCACTATTAACGCGGGGAATGCCAAAGGATCAGATAGATTCCGAACTCACCGTTGCACTGTAAGTATATCCTTATATCTCTCCCATATAACATTCTATTGACAATCATATTAGCGTGGCCGGCTCCGATACCACATCTACCTCGGTACAGAGCATTCTCTTAAGCATTATAGCTAGCCCACAGGTTTACAAGACTCTATGTGCTGAGATCCGTGGGGCTGTAGCAGGTGGACGGGTTTCCGACCCCATTCAAGACGCTGAAGCTAAGCAGCTTGTGTACCTACAAGCTTGCGTCTTAGAAGGCCTACGGAAATTTCCTCCTCTAAGCCAGCTACGCGAGCGCGTCGTTCCGCCTGGGGGAGATATGGTTGGCTGTTTTCACCTCCCGGAGGGTACGTTTGTTGGTTTGAATATGTGGGGTGTGCAGCTTAACAAGGCCGTCTATGGAGATAACGCTGAGCTCTATTATCCGGAGCGTTGGCTGATAGATGATGTTGACAAGCTTCACGCCATGCATCAGACTCACTCACTGGTATTTGGGCATGGCTCAACCAAATGTTTAGGCATGTCCGTAGCCATGATGGAAATCACAAAAGTCATATTCGAAGTAAGTTCTAGTCTATACCGTTGGCATAAAAGACCGGGACCATACTAACTTCGATTCCCTAAGCTCCTCAGGAATTTCGATATCACTATTGCCAATCCCCATAAACCATGGTCCAGTATATGCTACGGAATCTTCTTCCAGAAAGACTTCCACGTTCGCCTTACTCCAATCAACTATACCAACCCCCCAACCTATGAGCATGCCATAAAATCCGAAGTATCCCTTCCCTGAATATAAGCTTACCGATCTCTCTGAATTCCCGAGTTATGATGGTTTGATTCAACGAATTACCTTAGAATTAAATTCTCGTAACACTATTTTACCCATCAAGTTCTCATTGTTTTTCTTTCCACCACTTCACCCCTGCTAGATATACGATATGGTTGCTACAAAACTACAATAACAAATCATTCCACCTTTTGGAGACATTGTGCTGTTTCTCGTGTACGATGCTTTATTTTTGTGGCGATGTATCTTTTCACCTTTCAGTTGCCAGAAGTACAAAGATACGCGGTGAATAGGATACCTACTTTCCGACATAGTCCCTGGTGACCTAGATTGTATATTGATCAAGATCCCCTTCCGTAAATTAAGCAGCCATCCGTCATACATGTCATATGCAGAATAATATAGTACAGTGCGTTGGCCTAATGCCTCGCACTATATCCGTCGTTATCTTTCTAGTATGCTGTAGTTAATATAACCGGACTTCGGAAATTCTTATCATGTTTGCACGGACTTACACAGGAGAGGTTGGCGGCCATGTCTTATGCTGTAAAGAATTCTTATCTTAAGATGTCAAAGAAAACGGAATGTCTCAATAAGCTCAAGGGCGGCAAGGTCAAAAAGCCCCGATGTGGCTGCCGAAATCTGCAGCAGAAGAAGTAAAACAATAAGGAGGCTTATAGAAATGCCATCTACCTACGGAAACTTGCAGATTAATCTACTTATTACGTGTCTCTTATATGGAATCCTTGCCATAGTGTTCGACGCGACTATCATCAGGACCGCAGTGCCAAGGTCTACAATCAAGTTTACCTTGCCTGATGAGGCTTCAAGTGAGCGAGTCGATTATGCGCATGGGCCATATTGAATTGAACTGATTATCGTAGATACTCGTGCCACGCACGGATTAACGTAGAATGGATCCAAGCCCCGCCCCCTATCCAAGCCCACGATCCTTAGTACCTGATTGCAACGAGGGTTACCCAATGTTAGACCACCTTAAGCACCTAAGTAAGTAGGCAGTCATGGAGACACGATCTGAATTACACCTTTCACAACTCGAATAAGGAATGTTCAAGCTATTTTCGCCACCTCAGTTGCTTCATGATGTTCCTTCGTATGTGAACCACCCCGAGTTAGCCACCACCATAACCCAAGTGTTAAGATAGTAAGGCCACCTCCAATAGCTATGTATACCCAAAAGTAAAACGTCAGTACGGACTGTCCCTCGGCAGCCCCCCAGTTGAAGACGCCCATGGAGAAAATAGACTTAAGATATTAGCCCCTTACTATGTTCGTGTTGAAGATTACACTCACAGCAACCGACGTCAATGGAAGATATATCATAGTCATTAGAGCAATTGAACGCATCTGTGCGTTATCACGCTTCGTTTCGATAGATATGCGGGTGTTAGCAAAGGTTTGATGTCTTGCGACATGGCCTGATGCCTGTTCATTAGTCGCAGTTAGCTTTATGACAGCTACTCGAATAGCCGCTCTAAAAATTTTGTGACCGTCCATGGGGCGTAGGTCACCTTACCATCTGCGTCGTGAAGTTCAACCCATCGAGAACCATCTGGCATTCGTCAAGCTTCTCATCATACTCAGACTTGATCTCCAATAAGCGTTCGCGAATCCGGGTCTCAATATCTGAAGACATCAAAGATCCATCAAGTTGAACTCTGTCTTTCTTCCCGAGGTCTGGTTTTCTACGGGATTTCCACTTTCTTCTTGTAATCGCAAATATGGCCTCAAGCTCATGGGTGTGCTTGCACATGTCTGATATTTGCCGTTTTACCTTTCGAATTCCCTTTGCCAATTCGCTAGTGTCGCTGTATAGGCTTAGTAGCTCATCGGTACTTTCCCCGTCTTTATTTAAAATACTTTCAAGATCCCTAGAAGTACAGCAGAGTGCCTCTATGCTCGCCACGAATGGATCAAGAACTGACTCCACTTGCTCCACAAGACGGTTGCGGTCGAGTTCAATGAGTATACCAGGAGTCAGCATTGGGTGATATATAGCGTCGCCAGCTTCTCCTAGACGCCTCTCAATATCAGACGACTGCTCATCATTGCACCCATAGAAGACTGATAGGTTAAGCTTCTTGTGGCTTAAATATGTCGAGGATAGAGCAATATCATCTGGCCATGCCGAACTCATTCTCGCGGTATATACTTAAAGAATCAGTATTCTCCATTCAATTACTTAGGGACAGATTGAATACCTATTCTGTTGCCTCCAGTCTTCCCTTTGTGAAGATGCGTACGGGAAAAATACGTAATTTCCCGGCGAATGGCTCTAACTATCGAGCGGTGGATGTGAAATATTTTGGTGAGTTGACTGAACCCATACCTGGAGACTGGGAGGTATGATGGAAACGAGTGATTTGAGTCGCTGCAACGACTAAAGATGCTAGCATCTATGTGAGTGGGTACTATTCGAGCTATATTTATGTGTTCTCCTAAAAAGGCTTACATGGCGAACGTTCCATACTCATAGGCACAAGGAATTAACATCTGATTCTAAACAATGTAAGCTAGATAATATACTAAGCTGGCTACAAACCTGTTCGATCCATTCCTTCAAGTCTTCAGCGGATTCAATGTTCCAGCATACTAGTCCCTAATAGTAGGTTAGGTAACTTAAGATAGGTGGCAAATATAACGGGACTAAGAATTTGCCCAGAAGTTTTGTATACCTGGTCTGATTGTAGTTTCCTGACGATCTTGAATTGGCTTGGCTTATACTTGAAATTACCAAAGTCGTTATCGTTAAAGCATGCTTCTCCATTCGTCCAATCCATATTATCTGTCGTAAGGCTATGGCTTGCGGGATATTAATGCCTTAGTACTACACTCGAAAAGGAAATATTCGATCAACCGGGAACCGAGCGTAATGAGGAAGCAAAGAAATACACATTGAAGTAGGACTGTTCCTGGCTCCCCAATATTCCAGCTGGAATCCTTGTTTCTTAGTGTGGCCAACGTTACTAAGAGCCTCATAATAACTACGGCTATTGAGCGGCAGTTATACAATTCGTCAGATTCTAATGCATTGATATCAGCAACCTGTAAGCTGCATTTGTTAATTTGTTGGTTAGCTGATGCGATGTCGCATGAAACTTCCTCACTGTCGTGGAGTAGTAAATGTCCAATAGTTTCCATTTAGCATACTTAAATCAAGCCACGAAAGTAACCCCTCACTAGAATGATGCCCAAAAAGAAAAGGTGCATTACAATTCGGGGTAGTATCAAAGTACCGGCATTTTCCCTAGTAGTAATTTGAGGATTAGAGCCTCAATAAGAAAATAAAAAGGGGTTAAAAAGGTAGGAAGGAAAGTTCATATGACAAGAAAAAGGTCAAATCATTTTCTATAGTTATTGAAACTTTACGTACCTAAATTAAGTATGACCTTAATCATGCCTGCTAAAGCCCGTACGAACAAATCCAAATATCCACAAGGCTGGGTCCAATCAGTTTTAAGATGTAAATACAATGATGGCGGAGAAATCATAAAAGGCCTAAACGAAATTCTGGGCGAGGGAGGATATATCCTCAAAGTGAGTATCTTATAAGTACCTACCTATTCAATACAATACTAAAACTAACCACGTGAAGCACCGTGCTGGTAGATGGGTTGTCTGGGCACCCAGGAAGCTAACCAATGTACCTACCTCCTATACAAGAAAGAGAATCCATTTTGGAAGAACATTCTAATTTTTCAAGGGAGATGAAACTGAACTGGAAAAAGTTGCACACGTACATTATTGAGCTTAGTATTGTTAATAAGACCAAGACGTTCCTGCTAAGACGGGCCTCGACATTCCTAAGACAGACCCAGCAATACACCCCAGTCGATTGAACGTTACAAAACATGAGGATGGATAGGTGCTGTACAACTCATAACATAAACCCCAAAGTCATACATAGGAACTTATTCCTCGAGGGGCAATTAAAAGTACAGTAATTCTCATGAAATTCTATTTGGTATTCTAATAGCGTCGCCTGATTTATCCTCTCTGACTGAAAACTCCTAATAGACGGTTCTAAATCATCGCCACCAACACCAACTTGTAGTTTTGTGAATACTGCCAACCAGTCCTATGCATCACCCACTCGGCGGCCATCCTTTATCCGTTATAGTACCATAAGCAAAGACTATATGTAGAAACCCATTAGGTAGTAGTGAGGTGCTTTCACTGTCTTTTCTTTCCCCGAGGTATATGTTTATCCATGAGATAACTGTCTTTTTGGCATTTTTTTGAGAGCCTCTCGAGGTTTCGAGCAACATCAATCGCAGTCCGTCGCTTATCCAGCTCGATACACAGCATATCCCTCTCAATCAACGTAAGGAAATCGTGTAAGTACGAAGAGCATCTTGGATTGCCACGAAGCTCGTGAATCCACAATTTAACACTCGGTTTTAGTTCCGCCGAGGTACCTCCAGCAGTCGTTCGGTAGAATTTATCCTCGTTAAACGTTGGAAATTTCTTATCCGTTTCTCCTCGGCGGCTGGGGAAATCCTCTTGTACCGCTTCGTATCCCGAAATGTAACATGTAATAAATTCCAAGTATGTACATCCAAGAGCCCATATGTCGGATTTCCTAGATATTTTTGCTCCTGTAATGTCGAACTCTGGGGCCTGATATGTCAGTGTCTTCTTGATTTTGCTCGCTGTCTGGGCAGATATCGACACGGCGCGGTGGAATCTCATTAAGCCGAAGTCAGAAAGGGCTAAACGCCATCCTGAAAATTCTTTGGTACCCGGCTTGGAAAACCAAAGGATATTGGCTGCTTTTATGTCGCCATGGCGGCCATATATGGGATAGTCTTCCTCCTTATGCGGATCTTGATCTTTATGTAGCATTGAAAGCGCATTCGCAATTCCAAGGCATTGCTCAGCCATCCAACGCACTATCCCTATTCTGTCAGAAGGCATGTTGAACTGGGTTCGCCAGAAAAACCGTAGGTCGCCGTTGGCTTTTGGAAATAGTAGGTAGTACTTTCCTGCCTCATCCTCTTTTTGGATTGTTGCTAACAGCGGCATCAAGTGCTTGTTAATGCCGTAGTTGTATTTTCTAAGAGCATCAACCTCTAATTTGAAATCGCTATGACTTGAAGATTTCAAGCGCTTGAGAGCGAACCAATGTGAACTGTCGCTATACTTTTTATGATTTAGCATACGACTCATATATATATGCTTCCAGACTACTTACAGGCTCATTTTGGAAGTTGTAATGTGATGGGTGTAGTTTCACTATGAATACGTCGCTGAATCCTCCGCGGAAAACTACATTTTGAACGTCCGGATCTAATGACTCCTCGTCATCTGATAGCCTCTTTTTCTCGGTAATGGGCAATACGTCCGAGGATTCCAGGATGTAGTGAGGGATGATGTTGTCTGGTCGGCCAAAGAAGGGTGCGAGAACCCACCATTGATAGGTAGCGAAATTGTCCAAGTTTCCTTGCCTCCAATCCCGTCGGTCTTGAAAAAGAGAATTCAATTTTTCTTCGCTGAGTTTACAGTTGCGATATTCCTGCACAACTGTGATCCTATCCTTCTTTCTCTCTACCCTGTGTAGAGGAAGGTAAGAGTCATCGACATGCTGGTCAAGAAACCTGCCGATGCACTTAGGCTTTTCGCACAACACTAAAATGGCGAATATTCTGATGAATGAATTTTCACATTTATCGGGGTGGTTTGGACAGATTCTTTTCGACCACTCAGAAACCTCAGCTTGGGAAGCTTCATCGTCCCGCAAACTCTGTTCAACATATCTGCGGTTCCGAGCCAGTTCAAGCTTGTCAAAAGGTATGAAGTAGGTGCCGTTCTTGTCAGTCTCTATTCTGCTATTCCACAATTCTTCCCGTAAGCCTTCCGATATCTTTGAATCAGTAGTTGCGCCCTCTTGAGATTTCCGAAACTTCTGCCGAAGTCTGTTGCCACGGTCGACACAATCCTTATGTTCGCTTGCATGGTCTTTTGCGGATTGCCCGTTGTAAACTTTAGCCATCTGTATTTTTATGTAACATTAGAGTGCCATCATCATTATTAAAAGAATTTCATAAAATAACTAGCTTACGTTGAGCATAAACCTTTGCTTGTATGTTGTACTGAAATAGGAAGCACGGAGTTGAGTTTCAATTGTATATAAGAAAATGATATATTGATTGTTTATAGTATTATTACAAGAGTTGTTTGAGATTGGTGGGACGGGATTATATGTGCACACGGGTTTTAATATGCTTTCTTACTGGCCTTCTAAGAATATTTATATCTATATAAACTTATAGAGGGCCGCAAAGAGGCAACCGAAAGTTTGACTTGTATACCTATATTAATAAGGCAATACTTAAGATGTAGGCAACAACCTCCCCGTCATTCGCCGTATGCATTAAAGGAGATACCGAAGCCCCCAGCCTTACGTCGCTTTAGTGGTCAAACCAAAATGGTCCGACTCAGGTTTTTCCATGGGCACTGCCGGGCGCTGAGGGTGGTTCCATCTCCGTTATAAGAAGGCGTGTTCGACGGTTTTTCCCCTGATCAAAGTCGGCTTCTGGCGCCGACGCTAACCAGGTAGAGTAATGCTATAGGCAGGAGGGGGGGTGGAATGCATAGGCAGGAAGTGGATGATCTCTCATGTCAGGCGAAACTCTAGCTCTGTCTCTTTAAGAGGTACTCTAGACGTCTAAAGCGCCATAGATGCGCCTGCTGTAGCTACCTAGCCATAGCAAACCAATAGACGTTAACGTTCTCATCATCATCATCATCATCATCATCATCATTACGTCGCTTTAGCTCTTATTTTTTCAATCGCAATCTTTTCGGTGAGCTAGAGGGGTTTGAAAGTGCAAGGCAGTTTCAACCCGTCTGCGCGGATACGTAGCTCATATGGCAAAATTACCTTATCCTAAGGTTTATACTCTCCATATACTGAAATGGAGAGTTGATCGCCTTAAACCCCCTTAACTTTTTCTGGTGATAAGGACAAGGTTAAGCTGTCATTGTCGAATGTACATTATGGATTCCGTGTTCTGCTAGGTCCGAGAAATACCACTCACATTAATAATGAATGAGGGAAATAATTATTTGTAATACTACACACCACAATTATTCCATATGTCAAGGCATTCTTTAGCGGATATATTCAATCCTGCGCCATGCCACAAAGATCCACCACCTTTTTGGTATGTTTTGCGAGCAAGGAGGGGGTCCTTTCAGCTAAAGTGAGAAGGAAAGTCATCCCTAATCCATATGTATCTCTGTTTGATGCTACCTAGCTCATCTCTTATCAAGGCACGGCAATAAAGACGTGTTACACAACATGAATTATTTATATGCCATGGAACCTCATAGCTGGCATACTTTACTAACAGAGGAAAGTACGCGAGAATTAAACCAATAACAATAAAAGGAAATAATTCGCGCGGCGTCGGCCACAATCAACTTATGGGGCTAGGCTTTATTACGGGTAAGGCTGACTCGAGATATAGGTAAGTAAAAACCTTGAAAGCCTACCTACATGTAGGTAAGAGGCGGCTTAGCAAATCATAAAGGCAATGCTACCAATAGCTAGGTGAACATATGCATCTTTGATTCCGAGTTCCACTAGGGTTAGGTTACGCCAGCCATTCAAAATGGCGGATACATCGCCTCATTGCCAAAATTCAAACTATATATATTGACTCGCAAGATCACCCTACATTAAAAGATAATTTCTCTCGATTAAGCACCATTTGTTCTATCCTTACCAACTATTCGATTTATCCGTGTTCATCATTAATTTCATTAAGAAATGGGTTCCCTTACATCTCAATTAGCCACTCTGTCGGAATCAAAGCACACTCGACAACTTTGCGAAGACTCATTTAAAGGGCAACGTCATGCGTCATGTTTGACGGAATACAGGATACCTGGTTATCTGATAAATCCAGAAAATCTCATCAAAGTACTACAAGATAGATTTAACGGCAATTACAAGGTTAAGGTAACCTGTCGAATTGTCTCCTCTTTTTGACAGTTATGCTTACATAGCGAGAAGCTCAGGAACGATAATTATTTCATATCTACTCCTGCAAAGCTTACCCAGGTGAGACATAATTTACAAGGCGGTTAAAAGAAAGCATTCGATCTAACTAATTAGCACGAGCTGGTTTCATGTTACTAAGCTTCCGAGGTTATGCATCATTTACCGAATATACCTGATCTTATACCAATGCAAATGTTATTCTGTCGACAATATAAGAGGAACTAAACGATCAACGCCAACGAAATCTTATTTTCCGGTGCACTTATCGAATTTATTAGAACAGCAGTTGTCACAGACCCAGCCCTTCGAGGTGATGTCATTGCGTTACCTTCAAATTTACAGCCTTAATAAACAAGCTGTTACATACACTTAGATCTTTAGCACATATATGACTGGTCGTACATGGTACGTGATAGAAGTGCTCTCGCGAGGTAGAGCAAAACGCATAGAAATCGACTATAGGGTTAAGTATGAGATATACTAATCAGTATTAGGAGTACCACTTGGTTACTTTAAGTTGTTATTTCTTTTATTTATTTATAACACGTCTAGCCTAGTAAGCCACTTTATTATCATCACACTTTAGATACTTAATTTGCCACTTAACGAGCCGTACTACTTAGCTAAATTGTGGTAACCAATTTCTAGCAAGATAACTAAGGTTCAGATGGTGGATTTGTTACAGAATATAGGTACTACCAGCAACTGCCTGATGTAGACAATGAGGCTTGTAGAGATGAGGATCATAGCTTATGCTTTAACTACCGGCAAACTCAGCCCTTCCAGCCTTACTATTAAGGTATTCGTTTCTACAGTCTCAATGTTACCATGTGTATTCATTGTGGGTTTTCCTCTTTTGATTACATACCGTCTAATAGCCCAATCCATGGCGTAATAGGCACCGAGAAGCGGTGGTGCCCAGTACAGAACCTGTGCGCTGAACCGACGCCAAGTGTTGAACACAGCGTCGTGGGCAGCACCAGCAAAGATGTTCTGGCGATTTGGACTAAGACCGTATGTGATTATGCCCCTCTGGGGTATGATACAGCCTAGATATACGGGTCAGGTTAACTTAGCTCTAGATAAGTTGGGTTAATTATATGGGCTGAACTGTACCAAGATTTCCCCATTTGTCTTTGTTTAGATAGCTATATAAATTGAACTATAGTCAGTAAGGCTGGCTTCCGTTGAAAAGTTGTAGGATAGTCAATGGTAAAAAGTAGTTTGATATGTCCCCCGACTTACTGGTTATATTTGCCGATAGGCACGTCGTCACTTCGAAGTATCTGCGATGGACGCATCACGTCGGATCAGGAATAGTCTCACGCGATGTATCTTTATTACGAAGTCGGGCACGGGATTGGTGTTGATGCAAAATCAAAACTAGGAAATGGTGATGTTTTTCTGATTTAATTTTGAACCAGCTAATAAATACAACACTGAGAGATTTGGCAAGTGACGTACTCTTAGTATCTATCTTTAATGAGGAGTCGGGATTACGGATATAAGTGTCATGCCATCGGCAGTAGCAGAGAGTATGTATGTATGCAGACTGCTTACATTGTGGGGGGCCGGCACCAACCCGAAACGTTAATTAGAATCCCGTCACGATCGCATCACCCATTTACACAGCTACAGAACCTTATATGAGAGATTTGGGAATGTTGCTGTCATGATCACATGACATGTGGGGTAACCACATGTACATAAATACTAGATCCTCCTCTAAGTAACTTAACCAATACAACATCAATCATAACAATGTGACAGTTGCTCTTGGTAAAATCGCATTACCCTCTAGTGAGGCTTAGCTTGAGCTATCTTTTCGACTATGCCCGATTCATTACCTACAGCCCTTGTATTCCGTATCCTTCCACAGTTACATATTATCTCACCTTGCTTAAGCTAAATATATTCTTTCCGCCTTGCCCAGTACAACACTATCATGCATATTCAGTTCAGCCCGGTTTCATTAACTCTGCCAATAGTAAGAAAGGTTCAACTCAAAGACCTTGTCTAAACCAGAATAATAGCACAACGTGTGGCGAAGCCTATATCTTTACCACTGTTAGGTACAACGGCTATATACGGGATTGCTACCTATTCTGACTATGGAAATATCTACATAGTGTCAGGATGTTGGTTCACTGTAGAATTAACTGTGTGGGGTTGCAAATGCGGGCGAAGCTTTAAAAATTACCTAAGTACCTATGTATCTAGGTAGACATGTACTTCGTACCCAAACGGCACATGAATGGAGCTTGAAGTCTTCCATGCAAAAAAAAAAAAAAGTTTAATTTCAACCCGTCAAAAATTCATATTATTATCACCAGACCAACCAAATCCCATGGAACCAGATACCGCGGGGTTCTTTGAAGAACCAGCCGACTATTATCCCCCATCACCGCCCCCAACATTTCAGGTTTATACACTACAGTCAGGGGAGACCATCACACTTCATCTTGTAGGCCATAGCCCCTTGGAAGCCCACCATCTGTGGAATGGCAGTCGCATTATATCTAAATATTTCGAGTCCCATGTATCGGAAGTCCGAGGCCGGACTGTGCTCGAGCTCGGAGCCGGAGCCGGGCTACCTAGCATAGTGAGCGCTATCCTGGGGGCCGAAAAGGTCGTGGTCACCGATTACCCCGATCCGGATCTGGTTGTCAACATGAAGAAAAATGTCCTAGGCTGTGAAATTATACCTATAGCAAACGGTCATGCCGATAACTCTCCAATAGTTGTAGACGGCTACGTCTGGGGAGCTGATGCGACTCATCTACTATCGCATCTGGAGTCAGTCAAGAGGGACAAATTTGATGTACTTATCTTGGCCGACCTACTATTCAGACACTCTGAACACGGAAACATGATTTCGTCGATCGAGGCAACCATGAGCCGGAAGAAAACCAGCACTGCCTTCGTCTGCTTCACAAGTTACCGGCCCTGGCTGCAGCACAAGGATCTCGCATTCTTCGACCTTGCGCGGGAGAGGGGGTTCATAGTTGAGAAATTACTCGAGGAGAAAATGGACAAGGCTATGTTTGAAGATGATCCAGGCGACGAGGACGTTCGGAAGACAGTTACAGGCTTCACGTTACGCTGGCCGGACGAAAAGTGCATATAGGGTACATCGGGCGCAGCCGGTCTGATGCTATTTTTTTTTTTTTCATCAAGACCTTCCGGTATCTCTCCGGATCGTATTCAAATGGTGAGAGGTGTGGGCTGCATCTCGTCTGACACGCAGTTGCGTGCTGCCCCTGCTCATCTGACTCATACCAATCGTCCATACAAACCTCACGAAAGCAATCAAGAAACAATGAGGTAAACATCACGATCTATTCTCCAAAAAACGTGTGACCCGAAACGAAAGAGCACTCAGCATTGCAGATCCTGCTGTGGTGGGTGTAAAAGTTATATCAGGGCTGTGATGCTGCCTGCTTCAATTGGATAAAAGAGACTGCGAAGACACTTAACCTCTTCATTCATAGTGTCTGTGTGCCTTGTTCTTCTTCCGCCTCCTTTGGGTAGCGCTGGGTGGATCTACAAGGCGGTGCATGCAAGTGTTGATTGTTTTGGCTGCAGGCCAACCACATTTAGCTATTCTGGTGTTGGTTTTCAGTCAGCTTTCATGCTGGTCCCAGGTTTTTCGTATGGCTTTTATTAGTTGCGTAATTCAGTGCGATTAAATATGGTGTCAAAAACCTGCGAGATTCCGGCATGATTACTACTTGCAGTTGCGATATCGCCAAGTATTGAGATACAGTCTGGAAGAGTAAAGGTAATAGCAAGCTATTCCGGAAATAACTAACGTCCAGTGGCGATCAGCTAAGTATGGAAATATTGGCTGGGCTGCATACTGTGCGGGTTGCAGTTACAGTAAGGCATAGCCTCATTTCGATTACCGACAATAATCGAACCAAAATACCAGACCTTCATATCTGGATACGTCTTCCCACATCTTGAAACGTAATTTGGATTCATATCTTCCGTTCCTACGGAGGAGCACTGACCTTGTCGGATCCGTGTCAATTGAAAACTTGTCGGCAATACCTAGCCCCTATCATAAACTACTATGGAATGGCTGTCGTCAAAGTGGGCACCGAGATGGACTGTATCGAAATGGCTTCTCTTTGCCAGGCTATTACAGGTGTCGGGTACTCTCATAACTGCTGTAATGAACGGGTTTCTTCTTGTATACATCCACGATAATCGACTCGGCCTTGCGACAAGCATGTTTTGTCTAGAGATGATGGTTCGTATTGCCTCCTTAGCCATTTGCTTTCAACCATCGAGGAACTTACCAGTGTTTAGATTTGTGTCGCACTTATCTACTCTGGCATTGTACTATTGATGCAGCACTCTGGTAGCCGACAGAGAAGATCTAGCACGATATTGTCTACCATATTCATCGCTGGCGACGTGGTATTCAATGGAATCATGATCGCTATCATAACAGTGCTCTCTCGCACAGGACTTCCAACAGATTGCCATGGGTTAACTCGAGACGATAAGGAAAAGAACGACGCCCCCAACAACCCGCCTCCAGGGTATGATACGATAAGATTTGGCGATGGAGAAAATATAAAAGGCCTACTTGATAGATACTGTTCCCTAGAACAAAGTTTCTATTTTATCACCGCAGCACTAATGTACGAGACTCACGGTCCCCTCGTGTATTCATCCATCTACTAATAAGGGCAGATTTACTTACATGCTGACGACAACGTTGGGAGTATTACGCATTTTTGAACAGCGTTGGAATCACGGCCAGAAAGATCGCCTATTTACGTCGGTAGATGATATGCACCAACTTGATCACATAAGATCGAATATTCAAAGCCCTAATCCCGAGAGAGGCCCAGATAATGCGGCGCCGTCTAGCGAAGGGATCTATACGCCGACCGCTAGGGCTATCCCGACAATACAAACCCACAACTTCGGGTCTTCAGGCGAACTACACGAGGATCGCGTATTCAACGAGCAAAGGAGGACACTGCCACTTCCTGTCTCGCCCGTTTCCGTCGCTTCCCGAATATCTCAAGTGTCTCCCATTTCACCAGTTATACGCCAGCATGGAATATTCCATACGGCATCCCAGGACGTGCCGGACACGTCCATGGGCAGTTCAATGATGGGAAATTCTTCGGACCTCGCAGCTGAGGCCATGGTAACAGACGGGTATCGGTATAGAGTTCAACCAGAAATACCGTCACTGCCTGCCTATTCTCCAAGTCAGTCAAGGGGACAGTTTATGGATGGGCATGGCGATGAGTCGAACGAGATACGTTTGAGTGACTATGTCAAGGGCGAAACGCGGGCGCAAAACATGAAGGACTCGGGACTGGACATGTAGGGACATGTCTTGGTGTGTACGTTTTATATCTGGCGGTATATGGGATATGTTGACGGATGGCGGTCTATTCTTTTCCATTCCATGAGCGACGGCGCAGGAGGATCAGTCTATTCTCGATTTAGCGAAAAGTTTTTGTGTTGATACAGTAAATATACTCGGTTTGACTTCTATCTAACATAGCTAATTCAACAAACACCCTATGGAAATATAACTAGTAGATAGGTTAGACATCCATTCTAATATTGTATGACTTGATGTCTTCACTCTAGATACATCGTCGCTGTTTGTGTTCGTTCGTTCTATTCCCCACTTAGCTACCCCAAGCCAGGGAAGCTCGGAATCATACCGACGGAGCGCAACGTTGTATCATAGTGGAGGCGAAGAGATTCTTTGACGATTCAACCCCGCAATACAATGAGATCATCTCCACCACCGCTATCCCAACCCTGCCTTACGGCCTTACCAGCTTAGGTACCTCTTATCACCAGACCATCCATTCTTCCGGGGAAAGATCTGCGTTTTTACTCCAACTCGTCGATCACGTAGCCTCATTCTAGCAGCTAACTATAAGGGGGGGGGGCATTTACTCGGTTCTATCGCGGGCCGGACCATACGCTTCAGCTAACCTACCCAAAGCAGTAGCCAAGTCTCCGAGCCGCTGCCACGAGAACATACAGTCGTCCATTCAAGGCTCAGCCTAGGGGACTGTTACTCAAGGCGACGTTACGCAAGTATATTTAGAAGGTCACACTTGGAGCTGCCAGTGCGCAGCGCAGCGCAGAGCTAGGTAAATTATCCAAAAGCACGAGGGCCTCGGTCTGCACACCCCATACATTCGCAGCCGTCCACGATGCCCACCTCGACGCTACGCTCTCAGCTGGACAAGGACGGATTCGTAGTTCTAAGGTCGATCCTCAGCGCGGAACAGGTCTCGCAGCAGCGCGCCGCCGCAGAACGCACGAGGGAGCTCGCGCTCCAGGGGTCCTGGCCACACGTGCGCACGGTCGGGAAGCAGTTCCCGCCGTGGCCATGGAGTCCTGGGGTCGGGATCTGGGGGGTCCAGCACCTGCTAAACCCAGGATTACCCGACGCTCCAACTTTCACCGCGAGCTACTTTGGCGACGAGGTTCTAGGCGTAGCCAAGGAGCTACTTGGCCCATGCTCAGACGACGAGCTAGTCATGGAGCTGTACAATCTGCTCGTGCGGCCCTCAGACGGCACGGACTACGAGTTACGCTGGCACCGCGACGATATTCCCGCTGAGGCCAGTGCCCAGGAGGAAATCAATCGCCTGAGGGAGCCCGCTTGGCATGCTCAGTGGAATCTGGCGCTGTGCGATGGCGACGAGAGTTTGATTGTGGTGCCTGGGTCGCACGCACGGGCTAGGACCGAGCGAGAGCGTGCTGCGGGTCCTTTTGAGCCGGATATGCCGGAGCAATTAGTCGTGAAGCTTGATGCCGGTGATGTCGTGTTTTATAATAATAATATACTGCATCGAGGACGGTATGATGGTAGTCGCGAGCGCTTGAGTCTGCATGGGTCTGTTGGACATATTGCTGGGGGTAAATTGAGGGCTAGGAATGTGTTGCAGCATGCTGTTGGTAGCGTGAGTGTTTATTCTTCATTTTTATGTCCAACTACCCCTTTTGCCTTTCTTCTTTTTTTTTCTTGTTGAAGAGTAGCCTATTGTCCCCTTTCCTCATCTATATAGAATTTCAAATTGGTGAAGAGTAAGATACTAACCGCAGATGCTGCAGTGGGTAGATAAATGTGACTTTAGCAATCTGAACGAGAAGCAAAAGGCGAGGGCAGAGGGAATGCGAGCACGATTGGTCAAATTAGGAAGCGAAAGCGGCGATGTGGGATATTCCCTAGATGGATGATGGCTCGAGCGTTTATTCCCAGCAAGCCTCCCAAATGCCAATTCAGGTCTAACTAAATTCACCTACTATATACATGAAGATACCTAATTTCAATAATTCAAAGGATATACAGCGAAACATATGCAAACCAGCCCACGCAACCTATGATATATCCCGCAGATATCAATTTGCATCTGACATAACCTGGATGTCCATGTGGGAATAGAACCATTTCGCTCCCTGGCGAAGCGCCTCTAGCGCGAGATGGTTGTTCACATTGACTCGGCTTCTAACCGGTCCTGAACAGCATGATATTCGCCGGGAACACATTCACGTTGTCTTCCCACTTCGCTAAACTCTGTCCATCACGATCAATCATGCTGAGAGAGCCGATTGTGTTGAGGGCGTAGATGTTAACGTTGCTAGTCGAGCCTTCGAGCGAGACGATTCGCGACTGGCAGTTTTCGCCTGCCTCTACGGTAGAGCAATCTAGAGAGGCACGAAGTTAGTATCTAGATTCTTCTCGCCGTTAAGGAGAATGGGAAAGTTGGGTCTGGACTTACCAGTGCTGTAGTTGTTGAAGAATGAATAGTGGCCGGCACCGTAGATGAAAATATCTGACGAGTCGACGATTCGCAGACCCCATGCATTGGCGCAGTTTCCTTCAACACCATTGCATGTTGCCGCAAAGTCGGGGTCGCTAAGAGCTTGGACTACGGGGAAAGGCTTGGTAGCATCCGGTGTGGGCTGATAGTATCTTGAAAAGGTGTGAGTATTGGTAATTAAAAAAAGGCTAGGATTTAACTTACGGGGTCTCGGTCTGGAGCATGCTAGCGAAGATGTTCTTCGTCCCAACAAATTGGTAGTTGTAAAGGTTGTTGTGCTCAACAGCGGTACCGACGAGCCAGAAGTTTCCGACGGTCGATTCGATGACTATGATCCGTTAGTGATCTATGAGAACCAGAAAGGGCAAATAATTCTTACGGAGACCCCTGCCGGAGTAGACGGTAATTTGTGTGTTGGTGGCGTCTTCAATATCGTGGTCAGCTGCCCACAGCCATGTGTTCTCCATGTATAGGTTAGAGGCCTTTGATGTAATGTGCATCATCATGTACGCGCCGATACATTTCTCGTCGATGGTGCTGGAGCCGGGCTGCTTAAGACACTGTGCGACTTGGAAGTCCGAGCCAGTAAATCCGCCGACTCTTGCGTGGACATCCCACATGCCACTCGGAGTATCCGCTGAGGCTAGGTTCCACTCAATAAGAATAGCTCCGGGAGTAGGTCCTTGGTTTCCTACGACAAAGTCCGAGAACTCTACTTGTCCAGCATCGCCTGACTGAGCACCGACTTGTAGGAGAGGCTTCGGGTTATTCATATCACCGAAGGTTGCGCCGCTAGCTACGATGATAGGGTAGCCTTCTCCGACAATCTTTGAACCAGCCGGGATGCTCAGGGTTGAAGTAACCTTGTAAATACCATGGTCAAGGAAGAGAACCTTTCCACCGGAAGCTGCGCTGTTAATGGCGGACTGTAGCGCTGCGGTCTTTTACTTTGTTAATAAATCACCAATATTATCGAGACGAAGGGCAGACTTACATCATCAGTCGTAGAATCACCCTTTGCTCCGGAGCTTCGGGCGCTCACGATATCGGATGCAGCAAGGTTCTCATACTGAGGCTTTGATCGAGAGTAGTAGGCATTGTCAACCACGAGGGAAGCAGGCCTCTTGTTAGGGGTGATGGTTGCTTGGAATGCGTTGGGTCCGTCGGGCGTGTATTGATGTCCCTGGCCCCATGCTTCAATTGTCGTGGAACCTCCTGCAAGTAAAGTGCCACTCGGGCCCTGAACCGCGACAGGGACATTCTGGAGGTTAAGATTCTCCAAGATGATACTTGCCGCTGTGTCCGGCTTAGCGCCAGATTGGAATGCCGTCGTGATACCGACCGGGGTGTCCTTGAAAGTACTGTCGATGACTGTAATAGAGCCAGTCGTAAGCGCATCAGAGCCACCAGCTGTGATATCAATTCCCTTTTGGCAGTTGTTGATCTGCAGTCCAATGTAGGTCCAACCCCAGTTCCATAGTTGGATGATGGCTATAGGTCAATAGTCAATATATGAATCTTCCACATGTCCTACGTGTAGTGTAATGGGCGTACCTGTTTGGCAGTTGTTAAATACCAGATTCCTCATGGTGTATTGCTGGTTGCCTATGGATGCTCCTGTTGCGCCTCCATTGAACGTCAAGTCACTCATGAAACCTCCGGAGCCTACAAATGTCAGTCCAAAGCTAGGGTAAATAGAGTATGCAAAGCCTACCGCTCTCAATGAAAAGTCCGACGTGAACGACACTGGGGTCCGTAGGCATGTTGAACTCGACATTAATAAGACTAGTTGCTTGCGAAGTTGGCCAATGGATACCAGTTGCTGCAGTTGCCGGCGCAATACCGGTGGTATCAAAAACAAAATTGCGGATTTGACGGTAAAAGACGTTCGTCGAAACCCAGTTTAAGTTCTCGCCATAGTAAGGGTTGCCGTCGATCAGACCAAAGCCTTGGAAGTCGGCACTACCTTTGATCACGGGTCGATTGGTCGGGTCACCAACCATCTGAGTAAAGTACGGGGGGACAATGGACTTGGAGATTATATAGGTTCCTGATGGGAAGTAAACGACTGCCGGGGTCGTGGTAGTAGAAGCCTAGGGGTATCAAAATGTCAGTACTCTTAACATATTCAGTAGAAGTGTACCATCCTGCCGAATATCACTTACACATCCTTGCAAGCACCTGTTGTCGGGCGTGTTCATGGCCGCCGTGATGGCAGCAGTGTCATCTGTCGTTCCATCACCTTTGGCGCCGAAGTCTTTTACATTACGGAACACCGTATAGCCATCACCTCCAAAAGGTGCAACGCCCTGGTCTGTTCGAATGTTAATTAAAGCTTCATCTAAGAGATACCAAGAGAACTCTTACGAGTTATATCCTCAAGCCAGTAAGCATTTACGGTAGCGGCGAGGCCGATTGCAGCCGAAAAGAATGTTTGGAACCGCATATTGCAAGCTGAGTGATGAAGACACGAACAGCAAGATGCATACAGATCCCAAGTTGGGACGGATATGAAGAGAACTTATAAGAGAAAAGAAAAGAAACGTAGTGTTGGGTGTCGTCACAAGTTAGATTACCACAGCTGGCTGGGTCATGCATCGATGATAAGTAGCAGGGTTGGAGCCTCAAGGTAACGTGAACTACCAAGTGACTGAAGATCTTATGTAGTATGGAGGGAAATCAAAGACATGAGATAGTCGAAAGCTAGAGCAAGACCCCTTGACCATTTGCGAACTCCATGTTGAACAAGCAAACTTAGGTTGATTCGACCGAGCGCAACAGCCACGCGCAAGGTTGCAGACTAGCGAAAGGGGTTTGACCACTCAACTACTCGAATAGAGTATATTGAGCACCTGCTTGTTAAACTCTACCAAGACACAACATTCCTGGAGGAAACGATCCAGCGAAGTAGCATTGTGGAGACGAAGGTCACAAAGATCTAAAACTAGGTACGGAGGTAGGCTTCGACTAGCATATGGACCTCTGTCAAAGTATAAGGTAGTGGAGCTGTATGCATCGAAGGTCATCCTTTCATTGCGGCAGCTCTCAGGACTAGCAGAGCTAGAACACGCTCAGGGTCAGGCATTACCGCGGCCTTGAAGCCTCCTACTATAAACGGAATCGTCCATTCAGGTACCATGCAAGATGTGATAGGTAGGATGAAGGACCCGACAGGAGATTGGATGCCGCTGGCCATCCTAAATTAGTTGGAGTGTTCCATGTAAAGGTGGTTGTTTCAAGCATGTGACGTTGGAGCCGCGAGACATTCGAGGCCACATGTAAGTCATCGACTTAGACTGGGGGCTATCTGGGGGCCATCTGACACAGCTTCGCGCTACGAATCCGCAGCCCTGGAATTTTAGGAATAGCCACTATCGGATGATAGTTTTTTTTTCCTTCATTGTCCTGTCGTAACACTTGGAGATGGATGGGTCCCAACACTCGAATTTTAGGCCCAATCCACAAGAAGTCTAACCCTTCTTGACTCAACATCTAAAAGATTTCTCGTCCGTGCATGGCAAAGCTTAGGTTACTGCTGCGTTGCATTGCATTTGTTCATGGCAGAGCGGTGCCCCTGGCGCTAAACTTTTTCAATCTAATTTCGGTGGCAATGGAGAGCTAGCAATAGTATTCAATGCTATTAACTAGGAGAGAAAAGGGAAAGAAGATGGATAGTTGGAGCTGGTTGGATTCTAACTTGAAATCCAGGGGACGGCCCGATTGGGTTTCGATCAATCTAAATAACGTCAAATAATGGAAGGTGGTGAATCGGCCAAACCTGGGGGAGGCCGGGGGTTTTCCAAGGTTCTATGCTTAAAATATCCTTGGGATGTTTCAAAACATGACTTAAGAACCTAGGCAGGACGCGCTACCTGATAGGATACAGTAATCGATCATTAAGGATACTGTGCTTAATGCACTGTACATCTTTCTCTTCATCCGACCTAAGCTTGTTCATCATTTCCTCGTTAACACACCGTCACCATTTCTGATTCGTCTAGTGGTAAATTATCATGTAGGCTGGTAGGTAGTGTAGATGTATGGATCGGTCCATTTCCGATATCTCCAAAGAATTGCTTATGTTACCTAGCCCAATTATAAAGCCACGCGGCCGCCACTTACGTAGATCTATGGCTGAAAGTTTACTTTATTTACACTTACACTTACATACTCGGTATCACTGTTAAACCATCCCCCAACATGTATTCAAAGGAAAATCATGCTGTGCAAACTTTGCGCGAACATGTCATTACCAATACACAAACTTAGACCAAATTATATATTCGTATTAAATAGTCGCTGCTCCTCGGACCCCTTCTACCCTAACCTATAAGGATCGAACTCCCGCACGTCCCTCTCCCTCCCTCTTCCTCAGACTCGAGTTACTGCAAATGAAGCTTTCCCCTCTTCTAAGAGCTGGAATTAAGCTTCATCTTCATTTCCATCAAGAGTCTTGGCGATAAGGCTTGAATTATCCGCCCCCCAAGATCATCTGCCGACGTTTCCTTGCGCTCACTTTCCTGCTCCGCTTCGATGTATCTACCTACCTAACCTAGTGACCAAGGAGATAATTCTTCAATATCGGGACCCTAAGCTATTGCATCGAACTACGCAACCTCTGTTCCCTTTTAGCCTGCCTATAGAGTCGTTGGGATGTTATCATGGGATCTTGTCATGAGGGCTTTTGGTGCACCCCGTCCGGATCTGCCAAGGAGTGAGTAGTGGTAGGAATATTTCAACCATTGACGGCGGCGATGGCTTCAATTATGGAGCTTTGCCGGGTCATAGCTTAGTTTCTCCAACACTTCTAACTTCAATCCCGGATCTCAATTTGTGATTATCCGTCCAAGGACAGCGCTTTGAGGCCCACCATCTCTGATCCCGCCGATGATTACTGCTGCGGTGGGACCTTGGCGCTGCGGTTCTTGGTCTGCATGTTTTGATGAAATCCGGGGTTCGCTAACTGGTGGGTGTCGCGGTATCTGAGAAGGGCATTATATGGAGTCTCCGGAACTAGCCAGTCCACCACCTAAAGAGCGGTTATATTTGCGAACTAGGCAAGTCGCGAGACTAAGTTAGTCACGGCATCACATCATACTAGACATGAGGTAAGTAGTAAATTCTCATAGTCGGATAAGGTAAGTCGTGTTGGTAGAGGTAGGTACCTAGGTAAATTTACTTTTAGCGAGGTCATATCTCGTTACACGGACCAGGGCTTGGGTACCTAAGAGGTACCTACAGGCTACCAGTGCATGTTAGATTGTGGCTTCTATTATACGTACTCCGCATTCGATATTGTCACTCCCCAGTTCCCCAACTTTCAACTTAACTCCACATATTCGGGTAATTTGCAATTCTTTGATTACGATCATACCAAGTTACGGGCGAAAGCAATTCGAAAAATTTACAAACCCACGCCGTCTCCCATTTATAGATCACAAGGATGGCGTTTTGGGAACATAGCACGTGAAATTAGTAGGTGTCATATATAATTTGCTGGTTAAAAATAAGACCTTGACGCTTCGGAGTTTACCGACTTGTTTTTCTTACGTGAAGTATCTACCGTATCAGAGCACCAGAATAGATCTGTCCCGAATCGCTTCCTTAGATCCACATAGCACCCATCTACTGTAGTGCCCGCTGTCTCCATACATACTTCCCATCGTCGTCAATATTCCCCTCTTTGCCTAGCCGGCCGGCAAAGCAATCTATAGCAAGGTCAGGCCTCGCCGATCACTACCACAAGGAGTCCCGGTTGAGGAGAAGATCAACGCTATCCGAATTCAAGAGGCCATTTGTCTTGATTTAAGTTCCAAGTGGCGCGCCTTGGGCTTAAAAAGGCGTTACTCGTGCAGCCGTGTTACCTATGCACCATCTTATATTTATTTACTACTACTACTACTACTATTACTACGAAGATATGACCCATCTAACAGGGCTACGAATAACGAACACCCGTTGTAATAAAACGGAGCCTGATAGGAACAACTCCTTCCCCTGTCCTTCTCTTTTCTCTTTCGTTTCCACCCCCTCCTCTCATCTTGAACACTTTACTCCAATCCCACCAATCACGACTCCGCTAAAAGCCTTAGTGTTGTTTCCCACGATCTTGTTTATTGTTGACGTAAGATTTCAATTGCATCCCCCAATATGTAACTAAGCTTAAAGCTAACTATCTTTTGAAGGCCCAATAGCAACGATTGACCCGCCTAGCTTCGGGGTTAGATATGATACGAGTTGGTGGACAATAACTATCCTAAAAAAGTAGCAATATTGTAACCTATACGCAGCAGTAAGTTACCTCTCATCTATGTCATCTTCAGCTGATTGGCTACCCCCGCCCCCCACACTTTCCCACGCATTCTGGCATATAGAGCTAGTTTCTCCAATGCGGAGACTGTACCGAGGGGTGCTATGGACGAATATGGGGTTAACTGACAGGGCACCCCGTCCCCAGTCTCCGCGGGTTTGTTAGCAAGGCTTGTTTATGTCTGGGGGCGGGGAATGCACCTCAAAAAAATCTGACGCTGCTTCTATCCACCAAATCACAAGCCTTGCGTACGTTTGTTACCCTTCTTACATGTACCTTACCAAGTGATGCATCTCGCTTTTTATAGGCGTAATATGCGTACCTACATGAGGTGTCTTGCATCAACAATGAATGAGGAGTAGGCACATGTTGGTAAGACGAATTCTCCTCGCAGTAACAGAGTCTTTCTCCATCAGCTTAACAATCCCTGGTACAGCATTAAACAGATGGATGAGTAGAATAGGGGCTTAACACAGACACGGTTGTACATCTATCAGGTAAGTAACGTAAGAAAATAAAGGAAGAGAGTCACATATGTCACATATATGTAAGTTGGAGTCGGTGTAAGTAAAGTCTATCATTTCTGACCTGGCGCCACTTTTCTCTATTATTTCCTATGGCAGGTTCGGGTTTCACTCGCAGGGAGGCCGGCGGCTACCCCGTTACTACAGGTGTTTCCTTCACTAAAAAATTAAGTTACAACCTAATGATTTCCCCCATCTCCGCATCCTCCTCTCCGTCCCCCTCCTTACAATTCTCCTCCTCACAATCCTCCTCCTCACTCCTCATCATACACATAACAATTTAGCACGACCCCGAATTCAACCATCGCCAATACTGTTACCTTATCCATCTCATCCAAGTTCACCACATTGTTCGCCCATCTCATTCGTTTCTTCTCCTAACCCATTAACTACCTAGTCTTATTACAAATGTGTCTTCCCGCCGCTTGGGCATTATAATCCCCAATTCAATCTCGACCGTAGAATTTCAAAATACATCACATACTTAATCATCTCACCTTCTCCGCGCCACCATCGTCGACCAATAAGCCTACCAGTAGCAGTTTTCCTCGCCGTCGGTTAATTATCCCAGGCTCGTTGGTTCTGGTTCTCTGTGAAAAACGTATCGAATCGCAGCCTTGTTTGTTACCAGGCTTTGACGGGTTACCTCAGCCCTACTAGTTTCGTACGGTCATCCAAACCCTTCAGGATCTCCGAGCTCTGTTGATCACCACGTTGGCCGCCAGCTCGGCGAGCGGCCGATCACTTGGGGGAGGCAGTGAGGACAAATGTGGTGGAATCTCGCGTTACGTTCCGAGTATACTTAGAATCGATTGATACTACATACATCTATCACGCCTATGAATTCATCCATCCACCGTCCACCCCGCAAGACATTCATTCCTCTTTCCGGCATAACTTCCTGGCCCTGGACATTATACCCTTCCGACTTACCCCCCACTTCCGGGTGTTGCGTGACTTCATCTGCATTACACCCATATTTTGTACAGGGACCTACCTTATACTAATTATTGTTAACTTATCCTGACCCCAAATGCAAACCATGCCGTCCATAGAAGGCTCTGGCATCACTGGTACAGCCGAGGACAGCGTGGAAGGTCGGCAGCAGAAGCCCAAGACTCTACCGTGCAAGTTCTGCGACAAACGTTTTAGGTAAGGGTCCCTAGGCTTATTTATCGTCTTGCACTATATCTATATCCGCTGGCAATTTACTTACACGGCAATCCCCTAATTAGGCGTGTAGAGCATGTTCAACGTCATGAGAGAACTCATACTAAGGAGAAGCCATTCTCGTGCGGGTGGGCTCGCTGCGGGAAGACGTTTGGACGTCGGTTAGTTAATTTGTTCCTTTATTTATTCTGTCCTTAACTATGTTACCAATTTCCTATTTGTGGTGGTAGACTTCGCCTTGCCCACCGCCGTCCAACCACTTACCGTCTTTCGTAGGCGCTAAACTACCCCCATCCCCCCTCCTCAGATTCCTTAGGTCCTTTTGCAAATAGGATACACACATACACACCACACATGTCTTACAGCCCTGAAACCTCCTATTCCCCTCTATAATTCCTTACTAGTGGCCCCCCAACTTCTACCTTCTCTCTCATCCTCTTGTGAATATGCTTATATGGACATCAGGGATCTCCTCGTCCGCCACGAGAAACTCGTTCATCTCAATGAAGGGTCTAATAAGGATGGTAACCGGCCCCGGAAGCCGTCGACGGCCGGCGCTGCCCAACAACCTCTATCAGCTGAGAGCCATGTCGACTCCGAAATGATGGGAATGCCTCGGGCTCACCCGGCGCACTATCATTCAGATTCCATGTCCTCTTCTGTGACAGTACCTCCACTTGCTCCTGATCCTCGTCACTCCGCCAGGGCCACAGCTTGCAATCTTGACCTCTTGTCTGATGCTGCCACCCAAATTGCTTCTGCGAACGAGGTTAACTCGATGCAACCGATGATGACGGATATTGGACAACCAGTGGCCGGTTTGACACGCATTAAGTCATACGACGAAGGAATACCCTATACCGACCGCGGACGTGAGTCCGAACCTGTGGCTATGTCACATGGACTGCCCAATCCACCTGGGCCGTCTGCTTTTGACGATTATAATCTCTTCTTAGACGAGTTTGCGACGTCATCTCACTTCCTCCCACAAGCCTTCGATGCGGATCAGAGTATGGGTATGTGGCCACGACATCTTTCCGATATTCAACGGGGTGGGCTTTCCAAGCCGTCATCTCAGTTCCCCTCTCGTTTCCCATCATTAGCCCCTGACCCGAGAGATCCAACGGAAGGTGGCCCCAGAACACATGACGAATCAACGAGATCACAGCCCATGAGGGTTTCTGCAATGGACCATACCGTCATAAAAAATCGACTCGACGAATTCTCGTCCGTTTTACCGAATGATTTCGTGTTTCCTTCTCGGCATACTCTCACTAGGTTTCTAGAAGGGTATGTAAGTGGTTTCCATGAACACTTACCGATACTACATCTGCCAACGATAACAGCCGCTGATCTCGCCCCGGAACTCCTACTGGCGATATTAGCAGTAGGTGCACAATATAGATTCGAGAGCCATCGGTCAAATGCTTTATGGTATGCAGCTAAAGCAGTCGCGCTTGAACAAATCCGACGTCGCCACAGTCACGAAGTGCACGGTTTGTTACCAACTCCAGCAGCGTATAGTCCTCATTCTACGCGACCATCTCCAAGCCATGGATTCCGCCACTCCTTTAGTTCTGTTCAACAGGAACGTTCGATGACCCAAGATACGCACCGAGAACCTTAGTAAGAAAATCCAACTACATATACATCCTTTCAATATGTGACTAATTTTCTTTCAGTTCTCCTAATACTCCTCAATCTCGCATGGAAACTATCCAGGCTCTTCTTCTATTGTTTGCTGTTGGGCTCTGGGGCGCCAAAGCTATTCTTCGAGAAGCTTTGTCATTACAAAGTCTTCTAGCTCTCCTAGTGCGCGAGGAAGGATTTCTGTCAGAGTCCACGCAGACGGCCGATTGGGAGGCATGGGTCCGGATAGAAGGATCTAATCGCACAAAGCTTATTGCGTACAGCTTCTTTAATCTGTGTAGTATTGCGTATAATATGCCACCTCTACTATTGACGTCGGAACTTAACCTTATTCTCCCGCACTCATCAAAACTCTGGAGGGCGGAAACAGCTTGGCAGTGGCAAGAAGCTCGTCAATCATTCCCTAGTATGGATATATCGCTCCAGGATGCGTTTGCGAGATTATTCAGCAGACCACCACAAGGACCTCCAGCTTACATGTCCTCTCTCGGTAATTACATCCTCATCCATGCCATATTACAACATATCTTTCTCCTAAAGCAGACATCTTTTAATTCCGTGTCACTTTTTGGGGGACTTCGTCATGACGATGTTGAAGATTGCTTTCAGGCCCTACGGATCTGGCAGATGAGTTTCGAACAGCACCAGGCGCGCATAACAGAAGGTAGCCACCAGAACGGCCCAGATTCATTGCCCGGTGGCTCTGTTACTTATAATTCAACCGCACTTTGGCGGTTGGCTTCTATCCGGTTGTATACAGACTTGAGTCCTAGCAGAACCCTCGAAACAAGAGAAGCGAGTCAGATCGCACAGTCTTTCCATGACGCACCATATCTCGTTCGCAGTGTGCGCCTCAACCGAGCCGTCTTTCAAGCCATACATGCATTGTCTATGCTTGTTAAAGTAGGCGTCAACTACGTAGCAAGGAGGAAGTCATCGGAATGGAGTATGCAGCACTCGCGTAAGTATTTACGGAAAATTCCAAGAGTATGGTAAAAGAATACGGTAGCTAACGTCGGCGTAGTATGCAATTTAGAATGCGCCATTCTCCTTTCCAAATGGCTAATGACTCTTGCTTCGACCGGCCCGACAGGTGCGCCTCCTGAGCCCGACGAACGAAACCTTCTCGAAATGCTCCGTCACATGCTGGACGAAACGGAGTTTGCGGTGCCGATCGACCCTTCGCTCTCGGGAGGCGGCCCGGGGCGTGGTCCACCGAACATGGATATGGCTGCGAACGACGGTACGAAGTTACGTCAGCTTGCCGTAGCCGTAATTCGGCTCTGGGCTGAGACGTTTAAGGGATCACATATCTTTGATATCGTAAAAGTGATTGGTGCTGGGTTGGAGGGATACGCAGACTTGATAGAGAAGCCGCGGGATAGAACACCACTAGGTCGGATGGGACCTAATTCAGGTCTTGGCTGACCAGACTGCAACGGGAATTACTCACGAAGATGCCTGGCGATAGTTGGGGGTGTTCGATGACCAGTGCGGGTCATTCTAGCCGAGTATAGATTCGGGACTAAATGCTCGCTTTAATCCTGACCATCCAACCGAAGTCCTTGGAAGTTCGGGAACGATTATTTGCCAAACATTGTCGAGTACCAGGCACAACAGACAACCGTGCCGGACGTCGCGGACCCGAAAAGGACGATAAACGTATGCGCCGCTGTCGGGTCGAGGCGTTATGAGGATCTCGAACAAGGGCCTATCACGGAGGTAGTGTTTAGAAGGAGCAATATGTTCCGACTATTAATAACACCCCGGGAAGTTAATATATGCGTGGGAATGTGGATCGGGTGGGAGCGGCACGGGTTCGCCCCAAAATAGCAGAGAACTATAGTGATTGCAGCTCAATAAGGAGCACTTACCCTATTAACATTTCCCATTTAGACCAACGTGAACTATTTAGGTACGGAATACATTCGTACATTGTTGAAGGTTGCGGCTACCTATAGTTGATTGAATCTGAGATTAGCGGCGATTGACATTTCTATTTTTAAACGATAAGAGAACACAACTGTACCTAGGTACCATAACGGAGGAGGGGGGTTTGGGAGAATGATTCCATAAATATAAAACTATTCCATATATAAAAACTATACTATATAATAGTAATAATAGAATTAGTTTAATATATTTTAATATTATAAAATAATTTTAAAACGTAAAATAGTTTTATAAAATAAAACGATTTTATTATTTATATAATTTTCACGTGATTTTTATGTGAAAAAATAAAGTAAAAGTTAAAAAAGTTAAAAAAATTAAAAAAAACCAGTTTTTAAACCTATAGCTTTTGCGTTTATATAACCGTAAACTTTATAATTAATTAATAAAATTTAAAGTTTAAACGTTTAAACTAATGGAACGAAATGGCCAATTTTATTAAATTATTTTAAAATATAATTTATTTAATTTTAATTTTTATAACTTTTACTTCGAAAAAAGTAAAATTTTAACTTAAAGAAAAAAAAAATTTTATAAAAATTTTTTATTTTTTTTTTATTTTTTTTTTATTTTTTTTTAAGTTAAAAGTTAAGCAATCGTTTTTAAAATAAAAACGATTATATAAGATGAAATGGTTTTACGGTTATAGAACGGTTCTTGTAAAATAAGATTTTAAAAGTGGGACCCGGGACCCACTATTTCCAAATTCTGACCAATCAGAGCCCTTAAAACCCAAAAACGTTGCGCCGTACGGAACCATTCCAGTTTTGGAATCATTCTCCCAAACCCTAAGGTACCAGGTTAGGTATACTGCGCAATGAGATTGAACAATGAAGTGATCACGTGACAGCGTGTCCCCTATTGCCACCCCGCGATTCTCCTCAACGCGTTATCAACTGTCTCATCCATCGAATTTCATTATATCTATGTCTGTATCTTAACCTAAGGAAATCAACTAACATTCCGAACACAAAAGCAAATTCATATAATTGAGTTATGCCTCCCAAAAAAGGTACCGTAGCTAAGCCTTCTACTTTGGAGGCCACTGGTAAATCCCGTCGCAGATCTCACCGCATTAGCCTCAGTAGTAAGAAGAGTACATACTTCGAGGACAATGACAACTCAGATGAAGAGCTACCGCCTCGTAAGATTATGAAGACCGGGGCTAAGGGGAAACCCTCTAGACGGGGAAAAGCTCAAGTAGAAGAATCGGATGACGAATTACAGTATGAAGATGTTAAGGGTACATCCGAGGATGATGACCGGAATGCCGCGTTTGCTGACGACAACTCTGAAAGTGAAGCAGAACGTCCCGTGGCACAGAAGCGAGGTCGCGGAAGACCTTCGAAAACCCGGACCGAGACTACAAAGAAGTCTAATAAAAAACCCCAAGATCTAGAAAGGACGAAGGCGATGGCAAAGCCTCGGAGTAAGACCAAGAAGGAAAAGGAGGCCGACTTCGAAGAGCCAGTGGCTGAGGAAGACAGCGACGACGATGATGATGATGACGACGAAAACCGCATTACCTTCATTCCAGGTAAGAATTCATCCTCCGTTTCGGTGCTTCAACGCATCAGGGTGTTAATAAATAGCTTTGATTCTAATTAAAAGATTGTAGCAATCCAATTACGAGACACTGACGGTGTCGAATATGAGGATACCCGACTCCATAAAAACACTTTCTTGTTTCTAGAAGATCTCAAAGCCAACAACGAACGGAGTTGGCTTAAATGTATGTATATTTTTCACAATCATAGACTCTTCCGCAATCCCCGTCGCTCACATCTACTCTTTCCTTGTCTAACGGGATGTTACCGCTTGTAGCACATGATGAGGAATATAGAAGGTCACTCAAAGATTGGGAATCATTCGTAGAGACCCTTTCAGAGAAGATCATCGAGGCGGATGAGACTATTCCATGGTTACCGGTGAAAGATGTTATCTTCCGCATATACCGAGACATCCGATTCAGTAAAGATCAAACTCCGTATAAGGTATACCTACCCTACCCCCTTCGTCTTTCCAACTCTTCACCCAAAATATAACTTTATTCTAACATGGAAAATTCTGTATAAATAGCCTCACTACTCTGCAGCATGGTCACGGACTGGCCGAAAAGGCCCATACGCTTGCTATTACGTGCATGTCGAGCCCGGTCGGTGCCTCGTAGGTGGAGGCATATGGCATCCAGAGGCCGACGCATTAGCCCGATTGCGCGCGAGCGTCGACGAGCGCCCCCATCGTATAAGTCGAGTTCTTACGAATCCTACGTTTCGGAAGACATTTCTACCCGAGGCAAAGTCCGGCAACGAAAAGTCTGCGATAGCGGCGTTCGCGGCGAAAAACCAGGCCAATGCGCTCAAGACGAAACCAAAGGTACCACTCCTCTAGTCCTGAAGGCGTAGTATGCTCACCGAAATAGGGCTTCCACCCGGATCATAAGTATATCGAGCTTCTCAAGCTACGGAACTACACCGTCAACACGCAGATCGACGACTCGGACCTTCTCGCCGACGACGCACAGGATAAAGTGATGAGTGCCATTTCCGCTATGGTCGAATTTGTGAGTCGTGTCTATTTTCCTTTGATTTGTTTACACGGACTAACTGGGATACCAACGCAGGTCACGTTTCTCAATAGCGTCGTTAGGCCGGATCCTAATGCCGAGAGCGATTCCGATGAGGCCGACGGCGGGACAGAAGAGCAAGAAGGCGAAGAAGATGAAGATGAAGAGGAATAGTTCTTGACTTGCTTCAGATATGGTGGCTGCTGTCCTGGGTGTAAATGATAAGGTGTTAATAGTATTTATCTTATATTTTCTCCCGTCTTATAATATAACCTCTCTGCGGTACCTGCATGTCGGAATCACCACCAACTTGATCAGGTGTAGGTATCGTATGCCATGCTGCCGAAGGATACTGTACGTTACCGTCGCATTTCGGGTACCAGTATGATATATCTACTTGTGATAATGAGCCAGACCAAAGTCACTTGGTCGGGTAGTTGCAACTTCCTAAAAGTCCACTTACCCTTTAGTCTAGCCCTTACCCTACACGCAAAGCATCCCGAGACTTCAGATTTCCAACAACCAGCAAGTGCCTACCTCGAAACACAATCTACTTAAGCCGCGTTATATCTGAGAAACATCAATCACGTGAATCCGATGCCATTCACAGCTAAGTCTCAGTTCGTCTAGTGGTTAGGATACGGGCTTGTCACGCCCGTGACCGGGGTTCAATTCCCCGACTGAGAGCTCCTTTTTTTTCGTCATCCTATCGGTATAGGATTTCAAAGAAATCCAAATTCCTATCTCAGTACTAGTATATCCGTTGCTTTCACACAAGTGATAGGAACTTGCATTCTCCCCTGACAGTTGAGATACTGCGGGTAACCATACCTTTTAGGTATGATGTCTTACGACTTAGAGTCGTATCCCTTCTGATTATAATCTTTTCTCTCCAAATTCCTCAATCTCGATTGTAATCATCTATCGACTTTATTTATCAAATCAGTCCAACATCCCCGTCGACAAACTAGGTGGCAGATCCTCGTCTCTCGTTCCCCAATCGCTCTCCGTGGATCCTAATACGAACTCCAGCGTGCCTCCATTCACGAAGAAGTCATGCGTGATCCAATTTCGCGTATATGGCTTCCCGTCTAACCTAGCACTTTGAATGTAGATATTGCGATACTGCGGCGCGTCGAATCCACCGACGTTTCGTAGTATCGCCGGCTTCCCCGATGGTGTTTGGATACTAACTTGCCGGAACATGGGCGCTGTAAGTAGGTACACATTCTGGCCGGCAACTGGGTAAAAACCCATGAATGCGAATGCCGTAAAGGCTCCCATGGCGCAGTCGTCGTTACCGGGGATTCCGTTAATGCTATTGTTGAACTGCCCTGGGATGTACTGGTGCAGCCAGTAATTGCTGCGACCGGGCCGTCCACCGTAATGGAATTGGAACGTCGTTAGAAAGTTGGGCTCATTTCCCATATAGTTAATACCCGACGAGTGGAAGTAGTCGAGTCGCTCGATAAAAGTCTCGTGCCCTCCTAACGCTTCTATAAGCGCGGCCATGTCTTGAGGTACATAAAATGTGTACAGCCATGGACTCCCCTCATATGTTTCATACTGCGTGTCAAAATAGCAACTATGTTGTTGGTATATGGGACTGCAAAGTCGTGTGTTCTAATGTACGGTTAGAGTCAGTGATGTCCTATTCTAAGTATATAGGAAACAGTTGGAAGTAGTGATTCAGTATTTCGCTTAAAGATGAGTATCAGGAGAGGAAAGCTTAGATACTAACTTGATATCGCCAGGTACCATTCCGGAACCGTGGCTGTAGGAAGCCCTTGAATGCCGACATTTGCACATTCCCGGCCTCGTCACGATGCCGATCCTCCTGCTCCGGGTTGAACAGATTCTTCCAGTTCCGGCTGCGCTGCAGATACTTGGTCTCGTCATTCTTATGGCCAAGCCCCCGTGCCATTAACGCGATCACGAAGTCATCGTACGCGTATTCCACCGTCCGTGAAATGCCTCGACTCATAGGCCCCGTCCCATTTTTGTCGTGGTCATCGTATGGTACGTAACCCAGCGTGTGCCAGCTCACGAGACTGCCGCGGCCAGTCGTAGACCAGTCTTTCGGCTCTACCTCCGCATCGGAGACGACTGCTTCATAGCCGAGATTCCAGTCGACACCCCCCGTGAGGTTTTTAATGAAGGCGTCTGCGAGAACCACGTCGGCATTTGAACCTCCTTGAGTATACCCTTTGCTAAAACTCATGCGACAATCTGGCAGCTTCCCTTCGTGCTTGTACGTGTCAATTAGCGACCTCACCATCTTCGTTTGGATTGTGGGGTCAATTATGGTGAGTAGGGGATGTTGTGCGCGAAATGAATCCCATATGCAATAAAAAGAGTCGTAATACGGCTCGTCGGATTTCCAGAGCTGGTTTTCACCCGTGTAATCTTGAGGTGAGATGAGTGTGCGGTAGAGTCCCGACCAAAATGTGGTAAGGAATTCGTGGCTCATACCCGAGGAATCGGGCTTGATCACGGACAACTTTTCCTTCCAGGCATTCTCAGCAGCCTTCACCACGTTTTCAAAGCCGAAGTCTGGAATTTCGACCTCTGCGTTA